ATTTCAAAAAAACCTAGCGTGTTTTTTTTTTAATATGTAAAAGTATCGTAGGGACACCTTGTTTTTATTTGTGACGAAAATTTAGAGGTTCCTGTTTTTTTAAGTTAAAAAATCTTACAGCTCATTTAGTTTCGCATGTAAAACCTAAACGAATCTTCGAGGTCCACTGTATTTTCTTTTTGGAAAAATTTGAAAAAAATTCTGGTGTTTTGTTTGTGAAAAGAGTCTGAAAGAATCTTAGGGGTCCCTTGAAATAATTTGAAGATCTTGGAGCTCCTTGTGTTTTGTTTTTGAAAGACTTGAAAGAATCGGGGGGACGTTTATTGTCTTTCAAATTCTTGAGAATCGTGTGTATTATCTTTGAAAGAATTTAAAAGAAACTAAGAGGTTCCTAGTGTTTTTTTTTAATGTTAAAAAATCCCTCGAGCCCTTTGTGCTTCGTTTTTAAAATTGTGTTTTCTATTTGGAAGGATTTGAAAAAATCTGGAGGACCTTTGGTGTCTTGTTTTTAAAAGAGTTTTTAAAAAATCTTGGGGGGACTTAATGTCTTTCAAAGTCTTGAAGATCTTCTGTTTTACTTTTGGAAGAATTTGAGAGAACTTAAGAGATTCCTAGTATATTTTTAATGTTAAAAATCTTTGGAGCCCCCTGTGTTTTTTTTTATGTAATTTGGAAAAAAAAATCTCAGAGACCCATGGTGTTTTGTTTTTGAAAGAGCCTAAAATAATTTCAGGGGAACCTAGCGTGTTTTTTTTTAATATGCGAAAGTATCGTAAGGACACCTTGTTTTTATTTGTGAAACAAATTTAGAGGTTCCTGTTTTTAAAGTTAAAAAATATTGCAGCCCATTGTGTTTAGCTTGTAAAACGTAACCGAATCTTCGGGGTCCCTTGTATTTCATTTGTGAAAGAATTTGAAAAGATCTTAGGGTCCTTTTGTTTTGTTTTTGGAAGAATTTGAAAGAATCTTGGGGGCGCTTGGTGTCTTAAAAAACCCTTGAGGACCTCTTGTTTGCTTCTTGACAGAATTTAAAAGATATTGAGAGGTTCCTAGTGTATCTTTTATTAATGCTAAAGAATTTTTGGACTCCCTGGTGTTTTCTTTTTGGAAAAATTTGAAAAAAATTTCGGGGACTCCTGGTGTGTTGTTTTTGAAAAAGCCTGAAAGGGAACCTCGTGTGTTTTTTTTTTTCAAATATGTGAAAGTATCATAAAGATCCCTTGTATTTTATTTGCCAGACATTGAAAAGTTCCTTTTTTTAAGTTAAAAAATCTTTACATGGCCTTGCATTTAGCCTTTGAAGACGTAAGCAAATCTTGGTGTCCCTTGTGTTTTCTTTTTGGAAGATTTTGAAAAGATCTTGAGGGTACTTGTGTTTGGTTTTTGAAAGAGTTTGAAAGATTTTAGGGGGCGCTTAGTGTTTTTACAAAAACCTTGGGACTTTCTGTTTTGTTTTTTGAAAGAATTTGAAAGATATTAAGAGATTCCTAGTATTTTTTCTACCGTTAAGGGATCTTTGAAGGCCTTTGTGTTTCGCCTTTAAAACGTAAACGAATTTTCGGGGTCCCTTGTGTTTTCTTTTTGGAAGAATTCGAAAAAATTTCGGGGATCCCTAGTGTTTAGTTTTTGGAAAGAATCTTAGCGGTTTCTTGTATTTCATTTGTGAAAGCATTTAAAAAGATTTTGGTGTCCTTGTTTTTTTTTTGAAGAATTTGGAAGATCTTGGGGGCGCTTGGTGTCTTTAAAAAAACCTTGAGGACCTCCTGTTTTGTTCTTGAAAGAATTTAAAAGATATTGAGAGGTTCCTAGTGTATTTTTTATTAATGCTAAAGAATCGTTGGACTCCCTGGTGTTTTCTTTTTGGAAAAAATTGAAAAAAATTGCGGGGACTCCTGGTGTGTTGTTTTTGAAAAAGTCTGCAAGGGGAACCTCGTGTATGTGTGTGTGTTTTTTTTTTCAAATATGTGAAAGTATCATAAAGATCCCTTGTATTTTATTTGCCAAAGACATTTAAAGGTTCCTTTTTTTTAAGTTAAAAAATCTGTACATCCCCTTGTATTTACCCTTTGAAGACGTAAGCAAATCTTTGTGTCCCTTGTGTTTTCTTTTTGGAAGATTTTGAAAAGATCTTGAGGGTACTTGTGTTTTGTTTTTGAAAGAGTTTGAAAGATTTTTGGGGGCGCTTAGTGTCTTTATAAAAACCTTGGAACTTTCTATTTTGTTTTTGAAAGAATTTGAATGATATTAAGAGGTTCCTAGTATTTTTTCTACCGTTAAGGGATCTTTGAAGGCCTTTGTGTTTCGCTTTTAAAACGTAAACGAATTTTCGAAGTTGCTCGTGTTTCCTTTTTGGAACAATTCGTAAAAATTTCAGGGGCCCCTAGTGTTTTGTTTCTTAAGAGTCTGAAAGAATCTTAGGAGTCCCTTGATCTTGGGGGTCCTCGTTTTTTGAGTGTGAAAGAATCTTGGGGGCGCTTAGTGTCTTTCAAAGTCCTGAAGGTCTTCTGTTTTATTTTTGAAAGAATTGAAATAAATTAATAGGTCCCTAGTGATTTTTTGATGTTAAAAATCTTTGAGGCCCCATGTGTTTCATTTTTAAAATATACAAGAATCTTTGAGTTCCCTTGTCTTTTTTTTTGGAGGAATTTTGGAGCTCCCTGTGCTTTGTTTTTAAAGAGTTTGAAAGAATCTTGGGGGCGCTTTTAGTGTGTTTTAAAGTATTGACGATATTCTGTTCTTATTTTTGAAAGAATCTCTGGAGCTCTTTGTGTTTCGCTTTTAAAATGTACAAAAATCTTCGAGGTCCCTTGCGTTTTCTTTTTGGAAGAATTTGAAAAAATCGTGAAGACGCTTTTGAAGGATCACACAAAAAATTAAAGTATACAATGTAAGTAACTTAACTTACTTATTCTATTTAAATAACTTCAGACTAATTTTTTAAACCTACTTCGCATGTTGAACGGTTTCCAAGAACATAAGCACAAAATTACATAAAATGTTTTCGTTGTATGAAGGTTAAAATAATTACGTGGCGAAATTAGTTAAAATATTATTCTTAAAAAAAAATCCAAAAACCACAACCAACCAAAAATAGTTTCACATTACTTTGTAAACTACAATTAGAACGTTATTAACCTGATAACAATATACCAAGCATTAGCTCCGCTCCTAAAACATAAAGAACGCATTCCAATTTACTTTCAAATAAATACACGTTTAATTTCACTTCTCCATTGATAAAACATTTTAAACCAGCAAAATACCACCTAATCTCTCAATACATTGACACGAAATTAATTCACAACCTGCTTACTGATCTGATTACCATCAACCATCAATCATAACCCACTTTCCTTTAGCACACACTTTAAACATAATTCAACAACCCGTGCCATAAAATCCAGCTTCCGAACCAGATTTATTCACATTTCTATTGTCATTTTTATGGATCGTGTAGGTTATACTTGTCCGGTCGTAAAATCGCTGCGTAAAAGCTGCGAAATTACCTTAAACATTAACATGTTTCCAAACAAGATTTTAAGAGGAACAGGTGTACAAATGTTGCAAACCACAATCTCGACCGTAAAAATTGTCCAGGGAATCAATTACCCATTTGTGTATTATTGACTGATTAGTGTTAAACGTCAATTTGAATAACACAATTGATAGGCAGGAAAAACCTCAATTAACGCACGCTAGAAATGTCCATATAAACGTGATTTTAAATTCATAGAGTGACAAAAAATTGTTTTCGTGGTGTTTCCGGTTAGCGTTGTTGAGATAACGCCTTTACGGTTTCAGGAAATGTCAACAAGTGTTGACACGGTGATCTATTGCTTACTAGCTCTGTAGTAATACGTCTTTGTTGATAGTGAATATGAATAACAACACACCTTGATGAGAGTTACATCAGTCTGCAGGATAATGTAATAATAAAGTAGCTTTGTATTATTTGTAAACAAAATTTAATAACTCGATCCCAATTAGTCGATGGAATATTTTTAATTTGGACTTTTATGGCGCGAAATCACACTTATTAACGTACTACTCGCAATTTAATAAAATCTTGTGACCGTCGAAATCATAAATAAACAAAGTTTAATCCGGAAAAGATTATACAGGGAGCGTTTAGTTTTCGGTGTTTGGTGCGTCCGCCATAAGTAGCGGGAAAACTAAAATAATTTAAAAATAGGCTCGTACATGGTAATTATGTTATTATTTAAAATTAAACCGTAATTTAGTTTCTTTCGCTCAAAGTTTAACAGTTTAAATATTTTTGTTATTTATGTCCAAGGATTCTGCTTGCGGTATAAGTTAAAAGTTTGTAACAAGAGTCACATTAAAATAATAATTCGCTTAAAATTTTAATGACGTAAACATTTTTTACAAATTGTAGAAACTGCGTCGATAGACATAATTACGTCTGGTTTTTACATATTTAATTAACAAAACAAATTGTTAAATCAGAGTTCAAATTAATAAATTGTCTCATTTCCTGCGTTTGGCATTTAATAAATAAGAAATATTTTCTTGATTCGCTTGGAAATTAATTTATTTCTTTCTGTTTTGACTTTGTACTTGAATAAATAATAGATAAGAATAAGACTGCAGTGCGATCAGACGAATTCAAGTGCGATTCGTCGTCAGCCGTAAATATTTTATCGCAAGTCGATAATCAATCAGGTGTTTTAATGTTTTATAGTAACAATGTACTGAATTTGAAGAAAACTCAACTATACATCGTTACACAACAAACTATTTCCACGTGAATTCCAGATGAATCATTTTTATATAATCCGAGCGATTTCTCGTCGGTGAGAGTACTCTCGAAGAAAGTTACACCAAAGCGGAAAAATTACAACAAAGCCCATCCACCAGACACTAAATCGTCTATTATTTACGGCAACTACACGTTAAAACCACACCTGAAATTAAAGAGGACAACGCAAACAACTTTCAACTAAAAACGCTGCAGCAATCGTGAAGCAACTGTCTTTTACCTTTTATAAACAATAAATTGCCACGTTTCAGTTGGTGAGGTCCTCTTCAAAGCGTCCCAGATCCGGGCACATTGTGTCACATTATTGAAAACACAGAAACAATTTAATAACAAACAGCGATTTCGAAACTAAAAAATGTTTATTGACCGGATACCAACACACCACCTGTTCGACTCTGCGAGCACTAAACGAATTGAAATTTCCCCGGCCAGTGGCCACGAGTTGCGCGATGTCTTCTGCGCGGAGTCGCTCTGGGAAAAGAGCTTTTCCGAACAGGGTGAGGAAGTGTGTCTTGGTTTCCAGGAGGCCGGGGACAGGATAACAGGAAGGAGGAGGGAGCTTTTGAGTGCGCGTTTCGTCGAACTCCAATTTTCCATTTATTAATGGAAAATTGGAGTTCGAGTCCTTGCGCAGGACATTTTTTTTTTTTTTATTAAATGAAAAGTAGTCACATTTTTGGTTTGTTTAATTGTTTCTGAGAAATCGACTCGTGCAGGTTTTATAATGAGAAATCGTATGCAAAGCTTTGGCCGTTGGGTCAATGTCAGCCACTAGAGCAATTAAATTTTGAAGTGTCCTAATTACCCACATATTACTTTCTATGTGGAAAAACAATCCTTTTCCTTCTTTTATTTATTTGATAAAAGGTCGTAGACAAAGTATGGTATTCCACTCGCCTGTGGCTCGTTTGGCGAATTTCGTCATTGCTAATAATGACTATCGTTACACTCTCGTTGAATAATATATTAACAAGGTTCAAATATTCCATAAAATCAGCTTGTGATGTGAATAACCAAGTATTTAGATATTATTATTTTGTTTTATTACAAGATGGGTAGTCTTGGGGAGGAATACAGGGTGGATCATCAAGTATCAGAAATTTTCATTTTTCATATAGCAAAATTAATAATGAACTTGTTTTTGATATCGCTTTATTAAAAACAAGTACCGGTGTAATTAAGGGTAATTAAAAAAAATGAGCAAGTACAACTTCACAACCAATTATTAAAAATGCCACGGAAATTAGAACGTCTGCCTTAATTATACATGTCTGTAATAATAATTAGTGCATTTTGGTTTATTTGGTATAAACATACAAAGTGAACACGTGACTTCTTGAATCTTGAAGCTTCGGCGAAGATCGTGAGTCTTCGAGAAACTTCGAAGTGTTGCCGAAGATTTCAGGAAGTGGTACCAACGTATTCTAAAAAAAAACTGTTTTTTCATCTATTTTAAGGTAGTTTATCATGTTTTAAGCAAACAGGCCAATTTTGACGTTGAAGTTTTTATAAAATAAAAAAATTGGTTATTGCTTGCTTATAAAGTATTCTGTGTGAAAAAGTTAAATTAATAAAATAAATTGACTTATTCATTAATATTTTGGAGCCACTTGTTTAGGCAAATCTAAAAAATATGAATCCAATGATAAATCAGAAGTAAAAACTCAGTTTGCAAACTACCCATCTTGTGATTTTGGAATACATAGGCAGAAGTTAGCAGTTAGTTCAGTTGATGTTAAGAAAAAACAACTTTAATTACCTTATGCGCAGGAGAGCTGTCGCCACGTTTGGTTCAGCATAATTTGTAAATATTTTGCATTCATTAATATACTGGTACAAACTTGATACTGATAATTGAGACCGCGACGTTGAAAAAAGGATAGAACAATAATAATCAAAGCGATCGGGGTCAAGTAAACTAATTTAGAGAACTGATTCATCTAAAAATAGTCCAGAAGTTGATGGTTTAGGTGTTAGGGTTTTCGTATACAAGTAAAAAAAAATCGGCGAAGGTTATTTCGACAGAAAATATGTTTCTTTTTAATGAACACATTGCTTATAATGCTGTGATTTTTTGTCAGGTTGGTAACATTTTTAAATTTTATGATAGCATAGGCTGATTGTCAAATTGACATTTATGACACCAAGTCATAGCTGCCTAACTGGGTAATATCGTTCTGATTGGCTCATTTTTCACCCCACTCTGCCTACATTTCTACATTAGTGACACCTAGTGAACGGCAGTTAAGTTCAGATTGGTCAATTCAGAACTGCCAACACAAAACTGCCGGATTATGAGGAGTTTAAAAGGACGAGCTCTATAGGTTACTTTTATAATAGATTTGAGTGGACTAGAAAAATGGCTAAAGTTTGTTTGACATTTGGCACCAGCGAGAAGGTTTTACATTTTTAAAAAAGAAAATTGGGACTCCCGAGAAGGTTTTTACATTTTTAAAAAGGACAATCGGGACCCCCGGGAAGCTTACACATTAAAAAAAATATACTTGGGGCCTCCGAGAAGATTTTACATTTTTAAAAAAGACAGTTGGGACCCCTGAGAAGGTTTCACATTCTAAAAAAGAGAAAATTTGTGTTTTCTGATAACATTTATAAAGTAAAGTATAGTCAGGACGTGCCGTTGGCAGATATACAGACAATGTGAAATGTATTCAAAAATAACCCACGGAAAAAAGCGTATTTTTTCAGTGTACTTGCTTAACTTCAATTGTTTATGTTTATACATCGAAAGAATGTCACGTAGAAAGTTGGTTAATTTGAATGAGTTATTGTCTTCACAAAACACAAGACTAAAATTATTTATTAAACCACAATGGAACAAAATGTTTTGAATATGATTATTATTATTTTTATTTGATTATAATCAAATAAAAATTTGATTATAATCAAATAAAAACGTGTGTATTCTCACATTTTCTAGAAAGTGGGGTTCTTAATTTGATCGATAAAAAATCCAGCTCTTAAATTTTGGAGGAGTTTAGTATTCTGTTTTTGGAAAATTCTGACCTGACCTGTTTTTGAGTTAATTTTGAAATCCCGTTTTTTTTTTTTAAATTTAAGGTTCTAGGTATTCCTGTTTGGAAAGAATTTGAAAGTGCTTTGGAGCCTCTAGTGTCCTTTCTTATAATGACTTAATTATTTTTTTGGAGGATACGTCATTTCCCAAAATCAGTTTTATCTTAGCAGATACTAGACCCGCCCATCCGCCCTGAAATTTTTTAATTATTATGTTTGTAATGAGTGTTTACAGGATATATCCTCCACTCAGTAATTTTCATTTAAATAAAAATAAAATAAAAATTGAAAAATCAAAACATTGAAAAACTAAAAATCGAGAAACTTACAAATGAAAAAATTAGAGGAAAGAAGAAAAAATAAATCAGATCGAAAAATTGGAAAATTCAAAAATTGTAAAATCGAAAAATTGTAGGATGGTCAAAATTGTAAAGTCGAAAAACTAACGTTGAAAGATCGAAAATTTGAAAAATTAAATATCGAAAAATTCAAAAACTGAATAAATGAACAAGTTTTAGAAAAATGGAATAATTCTAAAATCGTGGAATTTTAAAAAGTTAAAAATTTTAATAATTATAATTATTACCTATGTAAAATGAAAACTACAAAAATTGCGGAAACGAAACATTGAAAAATCGAGAAACTGAAAGATCTAAAACTTAAAAATCGAAAAATTAAAAAATTTAAAAGTTGAAAAATGGAAAAATTGAAAAATCTAAATAAAATTTTCAAAAGTCAAATTTGGCATTTTTCGAAAAATTTGGATTTATTTACCTTCAATCAATTTTTAGATATGTGCCACAATTTTTCGTTTTCCGGTTTTTCATTTCCTCAATTTCTCCAGTTCTTGATTTTTATTTTTCATTTTCCCGATTTTTTAATTTTAATTTTCTCGATTTTATATCACGATTTTCCGTTTTATCATATCCTTGATTTTTTCAATGTTTCTTTCGATTTTACAATTTTTCATTAATTAAATTGTTCACATTTACAATTCCTGGATTTTCCAATTTAAAATTTTTAATTTTCCAATTTTTGGATTCCTCAATATCCTTGCCCTTGAAGTACAACCCCACAAATTTCGCTTGTTTACAAAATTATAGAAAATTTGTGTTTTCTGATAACCTTTCTATACTCGTAGTAAAGTATAGTAAGGAGGTGCCGGCCGCAGATATACAGACAATATGATATGTATTCAAAAATAACCAACGGAAAAAAGCGTATTTTTTCAGTGTACTTGCTTAACTTCAATTGTTTATGTTTATACATCGAAAGAATGTCACGTAGAAATTTGTTTAATTTGAATGAGCTATTGTCTTCTCAAAACACAAGACTAAAATTATTAATTAAGCCACAATGGAACAAAATGTTTTGAATATGATTATTATTATTCTTATTTGATTATAATTAAATAAAAACGTGTGTATTCTCACATTTTCTAGAAAGTGAGGTTCTTAATTTGATCAATAAAAAATCCAGCTCTTAAATTTTGGGGGAGTTTAGTATTCTGTTTTTGGAAAATTCTGACCTGACCTGTTTCTGAGTTATTTTGAAATCTTGTTTTTTTTTTGAAAAATTTAAAGTTCTAGGTATTCCTGTTTGGAAAGAATTTGAAAGTGCTTTGGAGCCTCTAGTGTCCTTTTTTATAATGACTTAATTATTTTTTTGGAGGATACGTCATTTGCTAAAATCAGTCTTATCTTAGTAGCTACTAGCCCCAGCCGCCCGCCCTCTGTTTCCTAAAGAATATGTCATTTGCCAAAATCAGTTTTATCTTAGCAGATACTAGACCCGCCCACCCGCCCTCTCTTTTCTTATAGGGTATCCCATTTGCCAAAATCACTCTTATCTTACTTAGCAGGACTAGCCCCGCCCTCTCTTTTCTTAAAGGTTATCTCATTTGCCAAAATCACTCTAATCTTACTTAGCAGGACTAGCCCCGCCCGCCCGCCCACCCACCCACCCTCTCTTTCCTTAGATGGTATGTCATTTGCCAAAGTTACTCTTATCTTACTAGCCCCGCCCTCTCTTTTCTTAAAAGTCTTATTTACCAAAATCACTCGTATCTTAGCAGAACTAGCCCCGCCCACCCACCATCTCTTTTTTTAGAGGGTATGTCCTTTGCCAAAATCAGTTTTATCTTAGCAGATACTAGACCCGCCCACCCGCCCTGAAATTTTTAAATTATTATGTTTGTAATGAGTGTTTAAAGGATATATCCTCCACTCAGTAATTTTCATTTAAATAAAAATAAAATAAAAATTGAAAAATCAAAACAATGAAAAACTAAAAATCGAGAAACTTACAAATGAAAAAATAAATCAGATCGAAAAATTGGAAAACCCAAAAATTGTAAAATCGAAAAATTGTAGAATGTTCAAAATTGTAAAGTCGAAAAACTAACGTTGAAAAATCGAAAATTTGAAAAATTAAATATCGAAAAATTCAAAAACTGATTAAGTGAAAAAGTTTTAAAATCCAATAATTGAAAAATGGAAAAATTCTAAAATCGTGGAATTTTAAAAAGTTAAAAATTTTAATAATTATAATTATTACCTATGTAAAATGAAAACTACAAAAATTGCGGAAACGAAACATCGAAAAATCGAGAAATTGAAAGATCTAAAACTGAAAAAACGAAAAATTAAAAAATTTTAAAGTTGAAAAATGGAAAAATTGAAAAATGTAAATAAGATTTACAAAATCAAATTTGACATTTTTCGAAAAATTTGGATTTATTTGCCTTCAATCAATTTTTTGATATGTGCCACACTTTTTCGTTTTCCGATTTTTCATTTCCTCAATTTCTCAAGTTCTTGATTTTTATTTTTCATTTTCGCGATTTTTTAATTTTAATTTTCTCGATTTTATATCACGATTTTCCGATATATCGTATCCTTTATTTTTTCAATGTTTCTTTCGATTTTACAATTTTTCGTTTATTAAATTGTTCACATTTTCACTTCCTGGATTTTCCAATTTTCCAATTTTTGGATTCCTCAATATCCTTGCCCTTGAAGTACAACCCCACAAATTTCACTTCTTTGAAAAATTATAGAAAATTTGTGTTTTCTGATAACCTTTATATACTCGTAGTAAAGTATAGTAAGGAGGTGCCGTCCGCAGATATACAGACAATATGAAATGTATTCAAAAATAACCAACGGAAAAAAGCGTATTTTTTCAGTGTACTTGTTTAACTTCAGTTGTTTATGTTTATACATCGAAAGAATGTCACGTAGAAATTTGTTTAATTTGACTGAGTTATTGTCTTTTCAAAACACAAGACTAAAATTATTAATTAAGCCACAATGGAACAAAATGTTTTGAATATGATTATTATTATTCTTATTTGATTATAATTAAATAAAAACGTGTGTATTCTCACATTTTCTAGAAAGTGAGGTTCTTAATTTGTTCAATAAAAAATCCAGCTCTTAAATTTTGGGTGAGTTTAGCATTCTGTTTTTGGAAAATTCTGACCTGACCTGTTTTTGAGTTACTTTTGAGACCCCGTTTTTTTTTTTTGAAAAATTTAAGGTTCCTGTTTGAAAAGAATTTGAAAATGCTTTGGAGCCTCTAATGTCCTTTCTTATAATGATTTAATTACATTTTTTAGAGAATACCTCATTTGCTAAAATCAGTCTTATCTTAGTAGCTAACAGCCCCAGCCGCCCGCCCTCTATTTCCTAAAGAATATGTCATTTGCCAAAATCAGTTTTTTCTTAGCAGATACTGAAAAATCCAAACATTGAAAAACTAAAAATCGAGAAACTTACAAATGAAAAAATTAGAGGAAAGAAGAAAAAATAAATCATATCGAAAAATTGGAAAATTCAAAAATTGTAAAATCGAAAAATTGTAGAATGGTCAAAATTGTAAAGTCGAAAAACTAACGTTGAAAGATCGAAAATTTGACAAATTAAATATCGAAAAATTCAAAAACTGAATAAATGAAAAAGTTTCCTCAATTTCTCAAGTTCTTGATTTTTATTTTTCATTTTCGCGATTTTTTAATTTTAATTTTCTCGATTTTATATCACGATTTTCCGATTTATCATATCCTTTATTTTTTCAATGTTTCTTTCGATTTTACAATTCATTTATTAAATTGTTCACATTTTCCCATTTAAAATTTTCAATTTTCCAATTTTTGGATTCCTCAATAGCCTTGCCCTTAAAGTACAACCTCTCAAATTTCGCTTCTTTGCAAAATTATAGAAAATTTGTGTTTTTTGATAACCTTTACATAGTAAAGTATAGTAAAGAGGTGCCGTCCGCAAATATACAGACAATATGAAATGTATTCAAAAATAACCAACGGAAAAAAGCGTATTTTTTCAGTGTACTTGCTTAACTTCAATTGTTTATGTTTATACATCGAAAGAATGTCACGTAGAAATTTGTTTAATTTGAATGAGTTATTGTCTTCTCAAAACACAAGACTAAAATTATTAATTAAGCCACAATGGAACAAAATGTTTTCAATATGATTATTATTATTCTTATTTGATTATAATTAAATAAAAACGTGTGTATTCTCACATTTTCTAGAAAGTGAGGTTCTTAATTTGACCAATAAAAAATCCAGATCTTAAATTCTGACCTGACCTGTTTTTGAGTTAATTTTGAAATCCCGGTATTTTTTTGAAAAATTTAAGGTTCTAGGTATTCCTGTTTTGAAAGAATTTGAAAGTGCTTTGGAGCCTCTAGTGTCCTTTCTTATAATGATTTAATTAAATTTTTAGAGGATACGTCATTTGCTAAAATCAGTCTTATCTTAGTACTATTCTTGCTCATCCACCCTTTATTTAATTATAGGGTATCCCATTTTCCAAAATCAGTCTTATGCAGCTACTAGCCCCGCCCACCCACCTTCTCTTTTCTTAGAGAGTATGTGCCAGACAAACAGACAAAAGTAGGAGACCTATTGTTTCGTGCTCTAGGGGTTATCAAACGTCCAGAAAACATGAAATTATTGCAATACTTACGCTTGAGAAATGAAAAATTATATATTAAGACTTGTCTTCCAGAAATTATGTGGTTATTAGCATAATTACTACGAACACATTAGACCCATTATAAAATGATTGCTTCAATCGCATTTTTTATTGCTAATTAACCACTACAAAATTAAAAATATCCTGGAATGCCTACGTGGTGCCAATTTTACAATAATGAATGCAGACTAATAATAATTAAACTGTTTTAATGGTGTTCCATTTGGACACAAGTTTCACCATTGTACAAAAAGATAACAATAAATAAAACAAGAATACACCGAATTTGTCCTAGTTCTTGTATAATGAATGGTGATAATTGTAGAATAAAATTCATGATATGCAATTTCTACGTCAATGTGTATAAATGGTTGCCTATTCAAATACTTACCTGACTCACCCACACATTATCACAAACATTGTGAAACGGAGAACCATTTCTGGAAACACAGTAAACTAAACGTAGAATATTATTTTTTATTATATTGTTTGTACATGATATTTACATTCAATATATACATTTCAAAGATATTTAGGCACTGACTGAAATATTTGCTAATGGAAGATTTTATTCGTGACTAGCAATAACAATTTCTAAAATCTAGAAAAAAATTACAAAGTAAAATAATGACATAAAAAAGACGAACCCGAAAAGGCTACAATAAAATACAAACATAAATAAATAATAAAAAAAGAATACTAGTAGACAAATAAATGTAGCGTATTCGTCATATTTGCTTTAAATCATAGCAATACTTAGAAGATATAAGTACCTAATTTAAATTGTTTTAATAGACTTATAAACCCTATTATATTAGATTTGGTTTTTAAATAGATTAACAATTACGTGAAAACTATAACAAGTGTTATTTAATTATACATATAAATGACTAATAAATGAAAATACATAACTTGATAACCGGTCGATTTGACTAATACAAACCCATTTTTAAATAACTTGCCATAGTGGTAATATTCTCCAACCCGAAAATACTGCTAGAAAAATATTTGTTTGTTCGCAGCAGTCTTCCTCAATAGTGACAATGGAAAATAAAAATGCGAAGAAATAAACATCCTACGAAAATCCACAGCCAACGAGACTAACAATATTGTTCAGTTATATTTTGAAACACATTAGCGGCCTCCAGCCCCTTACAAATATGATTTCAAACATAAAGCACTTTGTTTAGTAACAATCCAGTCGTTTTAAGTCAAAATTTTCACACAATAACATTACACGTTTGGTGTTTCGGGACAGTGGGGCATTTCGAGCGACCTCACCATGTGCTTGAACTATCACGACGGTTAATCATTGTGTCATTTTTATTGTTGTCATTAAGTCAACCCCGCCGTGACAGTTCAAGAACAACCAAGTAAGCACGGCCAAAACGGCCCACTTTCACACAATAAAGCTATTCTAAAACCACCGAAAAAATGATATGAAAATTGCACGTTTTTGAGCAACAACATCAAAATGAAGAATTTAAGAAATCTGATGCTAGCAGGCTGACGAAGCGTCCCATGTTCTACTTGTCGATTGTAAATTTGGCGGTTGTGGTGCTTGTTGCTTGCTACCAGCTACAATAAGATACTTGTTACATTATCGCCCCATTTTTCGAAAAATTGTCAAGTTCTTAATGCGCTATTAAAATACACAATTAGCAGTCGATTTAAATTTATTTAGATACAGCAGGATTTCCTGTTTCGTCGCTTTAAACTTGACAATTATTCAGGTCGACAAATGTTAGAAAAAAAAAAAAGAAGCAATGTACAAATTAAGTATTGCACAAAAAAAATATAATAAAAACATTCCCAATAAATAACATGAAATAAAGATGGGACATATGTACAGAAAATAAGTTTCCTTGAAGAGCACAAACATAAATGTCATACAGTTGTTAGTAGTCGACTGACTCATGCAATGGTGAACATGCAGCTGCAAAATCCATTAGCAATTGGAGCCTGCGGTAAATAAAAAATACCAAGAATGAAATGTGAATAAAAAAACAAAATCAAACAAAAACCAACCACGGGGGTGTGAAATGTAGTGGTGTTTCAAGCAGTCGGTGTGTTTACTTCCCAGGCGTAAGCTAAGGAAGTGTTGTAATCGAGTCCATCGGCTACATTTTCTCGACGCCATTTTCAAAATTTACAAGAGTAAATTTGTTTTTAATTTTATAAATTCATTTGTGGTGTACGAATCCCTGTTGAGTTTTCACCCAAGACATCCAAATTTTTGGAACAAATAAAAATTGTATAACATTTTACAATTTAACTTTGAAACTGCAAAATCGAATCAAAAAAAAGTTGATGACGTCATCTTATAATTTTGCAGTACAAATGCTGTTTAAATTTTATAAAATAACATACTCTTGTACTTGTGTTTTATGAATCCGTGTTGAATTTTGACAGGTATACGTGTCCTTGTAAGAATGTTGATGACGTCACGACAAAATTTTGTAACAGAAAAACTCACTTAAAACTAACGTCTGGCACGCTTGTAAGGGTTATCATAAAAAAATAAAATTCGCAAATTCAAATTATACCATTTTTCGAAAAATCTGGATTTATTTCCCTTCGACCAATTTTTTTATATCATAATTTTTCGTTTTTCCTTTTATTTTTTAATTTTCATTTTCTTGATTTTATATCACGATTTTCCAATTTAAATTTTTCGATTTTACAATTTTTGGATTTCTCATTATCCAATTTTCCGATTTCTTTAATTTTCAATAATTTTTGAATTTTTGTCGATTCTGCACTTTTTCGATTTTCAAGTTTATCAATTTTTAATATTTCAATTTTTCGATTTTCCAAAATTTTCATTTTATATTTTTTCGTTTTTTCATTTTTGATTTTTCAATTGTACAATTTTGCAATTTTTTAATTTTTTTATTCGAAAAGTTAAAAAATCCAAAAATTGAAACATCGAAAAATTGAAAATTGAAAAATTACAAATCGAAGAACTGAAAAACCCAAAATTCGAAACATTGAAAAACTAAAAATTGAGAAATTGCGAAAAAAATGAATAAATGGAAAAATTAGAGGAAAGAAGAAAAAATAAATCGGATCGAAAAATTGAAAAATCCAAAAATTGTAACATTAAAAAATTGTAAAGTCGAAAAACTAACATTGAAACTTCAAAAATATGAAAAATTAAAAAATCGAATAAATGAAAAAGTTTTAAAATCCAATAATTGAAAAATGGAAAAAATTCTAAAATCGTGGAATCTTAAACAGTTAAAAATTTTAACAATTATAATTATTACATATTATGTAAAATGAAAACTACAAAAATTGCAGAAACGAAACATTGAAAAATCGAGAAACTGAAAGAACTACAACTGAAAGTAAAAATTAAAAAAATTAAAAGTTGAAAAATCGAAAAATTGAAAAATCCAAATAAAATTCGCATAATCAAATTTTGTCGTTTTTCGAAAATTTTTGATTTATTTACCTTCAACCAATTTTTTATACCACAATTCTTCGTTTTTTCCTTTTTTCCGATTAGCAATTTTTCGTTTTTCGACTTTTCGTTCCCTCAATTTTTCAAGTTCTTGATTTTTATTTTTCATTTTCCCGATTTTTTTAATTTTAATTTTCTCGATTTTATATCACGATTTTCGTTTTTTCATTTCTTTTATTTTTGCAATGTTTCTTTCGATTTTATAATTTTTTATTTATTGAATTGTTCATATTTTCAATTCCTCGATTTTCCAATTTAAAATTTTCCATTCTACAATTTTTGGATTTTTCAATATCCGATTTTCCGATTTCTTTGATTTTGAATAATTCCGTTTTATAATATTTTTTTTGTCGATTCTGCATTTTTTCGATTTTTTAGTTTCTTAATTTTCCAATTTTTAGATTTTTCAAAATTTTCATTTTATACGTTTTCGTTTTTTCATTTTTGGTTTTTCAATTGTACAATTTTGCAATTTTTCCATTTGAAAAATCAAAATTAAAGATCGCAGAACTGAAAATACGAAAAACTGAAACACTGAAAAATTAAAAATCGAGAAACTTACAAATTTTTCGATTAATCAATGGAAAAATTAGAGGAAAGAAGAAAAAATGAATCGGATCGAAAAATTTGAAAACCCAAAATTGTAAAATCGAAAAATTGTAGATTCGTCAAAATTGTAAAGTCGAAAAACCAACATTGAAAGATTGAAATTTTAAAAAATTAAATATCGAAAGACTAAACGAATAAATAAAAAAGTTTTAAAATCCTATAATTGAAAAATGGAAAAATTCTAAAATAGTGGAATTTTAAAAAATTAAAATTTTTAATAATTATAATTATTACATATGTAAAATGAAAACTACAAAAACTGTAGAAACGAAAAATTAAAAAATATATAATTTGAAAAACCGAAAAATTTAAAAATCCAAATAAAATTCGCAAAATAAAATTTTGTCATTTTTCGAAAAATTTCGATTTATTTACCTTCAATCAATTTTTTGATACCACAATTTTTCGTTTTTCCTTTTTTTTTCGATTAGCAATTTTTCGTTTTTCGACTTTTTCAATTGTTCGTTCCCTCAATTTTTCAAGCTCTTGATTTTTATTTTTCATTTTCCCGATTTTTTAATTTTAATTTTCTCGATTTTATATCACAATTTTCCGTTTTTTGATTTCCTTTATTTTTGCAATGTTTCTTCCGATTTTATAATTTTTGAATTTTGAATTGTTCAAATTTTCAATTCCTCGATTTTCCAATTTAAAATTTTCAATTCTACAATTTTTGGATTCTCAATATCTGATTTTCCGATTTCTTTAATTTTCAATAATTCCACTTTACAATATTTCTTTTTGTCGATTCAGCATTTTTTCGATTTTTAAGTTTCTCAATTTTTAATGTTTCGATTTTTCAATTTTTCGTTTCTTCAATTTTTCAAGTTCTTGATTTCCAATTTTTTTATTTTTCAAAATTTTCATTTTATACTTTTTCGTTTTTCACTTTTGGTTTTTCAATTGTACAATTTTGCAATTTTTCCATTTTTTTTATTCAAAAAATGGAAAGATCGAAAAATTAAAAATCGAAAAATTTTAGAATCGCCAAAATTGTAAAGTCGAAAAACTAACATTGAAAGATTAAAAATGTGGAAAATAAAATATCGAAAAATTAAAAAATCGAATAAATGAAAAAGTTAAAAATTTTAATTATAATTATTACATATGTAAAATAAAAACTGAAAAAATGAAAAATCCAAATAAAATTCGCAAAATCAAATTTTTTGATACCACAAATTTTCGTTTTTCCTTTTTTTTCAATTTTTCGTTGCCTCAATTTATAAAGTTCCTGATTTTTATTTTTCATTTTCCCGATTTTTTAATTTTCATTTTCTCGATTTTATAATATCCCGATTTTCCGTTTTTTCAATTCCTTTAATGTTTCATTTTTCTTTCGATTTTACGATTTTTCATTTTTTGAATCGTTCAAATTTTCAATTCATCGATTTTCCAATTTAAAATTTTCAATTTTACAATTCTTAGATTTCTCAATATCCGATTTTCCGATTTCTTTTTCAATAATTCCGTTTTGCAATTAATATTTTTTTTGTCGATTCTGCACTTTTTCAATTTTTAAGTTTCCCAATTTTAATGTTTCGATTTTCAATTTTTCGTTTTTTCAATTTTTCAAGTTCTTGATTTCAAATTTTTATTTTTCAAAATTTTCATTGTATACTTTTTCGTTTTTTCAATTGTACAATTTTTCTATTTTTCCTTTTTTTTTAATTCGAAAAGTTGAAAAATCGAAACATTGAAAAACTAAAAATCGAGAAACTTACAAATCGAAAAAAAAAAAATAATGAATGGAAAAATAAAAGAAAAAGAAGAAAAAATGAATGGGATCGAAAAATTGGAAAACCCAAAAATTGTAAAATCGAAAAATTGCAGAATCGTCGAAAACTAACATTGAAAGATCGAAAATTTGAAAAATTAAAAAATCGAATAAAAGAAAAAGTTTTAAAATCCAATAATTGAAAAATGGAAAAATTCAAAAATCCAAATAAAATTCGCAAAATCAAATTTGGCGTTTTTCAACATTTGGATTTATTTACCTTCAACCAATTTTTTGATACCACAATTTTCCGTTTTTCTTTTTTTTTTTGATTAGCAATTTTTCACTTTTGCAATTTATCGTTTCCTCAATTTTTGAAGTTTCCGATTTTTTAATTTTAATTTTCTTGATTTAATATCACAATTTTCCGTTTTTTCATTTCCTTTATTTTTTCAATGTTTCTTTCGATTTTCTAATTTAAAATTTTCAATTTTACAATTTTTGGATTTTTTTAATTTTCAATAATTCCGTTCTAGAATATTTCTTCTTGTCGATTCTGCACATTTTCGCTTTTTTAGTTTCCCAATTTTTAATGTTTCGATTTTTCAATTTTTCGTTTCTTCAATTTTTCAAGTTCTTGATTTTCAAATTTTAGATTTTTCAAAATTTTCATTTTTTCATTTTTGGTTTTTCAGTTGTACAATTTTGCAATTTTCATTCGAAAAGTTAAAAAATCGAAAAATTGAAACATCGAAAAATAAAATGCTCCTATATAGAAGAAAGTTTTAAAATTCAAAAATTGAAAAACCGAAAAACTGAAAAAAATAAAGAAAATAAAAAACCGAAACAGAAATTTACAAATCGACAAATTGAAGAAACAAAAAAATGAAAAATTGAAGAAACTAAAACTAAAAAAACAAAAGATTAAAAAGTCGAAACACTGAAAAATCTAATAATTGAAAAAATAAAGAAAATAAAAACTGAAAACCAAAAATTTCAAAAAAATCAAAAATTGAAGATTAACTTATCAGAAAACAAAAACCGCAAAAAATTTTATGTATATATATTTTGAACTTCAGGGCCGAGGGAAGTTCTGTTGAAATAACCTTCGATCCATTGTTTCTATTGTAAGGGACAATGGCCAAGTTTGAATGGTATATAACGATATGTCAAAGTGAATATATTTATCCGAAGGTCCGGTATCAACTTCGAAACTCCTAATATTCTTGTCTTTATAGTATGGGACGCCTATAAGCTGTGAATCACACGGCATGGGTCTAAAACATGCAGCGTTGTCAAGTTGAAGGTCCTCGCGTGAGTACAATAAAGCAACAAGAAAATTACATGCCCCTATAAAACAAAACTAATTTTAAAACGTCGGGCACATTTTTGTAGTCGTTATGTAACCTACAGTTAAGACATATTTTCAAGAAATTAACACAATGTCTAGAATAAATTAATGATATTTAAAAAAAGACAACCAATGGCAACACATCTTTCTTAAAAAATCTGTAGAATTGGCCACTACGGTGTCGTTACATCTGACTGCTTCTGACGTGTGTTCTCCTATAAGAAAATAGCACAACTAAACTCAAAAAGTCATCGTCTCTCCTAGTCCGGTTTTCTTCCTTATAACTTTTATTCTTTCGTTTATATAGAGGATTTTATTAAAACTTTTATTTTATTTAATAGCCAGCAGTGCGGTCCTCGTGTCTACACATAAACTTACTTAAGACAATTTTTCTTTGTCGCAATCTAGTAGGTTTATCTGTAAATCAACCGTAGCGCCACCTAGTTGCCGAAGCTAAAATGCCCCCTTAAAGCTCATCAAAGTTGGCCTCATCACGACATTTTCCACCACAATTGAAACACCAATACACCTACCACCCCCCCACCCCACCATCTACAATACTAACCTTGTCTGCCCCCATACACCTTAAACGTGTTCCTATACGGCGGCGGCTTCGGAAAAGTACTGGGGTCATGAAACATATGCTTGTACTTCTCCTCCAGGTCGGCGGCGGCCTTCCGCGTCGACGTCATCGACGAGTGCCTCGGGGGCGGCGGCGGCGCGAAGTTATTCGGCACCGCCGGTGGCGCCCTCGACGGTAACATCCTGTGCGGGGGAGGAGGAGGGGTGTGCGTTGGGGGCTGAGGTAAGGCGGAGGGCGGCGGCGGCGGCGCGTGGTTCGGGGGTTTGACGTAGGAGGTTTTCGACGGCGGCAGAGGCGCCTGGTTTCCGTGCGGCGGCGGCGGCGGGGGGTGCTGCGACGGGATGGAGGGAGGGGGTGCGTTCGGCCGGCCGTTTATCGTCGGTCTGGGCCTGGGGCTGAGATTGCCCGTCGAGTTGGCCAGCGATTGCCCGATGACCGACGACAGGTTGCGGACCGTGCCGAACTTCATCGGGACGGCGGTGTCGGGGCTCTGCGGTGAGGGCGACCTGGGGCTTTTCATGCTGTGGGCTCTGCTTACTGGTTTGCCGTTGACTAAGAGTTTTTTCGGAGGCGCCACGGGTTTTGCTGGAATTTTACGTCTGGGGTTAGGCGGCCGGGGGAGGATGGGTGGTCGTGTTACCATTCAGTACTGGTGGTTTTGGAGCTAGATTTGGCTTGCCGTGACTGATCACAGGTTTGTTGGGTTGGTTGAAACCGTTCACTGGTTCGGGACTATCTAATGTACTTAAATTGGCGTTACTTCTTACTTTTCTATGTAGACTGCTATTCTGAGCTTGGCGGTTCGAGTGGAGCGAACTCTGGTTCAGGTGCAGGCCGTTGGTTGAGCCGATTTTCAAAGGTGGGAGTTGCCGGGTGCCGTTTTCTTCGGGGGTCTAAAACAAGCGCCAAATTAGGGGAAAACTCGACGGCGCTGTCAACGGAGTCAATTTTTTAAATGACAGTAGAGCGACTATAACCCAATTAAATTATTCGCGAGATTAAAACTGAAATTTTCTAGCAGACTACCACGCGAAGTGACCTTGGAAAATCAAGGAAACGTTTAACGCAATTAGTGCCAACAAAGAGTTGTTATCAGTTGACATTCAAATTTTATTAGGGTTATTAAATTGTCACAATATTTAACCCCGCAGACGCGTATCTCAGGACCTAACTTATCCACAACGAGTACAATTTATTTAAATGGTAAGTTTTTAACAGTTTCAGTATAGCAACAAACTATTTTTTGTGTATTTTTTATTACTGTCGTAAAATTTTTGTCGCACGTTATCTCATATTTAGCGGTTTAATAGCTGCTAGAAAACGAATTATTTTAAATTTAACGAAAAACTACAATCCAGCTGGAATATGAACAAATCTAAAAATGTTGAAATAATTCTGTAAAATTCTTACCACCTACGCCAAATTTAAAAACGTTAGAACATGAAAATTGACTAAAATTATTTCCTTTTTAGAATCTGAGACGATTTACGCCACTTGAGTGATATTTTAGCATTAACGAACGAAGGTCCACGCTATTCGTGTCTTATGGGTCCTAATCAGTGGTAAAATCAAGTAATGAGTAATATTATAATGATTATTGTTCAAAAAACGTAATGATAGCACAGAATTTCTTAAGAAACCGGATAACTATAATATACATAAGCTCTTCATCATTTTAAGGGTGAGCTAAATCATATTCCAGCATAGGGAAATATAAACTGTTACCCAAGTTTTTGCCAAAAGTATATGTCCGATTGTAATAAACTTCACACCGTTGAAATGAGCGTAAAAACCCTACCCAGACTGCTTTTTCGTTTTGGACGAAATTTTAACTCCATTTTTAAATCAACTAGATAATTGTGAGTTAGTGTACAGTTGCTTTCAGCAGGATGGTGCTCCTGCTCATAAGTTTTATACATCATAAAACCGAATTAGAACTGGAGAAACTATACAATATTTCTTTTTGTCGATTCTGCACTTTTTCGAATTTTAAGTTTCTCAATTTTTAATGTTTTGATTTTTCAATTTTTTGCCCTTGAATTTTTCAAGCTCCTGATTTCCAATTTTTAGATTTCTCAAAATTTTCATTTTATACTTTTTCGTTCTTTCATTTTTGGTTTTTCAATTGTACAATTTTGCAATTTTTTTTTTATTCGAAAAGTTGAAAAATCGAACAATTGAAACATTGAAAAATTACAAATCGAAGAACTGAAAACACGAAAAATGGAAACATTGAAAAACTAAAAATCGAGAAACTTACAAATCGAAAAAAATTAGTGAATCCAAAAATTTAGCGGAACGAAGAAGAAACGATTCGGATCTAAAAATTGGAAAAACCAAAAATTGTAAAATCAAAAATTTGAAAAATGAAAAAACGAATAAATGAAAAATTTTGAAATCTAGAAATTGAAATTGCAAAAAAAAAAATATAAAATCAGAACATTGAAAAACCGAAAAACTGAAAAAATAAAGAAAATAAAAAACCGAAACAAAGGTGAGTGGGCGGGGCTAGTAGCTGCTAAAATAAAACAGATTTTGGCAAATGACTTACTCTCTGAGAAAATGAAGAGCGAGTGGACGGGGCTGGTACTTACTAAGCTAAGACTGATATTGCCAAATGACATAACCTCTAAGAAAATGAAGGGTATAGGGTATATTATTTTGCAAAATCGGTCTTATCTTGGCAAGTGTTGGCCCCGCGCACCCACCTTTTAGTTTTTTCAAAGGTATGGAATTTGCCAAAATCAGTCTTATTTTGCAAGTACTTTTAAAAATGAATGAGTAATTGTAATGCATTACCTCTTAAAAGTAATTGTTCCAATCACTGGTCCTAATAGCACCTAATATAAAAAATTTTGACTCCATTTTTAAAATTAACTAGATAATTATGAGTTAGTGTATAGTTGTTTTCAGCAGGATGGTGCTCATACAAGTCAAGTTTTTGAGGTGACCCTTTCGACACTCTAAAAATTTGTCGAATTAGTTCGACAATCCTTCTTCTTTCATAATTTATTTAAAACCATAAAATCTGATTTTGCGATTTTAGTTTTGTGATAAACTATAAAGTAACAGCCAATGGCGCAATTAACACCCCGCTATGAAATATACAGGCTGTCCAAAAATGGAGGAGCAATTCTATGACATATAGTTCAGGACTATTTATGGAACAGAGAAAAAATAATTTTAAAAAATCCTTTTGTCCAGATGTAAAAAAAATCCAAATTCAAAGGTTTTTTTTTCGAAATTTCACTATATTTTAATTCAATACTTTGTATTGAGTATCTGAAACCGATTGGACTTTCATTGTTCAAAATAATTTGGAGCAACTTGTCTAAAACCATAGATTTCTTCATTTCATTACATTACAAAAAACTTAAAATTGAGGATGAATCTGACAACACGTTTTTTGATCTATCCATCACGTTTTTTGATCTATCCATCTAAATCGATATTTTGTTTTTTTGTAAAATATTGTCAAATTGACGTAATTTTTTTTTTATTTTCTCAGTTTTATCTTAGCAGGTATTAGCCCCGCCCACCCACCCTCTGTTTTTTTAGAGGGTATGTCATCTGCCATAATCAGTTTTATCTTAGCAGGTCCTAGTACCGCCCACCCACCCGCCCTCTTTTTTCTTAGAGTGTGTCATTTGCCAAAATTAGTATTATCTTTACAGGTACTAGCCATCGAAGAAAATAAAGGGCGGGTGGGTGGTCCTAGTGCTTGCCAAGATACGGCTGATATTATCAAATCGCATACCCTTGAAGAAAACAAAGGGTGGGTGGGCGGGCCAATACTTGCCAAGATAAGACGGATTTTGCCAAATAACATACCCTTTAAGAAAATAAAGGGAGGGAGGGTGGGGCTAGTACTTGCCAAAATAAGACTGATTTTGGCAGATGTCATATCCTAGAAGAAAATAAAGGGTGGGTGGGCGGGGCTAATGCTTGCCTAGATAAGACTGATTTTGCCAGATGACATAGCCTCGATCCTTCATTTTCTTAGAGAGTAGGTCATTTGCCAAAATCAGTTTTATCTTAGCAGGTACTAGCCCCGCCCACCCACCCGCCCTCTTTTTGCTTAGAGTGTCATTTGCCAAAATTAGTATTATCTTAACAGGTAGCAGCCTTCGAAGAAAATAAAGGGCGTGTGGGTGGTCCTAGTGCTTGTCAAGATAAGGCTGATATTACCAAACCGCATACACTTGAAGAAAACAAAGGGTGGGTGGGCGGGGCCAATGCTTGTCAAGATAAGACGGGTTTTGCCAAATAACATACCCTTTAAGAAAATAAAGGGAGGGAGGGTGGGGCTAGTACTTGCCAAAATAAGACTGATTTTGGCAGATGTCATATCCTTGGAGAAAATAAAGGGAGGGTGGGCGGGGCTAATACTTGCCTAGATAAGACTGATTTTTCCAGATGATATAGCCTCTATCCTTCATTTTCTTAGAGGGTATGTCATCTGCCAAAATCAGTCTTATCTTAGCAGGTCCTAGCCCCGCCCACCCACCCGCCCTCTTTTTGCTTAGAGTGTGTAATTTGCCAAAATTAGTATTATCTAAACAGGTACCAGCCTTCGAAGAAAATAAAGGGCGTGTGGGTGGTCCTAGAGCTTGTCAAGATAAGGCTGATATTACCAAATCGTATACACTTGAAGAAAACAAAGGGTGGGTGGGCGGGGCCAATACTTGCCAAGATAAGACGGATTTTGCCAAATAACATACTCTTTAAGAAAATAAGGGGAGGGAGGGTGGGGCTAGTACTTGCCAAAATAAGGCTGATGATGGCAGATGTCATATCCTTGAAGACAATAAAGGGTGGGTGGGCGGGGCTAGTACTTGCCTAGATAAGACTGATTTTGCCAGATGATATAGCCTCTATCCTTCATTTTCTTAGAGAGTAAGTCATTTGCAAAAATCAGTTTTATCTTAGCAGGTACTAGCCCTACCCACCCACCCTCTCTTTTCTTAGAGGGTTTGTCATCTGCCAAAATCAGTTTTATCTTAGCAGGTACAAACCCCGCCCACCCACCCTCTCTTTTCTTAAAAGGTATGTCCTTTGCCAAAATTAGTTTTATCTTAGCAGGTACTAACCTCGCCCACCCACCCTCTCTTTTCTTAGCGAATATATCATTTGCTAAAATCAGTCTTCTCTTATCTTAGCAGGTACTAGCCCTCTAAGAAAAAGGGCGGGAGGTGGGGCTATTGTTTGCCAAGATAAGGCTGATTTTGGCAGATGTCATATCCTTGAAGAATATAAAGGGTGGGTGGGTGGGGCTAATACTTGCCTAGATAAGACTAATTTTGCCAGATGATATAGCCTCTACCCTTCATTTTTTTAGAGAGTAGGTCATTTGCCAAAATCGTTTTATCTTAGCAAGTACTAGCCCCGCCCACCCACCCTCTCTTTTCTTGCAGGGTATGTCATTTGCCAAAATCAGTTTAGTTGGTTATAAAATTATTTTTTTGTAACTTACATCATAAAAATGTTTTAATTATTTTTTTGGGACTCCCGAAACCCCATACATAACGTACGCGTTTTTCAAGACACTGGGTATATTTAAAGCAGATACAGTGACGGCTAAAATAAAGTAGAACACTTTTCTTTCCCTAGTGTAACTTTTTAAAATACCTATTCAATTAAATTTAGTTTACACAACTAAATTTATTGAAAAAATCCTTAGTCATGAGGTGTCCTACTTTATTTTGGCCGTCACTGTAACAAAAATGTAAATATTCTCAGTACATGCTTAACTCCGACTGTTTTATGTTTATACTTCGAAAGAGTTCGATGCAGAGGAGAGGACTGATTCAGTTTTTTTTTCCAAAAACACCCATAAATTTTAAGAAAATTGTAAGATAACGGACAAATTTTCATTAACAATTTACCATGCTTCCAATAACCTTAAAATATCTGCAATATTGCACCGCATTCGATTTTTGCAGTTTCAAAGTTACTATACAATTTTGATTTTTTCCCAAAAATTTGGACGTCTAGGGGAAAATAGTATTCACCAACGTAAATTTTGCAAAAAAAAAGCAGTAAACAATTGAATTTTCACCGCCTGCTCCAATATGTTTATAGTAGACCCGTTATTTCTCTCAACTGAAACATTTAAATTTTTTTAAATATCAATTATTAGGAATCACGACGTCACTCATTAAATTAACTTGCACTGTTACGAATCATTGAGTGAATTATTGGAGAATCGGTTCATTATTTTGAAGAGGCTGGAAACTATTTTTAGAAGTTCTGCGAACGTTGCTACAGATTTATTATACTGTTGCTTGCAAAGTAAATCAACGTTTTGGTAAGTGGATGCGGAAAATAAATTAATCGTGGTTTAAATTTACTTCAAAACTACTGCCTGTAAGGCCACAAAAGTTTTTTTTATGTGTGTAAACAAATTGAAATTGGCTCCGTAATGAGTAAGACGTTTCATTATGCACTAATTAAATGATTACGTCTACGCTGACGTGCACAAGCTTGAAATCCCTGGATTTAATTTTCTTAGTAATTCGCAATTTTACAACAAACCACGAAAACTGTCAATACATTCAAAGTTTGGACACATATCTATGCTAATACATGTATATAAACACTGATAAATAATCACAACTGTTTATCTTTAGTTATCTATGTACATATATATGTTAATCACTTTTTTCGGTAAAACACACTTATACCTTAAACAAAATTTACGCAATTTGGAAAAAACACTCAGTACGTAAGCAAACAACCAACATTACAAAACTGTAGTACTAATTTAATAATAAATAAAAATCAACTTGTTGCGTGACCAGAAAAAATTATTATTATTTTAATACAAACAATGGTTTGTTCAAACTTGGGTGGACATAATTTCACGAAAGAACATTACCCAAGTGATTTGACGTCACCTAAATTCCTGCTATCATTCTGAGTCACCGCGAGAGTTTCAAAATATATTGATTAAGAAAACCTAATCCCAACTAATTATTTATCAGATCAAACGCTGTTACGTAAAAAATCAAATTCGAAATTTCCGTAAACCGGCCGAAACCTTGAACGGCGCTCCTAAACCACCTTTTTCACCACGTAGAACAATGAACAAGTTACGTTTGTGCAAATAATGCAATTCGTAAAAAAGAAATTCTAGGTAGATTTAACCGTGAAGTTACAAGTCCGGTTTTGCGATCGCTGCGAAAGAAAGTTGCGACAGACGTACCGGAAACCTGCAAGTGATAAATAATGACTTATTATCACAGTCAGCGCAAGTTACTGGATGAGTTCATATCAGGGAAGTTTAGTACGCTGTGGGAAAATCTGGCGCGACCACACTTACGTTTCGCACCGGAGCCGGCGGAGGAGGTCCCCGATTTTTATTATCGCTCGCCAGCTGCTTCTTCAATTCGTTCTGGAGACTACTCGAATTCTTGAACGGCTGAGCTGGAAGCGCCGGTTTTCTATTGCTAAACTGGTCGTTATTGTTATGGTTATTACTAGAGTGGTGGATGGGACCCAGTTTTCCCGTTGGTTTGAGTTTGGGCATTCCGCCGGCGAACAGACCGCCTAGGTTCAAGCCGTTCGGGGCCGACGTCGGGGTGCCCCCGACGCTCGACGGACTCGAACTGCTCGAGTTGTTGGCGGTCTTCCCTGCAACGAAAACAACCACTAAATAAGGGTTCAACAATCGATTTCTGGATATCAATGCCAATGCATTTAATATATCTAGCGTCAAAGTCATTAATAAAACGCGTCCACCTGGACTATTTTTATAGCATTGACATCCATACCACCCACGCTGATTAAGTCATCTTAACTACCTATCACCGGTGCACTTCTATCATTCGTGACGGCTTTCTTCAGCTTCGCCCCCTTCTGGATCGACTTGAGAAGCGCCGCTCTGTCGTCCGATTTGCCGGCTTTCGGAAGAGACATGGGTGCCGGCGGGGGCGGCGGCATCATACCTGGAGGCGGTGGAGGCGGCGGTCCGGGCATTTTGACTCTTTACTACAAACTATAATCGAGCATAAATCACAGCTGTTGTGAATGCTAATCTATGCAACGCCCATTAGTGTAATTATTTTCGGTTGAATCATTTACCACGCATTAGCATGATGAAAACGCTGGATTATGTAGTTCAATAACCGCCCTTTTCCAATCAAGAGTTTCCTAATTATGCTAATGTTTCTAAGGCGGTAGTAATTCGGGCAAGGACGAGTCTGGCCCTAACAATGATGCGAAATTTGATGGAGTGATAAAAGTGCGATTTGTTGAGACAATGAAAATATGCGAAAACGTTACATAATGAACTTAACTAAGTTAAATAAGTGCGATAAAATGTATCCTGGCATTGACGAATTTAAAAAAAAGTGTGTACTTTGCTACTACAATAGTTTTATTACATCGACGAATTTTTTCGCCTTATCTTAAATATGTATCGTTAAAAATGTGTTCGAGTGGCTTTTAATCTTTCCATAATTACCAAAATTCAAGGAAACGTGAAGGAATTTTCGTTGGTGATAGAAAAGGGGGCAACTCCAGATTAATGCGCCCTATTTCCACCTGGACGTACATTGATTTCCAATGTCGGTCACTCAATGGGTGTTTTTAATTTTAAACAATCCCCCACACGTGTGACCATTTGGGCACACTGGGAGCCCCATTTATGGCAACACAACCAAGACACCAAGGCGGTGTTGTTGCTCACATTCAATCCCTTTTAAACAACACAATATAAAAAACACCCGAAAACAACCACATATTGAGTTTATTAATTATAAACGGAATGTTTACTTTTTGTCCTATTTATCTCCAGTAAATATCCGAGTGGATTATAGGTAGGTTGTCAACGTATCCAATAAACTTACCTACTGACAATAAATAAATAAAATAGGGATGGCTGCTTGCCCTCAACCACCTTTTACATCACTTTATCACTAGATGTTGTCTGTGACACATTCTTGTTGGAAAATTCGACACAATGTTTTAATTTTTTAAACTTTCTCTACTGATAGACGTTTTTAATAACCACTATCACAGAATATGGCGGAATGACAGACGTTGCGCATGCGCTCAAAACAAACCAGTGCAGTAGGTTATTCGAGTCAGGAAGGGTTACGTGAAAATAAAAAAACTTCGTTACATATTATCTCCTTATCGCCTGTTATCACCGATCCATAAAAATAGTACCTTGAATCCTGAGTATGTAGCTTATTTTTAACCCGTACACAATCACTTAATTCACACATTATAAATACATACTTCGATTTTTTTTATCTAATAAAATATTTTGATTCCAATGTAAACTCAATTTTTTTTATTGTGTTTGAATATTGATAAATTTTATAACAAGCTAAATACATATTCTGGTTTTTCCCTTTTTTACAAGACGTTTGTTTACGACAGGAGTGGTCTCAAGAGACCACCGCAACGCTCTTTAAATAAACAGAGTTAAAAATTCCCGATTATGCTTTGTGTACACAAAACTACCACCTGGGTTGGTGTTTATTTTGAAATTATGGACTGTGCTGTATCCCTTTCAACAGACGGAAGTAACAGAGAAACTGAATCACCCAAAAAATGATTCACTGCTTTACGGAAACGATTATTATTGTCAACATTCTTAACATATTTATAGAAAGAGACAGATAAGGAAGATGTACAAGTGTCTGTTCTACTAAATTCTGTGTTTTTTCCAATATCTGATAAACTTTATTAAAAAAAAAGTGTTGTATGCAAATTTTAAATAAACTACAGTGCTAATTTGTAAATGTCTTGTCGAATTTTAGATAACAATGAACAATGATTTGTAACGTCCTTTCCTTGGCAGGGTTTACACAGGCAGTGAGGACTGTGAAGGAATTCTAGTTAATACGTTAATTGCCTAGTACATAGAAGCAATCAGCGGCGATAAAAAATTAAGAGAAGATTGCGACAATTCCATCATTATCTAAAATAAAATAAACTAAAGTCAAAAATAGAATAAGGCTACTGAGCTTTTGCATTATTTATAAAATAAGAAAATTGTATTTGTTCTAACATATTTTGTTAAAATTTCGTAATGCGCATAACAGTGTCGCTGTTGCCGTTCCTACAGTAGGTACTTAATCTACCCATCAGTCAATTAATCAATCAATCAAGCATCCTTGGCATGTTTTGAGCAAAACAATAAAATTCAGTGTCAATTTTTATTATTTTATTATGTTTTATGTGTGATATTTTTCTAAATATAGTCAGTTTTTCGATAATATTTAAATTTTGTTTCACATTTTTTATACTTCTTGTCGCATTTTTTTTTTGGATTTTGAAATGCCCACATTATTTTGCTAGAAAATAAGATATATCGAAAATAGGTCATGTTGAGTATACAGTATACTAAGGGCTTTTCGATTTCTCGATTTTTCAACTTTTGATGTTTCAATTTTTCAATATTTCAATTCTGGACTTTTTCAGTTTTTCCAGTCTTCAAATTTTCGATTACTTTTTATTTTTCGATTTCTCAATATTTCGATTTTTTAAAATTTTATGTTTCTAAATTTTCAGTTTTCCAATTTCTGAAGCAATTTTTTTTTAATTTCCCAAAGTTTCGATTTTTCACTTCTTCAATTCTTCCATTTTCCAGGTTTTTGATTTTCAATTTTTCGATTTTTTAAGCTCTTGCGAATTTTCAACTTTGCTGTTCCAATTTTTCGATTTCTCAATTTCCCAATTTTTTTTAATTTCTCAGTTTTTCGGATTTCTTTCAGTTTTGGGATTTTTCAATATTTCGATTTTTCGACTTTTGGACACCTGGGTTTTTTGATTTCCCGATTTTTTGGTTTTTGGATTTTCAATTTTTCGTTAAACTTTAGATTTTCCCATTTCTCGACTTCGCCAAGTCAAGTTTCGATTTTTCAGTTCTTCAGTTCTTCGATTTTTCGACTTTGCTTTTTTGGTTTTTCGATTTTTCAATTTTCCAATTTTTTAATTTCCCAATTTTTGGATATTTCTTCCAGTTTTGACATTTTTCAATATTTCGTTTCTTCGGCTTGTCTATCTTTCAATTTCTGGATTTTTCGATTTTTTATTTTTTGAATTTTCAATTATTCGTTAAATTTTAGATTTTTTAATTTTTCGACTTTTATATACTTCGATTTCTCCAATTTTCAACTTTTCGATGTTTTAACTTTTCAGTTTTCAAAATTCTAGGTTTTTCGATTTCCCGAGTTTTCAGTTCTTCTATATTTCAATTTTTCAATTTTCCGAATTTTTCAATTTTCAATTTTTCTTTTTTTAAATTTTTCGATTTTTCAATTTATCCAATTCAGATGTTCTGATTGTTCAATTTCTCGATTCATCAATTTTTCAGTTTTTAATTTTCGACTCCTCGATTTCTCGATCCACTCATTTTTCGATTTCTGATGTCTCAATTTTAAAATTTTTCGATATTTCAATTTTTGGATTTCTTGGTTTTTCGATTTTTTACTTTTGGAATTTTCAATTTTTCTTTATTTCAATTTTTCGATGTTTCGATTTTTCACTTATCCGATTTTTCAATTTTATAAATTTTGGTCTTTCGATTTGTAGATTTTTCAGTTTTTCGATTTTTAAAGTTTAGATTTTCGAATTTTTATTTTTTAATTTTTTGATGATTGGATTTCTCGATTTTTCAATTTTGCGATATTTTATTTGTTCTATGATGATTTCTCGATTTTTTGATTTTTCAATTCTTCAGTACTTCTATTTTTTTCAAAATTTTGACGTTGCTACATTTTCAGTTTTCCAAGTTTTCAATTAATCTATTTTTGATTTTCCCATTTCTCGACTTGTCGAAGTTACGATTTTTTAGTTCTTCAATTCTTCAATTTTTCGATTTTGCTTTTCTCGTTTTCCGATTTCTAATTTCCCAATTTTTTAATTTCTCAATTTTTTGGATATTGCTTTCAGTTTTCGAATTTTTGAATATTTCGACTTTTCGACTTTTCGATTTTTGGACACCTGGGTTTTTTGATTTCTCGATTTTTTGGTTTTTGGATTTTCAATTTTTCGTTAAACTTTAGATTTTTCAATTTTTCGACTGTTTTATACTTCGATTTCTCAATTTTTCAACTTTTAAAATTTTAGGTTTTTCAGTTTCTCGAGTTTTCAATTCTTCTTTTAATTGTCTGAATTTCTAATTTTTCTTTTTTCAAAATTTTCCAATTTTTCAATTTTTTGATTCCTCAATTTATCGAACTCAAATGTTTCGATGTTTCGACTGTTCATTTCTCGATTCATCAATTTATCAATTTTTAACTTTTTTTCTCGGCTTTCGACTCCTCGATTTCTCGATCCTCTGATTTTTTGACTTGTCGATTTTTCAGTTTTTGAATTTTTCCAAATTAAAAATTTTTGGTTTTTCAATTTTTGATTTTATTTGATTTTTCAGTTTTTTAATTTTTCGATGTTTCGATCACTCAGCTTTTCGATTTGTCAATTGTTCCATTTCCCAATTTTTCGTCATTTCAGTTTTGGAATTTTTCAATTTCCCGATTTTTCAGTTTTGCGAATTTTTAATTTTCCGTTTTGTCAATTTTTGCGAATTTTTAAATTTTGAATTTTCAGTTTCTCAGTTTTTCGATTTTTCAACGTTCCGATTTTTAATGTTTTTATTTTTCGATTTTTTGATTTTCGGATTTATCGATTTTTCGATTTTTCAATTTTCGGTTTTGCTATTTTTGATATTTCGACTTTTCGACTTCCCTATTTCTCAAATTTTTGGTTTTTTTGATTTCTTCATTTTTCGATTTCTCAATTTTCAGATGTTTCAGTTTTATGATTTTTCAATTTTTCAATTTTTGACCTTGCGAATCTTCAATTATTGGATTTCAGGATTAATCGATTTTTGATTTTTCAGTTTTTCAATTCTTCAATTTTTTTATTTTTTAGGATTTCGATGCCTCAATTTTTTGATGTTTCAGTTTTGGGACTTTTCAACTTTTCTTCGATCTTTCGATTTTTAAATTTTATATTTTTGAATTTTTGAATTTTTCGGTTTTTTGATGTTTCGATTTCTCGATTTTTCAATTTTTCGAAAGTTTAATTTCTCAATTTTTTAAATGTTAGGTCTTTCGACTTTCCGATTTCTCTAATTTTCGGTTTTCTTGATTTCTTCATTTTTCGATTTCTCAATTTTCAGATGTTTCAGTTTTTCAATTCTTCAATTTTTTTATTTTTCAGGATTTCGATGCCGCAATTTTTCGATGTTTCAGTTTTGAGATTATTCAAATTTTCTTCGATTTTTCGACCTTCGGATTTCTGGATCTTTCGAATATTTTTTAATTTTTCAAAATATTAAATTTTTTAATGTATTAAATTTAGATTTTTCGACTTCGATTTTTCAGTTCTTAAATATTTTTAATTTTTCAAATTTTGACGATTCTGAATTTTCAGTTCTCCGATTTCTCAATTAATCTCAATTTTTGATTTTCCCATTTCTCGACTTCCCAAAAATTCGATCTTTCAGTTCTTCAGTTCTTCAATTTTTCGATTTTTCAGGATTTCGATTTCTCAAATTTTGAATTTTTTAATTCTCCAATTTTTGGATATTTCGTTCAATTTTGTGATTTTTTTTTTGGTTTTTGGATTTTTCAATTTTTCTTGTATTTTTAAATTTTTCGATATACATATGAGTTGTCGGATTTTTTAGTGGGTATTCCGACTTTTCGAGTTCTGTATTTCTCGACTTTTTACTTTTTGGATCTTCAATTTTTCGTTTTTTGAAGTTTAAATTTTTCAATTTTGCGATATTTTAACATTTCAATTTTTGAAATTTTAGATTTTTCGATTTCTCGAGTTTTCATTTCTTCTATCTTTCAATTTTTAAATTTTCGGAATTCTTAAACTTTAGATTTTCCATTTTTTTTAATTTTTCGATGTTCAGATTTTTCAATTATCCGATTTTTAAATTTTAGATTTTCCAATTTTTGGAAATTTGAATTTTTTAATGTTTTAAATTTTAGATTTTTCGATTTCTATTTTTCAATTTTTCGAATTTTTAATTTTGCTATCTTGGTTTTTCGATTTCAAAAATTTTTCGACTTTTCGATTTTTACATTTCCCGATTTTTCAATTTTTGTATTTTTTAATTTCCCACTTTTTTGGATTTTTCGATCAATTTTATGATTTTTTTAGTTTTTCGACACTTTAATTTTTCTTGTACATATTTTAAAATTTTTCTGTATTTGAGTTTTGGGATTTTTTAGTATTTCGACTTTTCGATTTTTCGAGTTCTGGATTTTTCGATTGCTCCACATTTTACTTTTCGGATTTTCAATTTTTAAAATTTACATTTTTCAATTTTGCGACTGTTTTAAACCTCGATTTTTCAACTTTTCAGTTTTAAAATTGTTGGGGTTTTCAATTCCTCGAGTTGTCAGTTCTTCTATGACAATTTTTCAATTTTCGCAGTTTTTAAATTTTCGATTTTCCAATTTTTCGATGTTTAGATTTTTCAATTATCCGAATGTTCATTCTCGATTTTTTTATTTTAGATTTTCCAATTTTAATTTTTTAAATTTTTTCATGTTTGGATTTCTCGATTTTACAGTTTTTCGATATTTGAATTTTTCAATGTTTTAAATTTTCGATATTTCGATTTTTCAGTTCTTCAATATTTCTATTTTTCAATTTTGCCATCTTGGTTAATCGATTTCCCGGTTTTTAAATTTTTTAATTTCTCAATTTTGTGGATTTTTTTTGTTTTTCCATCCTTCAATTTTTCTTGTGTTTTTCAATTTTTCGATATTTGAGTTGTGGGATTTTTTAGTATTTCGACTTTTCGATTTTTCGAGTTCTGAATTTTTCGATTTCTCGACATTTTACTTTTTGGATTTTCAATTTTCGTTTTTTAAACCTCACACTTTTCAATTTTTCGACTGTTTTAAACTTCGATTTCCCAATTTTTCAACTTTTCAGTGTTTAAAATTTTAGGTTTTTCGATTTCCCTAGTTTTTAGTTCTTCTACATTTCAATTTTTCAATTTTCGGAATTTTTAAATTTTCGATTTTCCTATTTTTTTTAATTTTTCGATGTTCACATTTTTCAATTATCCGATTATTTAGTTTCTCGATTTTTAAATTTTAGATTTTCCAATTTTTATTTTTTTGATTTTTTCATGTTTGGATTTCCTGATTTTACATTTTTTCCATATTTAAATTTACCAATGTTTTAAATTTTAGATTTTTCGATTTTTTGGTTCTTCGATTTTTCGGTGTTTTAATTTTGTCATCTTGGTTTTTCGATTTTTAGATTTCCCGATTTTTCAAATTTTCAATTTCTCAATTGTTTCAACGTTATCAGTTTTCGGAACTTTTCAATTTCCAGTTTTTTTAATTTTTCGATATTTTAAATTTTTTATTCTTCGATAATTCACTTTTTCAATTTTTCGTTTTTTTTGCTAAAAGTAAAAAATAACCACCAAAATTGTGACTAAAAATATTAAAAATTAATATAAAATGCTTCTAAAACATAAAAATAACTGCACTTTCCCGAAAAAAATCTATTGCATGATTCCGCTTTATCAATTATAGAATTAATTAGTAGTTAAACAAAAAAATAAAAGCATCTAAACAATAACTATTTCCCGCAGAAATTCTGGACGCTTAGAGTCGACATTGGCCTGAGCGCGCTCCGGTCTGTAGATCAAACAAGTTCTCAGACGACGTAATCTAATCAATCATGGTTTACGTTACTATTTATTATCTCAGTCGCGCAAAAGATCTATTATTTTCAATTATAGGCAACCCTTTGCACGACTAAAAGCGCTGCTGATTCAGTGATACCAATCAAGCGAAAAACATAGTAATATTTGTCGACAACGAATCTTCTAAATTAAAATCCACATCCGATTGATGAATGTCGAGGTACCAACTTTAAAATGTGAAAATAATAGACGTTTTATTTTTGTTTTTTATAGTATAGTGGCCATATATTAAAAATAAATAATAACAATTGGTTAATATGATACAATTTATATATACCTAGGTGTATAAAACAAACAGGTGCGACCAAACATGGAGGTAGAATTCAAAGTTTAACTTTTTATAAACAACATATCACACGATTATTTTTTTTTACAATACCACTCCTCAGTTCCTCCCCTCCACCTTCATTTCTTCGTGCATGCCGCCCCCACCCCGTTCCGCCGTATTATGCTTAACTATAAACTCCTTCATTAAACCAGCGAGTATTTCAGGATTATTCAAATGGACATGGTGTGTCCCTTCCACCCGATGGTACTGACAATCCACACTACTTTCCTTAAGTACATCCAACACGTCATAAAAATTCTTCTTAATTTCATAGTATGACCCCCTTATCGCTTTTGCGAGGAAAATAGGACAAGTCATAAATTTCGCAAACGCCAACGATTCTTCCTGTGGCCAGTTCACCAATTCCCCCGCCCTTAGCCTAGGGTCTCTCGTAAAATAATACTTCCCGGGATGGACTTTTGAAGGCGCGATGTTACGTTCCATCAAGTGGTGAGCATTCTCATACATAACGGAATTTTTATTGGGTAAACTAATTTTATGTTTGATTTCCTCAATAGTGTAACTTGGTGGTTCCTTGTCACTCATTTCAAACTGCACGTAGCGCGAAAATTTGGTAATATTTCGGGCTATTCTGGGTATATTGTTTTCGACAATCATGGGTTTGGCGCCGTCTATGCACATTAGGAAGTCTACGTTTTGGGGGTAGACCATGGTGTACATGAAGGAGACGATTCCGCCCATTGAGTGTCCCAGGAGCGAGACTTTCGGCCATTTGAAGTAGTTGACTAAATACTGTACTAGGATTAGGTAGTCTGCAAAATGGCAGTAGAGACCACTGGGAATCCGGGACGAGTAACCGTGTCCTGGGAAGTCGATGGCTAGAAAACCCACGTCTGGGTTAAGTAGCGGGATTAAACGGTTGAAGGAGCCACAATTGTCCTTACAAAGTTGGTTAATTAAAACTTATATTAATATTAAAACGGGATTAATTCTTACTTGCCAACCGTGCAGGGTTAAGATGGGTCTCTTGTCGGTGGGTCCCCACCATTTCCCAGCCACGTGCCCCCACGGAACCGGTATCCGTATTTCTTCATAGTTTAATTTTGTGGAATTGAATCTCACCAAAGTAGGGTTATGTTTCAGGAACCTTGTTAGTAAAAGGTGGCCACGCACTGACATCGTAAACTATTTAAGTGATAGTATTCACACTTCGGTTCGTATTAATTGGATAACGAGTATTAATACTTAAAAGACCTTTGGACTTACACATGCCATAGCGCAACAATTTGAGGTTATGATGCTTTTTTACGTCAATCGGACCACGTTGTGACCTTTACACCTCGGACTGTACTCGTCTACTAAATCGCATAGTCATGAATGTCCTTAGACTTTGTGATTTGGTAATGAAGGTAATAAACGATGAGTTTAAATAATGTTAATTTATGTAGTCCATAAAAACATAGACCTGTAGTCATTAAAAAAATCGAAAAAGTTTTGTAGAACACGAACTGTTGTTCGCCCGCACTATACACAACTATAGTTTGTGTTGCCTGTGTACCATTTCCCCTTTGATACCACCGGTACTCCTATCCGATTTATCGTACCGTCTGAGGAACTTTTTAACCAATTCTGCTAGTACTTCGGGATTATTCAGATGCAAATGATGCGTCCCTTCCAACCTATGGAACTCACAATTCCCACTTTCTTTAAGAGCGTCTACAACATCAAGAAATATCTTCTCGTCCTCGTAATAAGGCGCACCAATTGCTTTTGCAATGAAAACAGGACATCGTACCCGTCGGGCACCAGGTACCAAGTCCTCCTGCCTCCAGTTAATTAATTCGGTCACTTTTAACCTAGGATCTCTCCTGAAACAGTACTTTCCCGGTTGGTTTTTTGAAGGAGCGACACTACGTTCAATCAAATGGTGGCTGTGTTCGTAAGCAACGGAACCACCAAGAGAACTCGACATTTTCTGTTTAATTTCCTCTATAGTATAAGCGGGAGGTTCTGTATTCTGTCTTCTCAGTTTTTCGTATTGTAGAAATTTCGAAATTGTTTTTGCGTTAGTGTTGATGACTTCGTCGTCAGTGAGTGGCTTGAGACCATCCAAACAAATTAAAAAATCTACTTTTTGGGGGTTCATTATGGTGTAGAGGAAGGAAGTTCGGGCGCCTAAGGAGTGACCCATTAGTGAGACTTGGGGCCATTTGAAATAATCCACCAAGCGTTGGATCAAAATGAGGTAGTTTATGTTGTGGTAGTAGAAGCCGTCTGGAATTTGCGAAGAGTAACCGTGGCCTGGGAGATCTATGGCTAAGAAACCAACGTCTTGACTCATTAAAGGAAGCAATCGGTTGAAGGAGTCGCAGTTATCCTACAAGAATGAGATTAGTGTTTCAGATTTAATGGGTTGCATACGTACTTGCCAACCATGCATGATTAAAATGGGTCTCTTGTCGGTGGGCCCCCACCATTTACCAGCTATGTGACCCCACGGGACCGGAATTCTAATTTCTAAGATAGTTGGTTGATTGACATTTGAGGATTGAAAATTGGTAGTGTTTTGGAAATTCGGCTTCATGATAGCGCTGAATAAAAGCCTACCGCGTCGGAACATTGAAATCAGATGTTGGGTTTTTATACCTACAGAGATGAATGTTTTTAAGGCTGCGATAAGATGATAACACTATGTTATAACATGACGAGACTGCACCATGATAACAGGTTATCGGCACGACTTATCTGCTGGTACTGGACGCGCAAACCAAAATTATCATAATCTGTAATTAGTAACAGCTGCGTCAACTGATTGCGCGAAGACAACAAATCTTTAAATGTTTTATTATTTGTATATACAACGTCTACAATTTGTGTTGATCGCACACAACCATTTCATTCTTAATTCCCCCGACACTTCTATCCGATTTATCGTATTGTTTAAGAAACTTTATAATCAACCCGGCTAATACTTCAGGATTATTGAGATGCAAGTGATGCGTTCCTTCCAATACATGGAACTCACAGTTACCACTTTCTTTAAGAGCGTCTGCAACTTCATGCACGTACTTCTGATTTTCAAAGTGAAACCCATTAGTAGCTTTTGCAACAAAAACGGGACACTGCATACTGCGTGCACCCGGTACTAAGTCCTTCTGTCGCCAGTTAACTAAATCGGTTATTTTTAACCTAGGGTCTCTTGTAAAACAGTATTTCCCAGGTTGGCTCTTTGACGGAGCAACGCTTCGCTCCACCAAATGGTGGCTGTGTTCGTACGCCACCGAGCCGTCAAGGAACCTCGAAATCTTTTGTTTAACTTCCTCCAAGGTGTACGCTTGAGGTTCCGTATTTTCCCTTCTAAGTTTCTCGTAGTGCATCAATGTCGAAATTTTTTCCGAGTTAGTGTTGATAATTCCGTCTTCAGTGATTGGCTTAACGGCATCCAAGCAAATCAAAAGGTCTACTTTTTGGGGGTTTATTATAGTGTACAAAAACGCGACACTGGCGCCTAGGGAATGACCCATCAGGGATACCTGTGGCCATTTGAAAAAATCTACCACGCGTTGTATCAGAACCACGTAACCCATGCTATGATAGTAGAAGCCGTCGGGAATACGTGAAGAGTAACCATGTCCTGGGAAATCAATAGCTAAGAAACCCACGTCTTGACTAATTAAAGGGAGCAATCGCTTGAACGAGTCGCAGTTATCCTATCGAAAAAAACAACGAAATTGGGGTTTTATTTTGGTTGCATACGTACTTGCCACCCATGGAGGACTAAAATGGGTCGGATATTCGTGGGTCCCCACCATTTACCAGCTACATGCCCCCACGGGACCGGGATTTTTATTTCTAAGCCATTTGAAGACTGAAAATTGGTGGAGGTTTCAAAGTTCGATTTTTTAACAGCGTTGCCTTGTCGGAACATTGCAACGTCACGAAAAATAAAACGAGGTTTTTCATATGTTCGTATTTATATACCTTTACGAAAACACGTTTTCATTATTAAGATATTGGCACTAATGACTATGAGTGCACTTTACACTGCACCATGATCTACAGTTAACGCATTATCGGCTGGGTATTTATTATATCTATTGTAAGACTGTACGCACAAATCACAGTTATCACACTCGATAATAAATTGCGCGACTACTGTATCAATTATAAAGTCCATTGTGTGACCGATATTCGAAATAAATGTGTTCTAGTTTAGTTCTAATACGTATATGCAGTTTGCGAATTTGCATATCGCGTATTGTGACCTTAAAATATCAAACCTACGACAGGTATTTCATTTGCCAATTTTATTGTAAGCTAAAATAACAATGTGTATTGTGGTGACCGAATTTGAAGCAAAAACGTGTAAATTTGATTCATTTTTTGTAAATTCACAGTTCATGTTAGGAGTTTAATCGTTAACTAGTTCTAACGCAATTTAACAATCAGGAATTTTATTGTTTAGACAAACACTTACGGGAGTTTTCACGAAATTCACTTAGTCAGGACGCGTTTGATTTTATTTGTTTAATTATCAATAAGTTTCTGGATGCTAATACTTAAGTGTCACATTATAACACGTTTTCATTTCTCACATAAGATTGCTAGAAAAGACCGTAGAAAAGTGCAACAGAATTCATAATATTTATATATAGACGCATATTCCTCGCAACGTTGTAAATTACATCACCGAGACGCATTTCCCTCAATGGCTAATTCCATCACCGAGGAGTTTTCCTCGCAACGCCTGATGCATTTTGTGTTTATTTATGAAGTGCGGCATAATTGAACATAATGTAAACTCTTTGTTTGAATCGTTGATAAAGTGTGGCAAATATTGATCTCATGTAAATTTGTTAGCGTGGCAATTTTCACCTCATACAATATTTGTCTATTTCACAATTTTAACTTCAGTAATTTTCTTTGTTGTACAATTTAAATTGTCTGTAAACGTTCATGCTCTGCAGTTTCTAACCTCACATAATATTTTATCTTCAAAAGTTTATTTCACCCAATGTTTCCATCATTTAAATTATCTGATGTCCACTCTTAATCTCAAATAAGAATTATTTGTTTAAAATTTCACAAGATTGTATTGCGAATTTAAATGTTGTTTATTGCTCCTTTTGAAACTTTTACACTAGGCATGTTCTTCGTGCTTGCGGTAGATAGAATCACCGTCGTGGGTAGGAGAACAGCCACGACCAGGAGCCCCAAATTCCGCTCGTGCTACTCGCCCCCAATGGGTATTTTTGCTGTGCTCTACAATGAAATTGACATAGTTCGATTTTGCTTTGTTTTTATTAAATTTGTGATATTCAAATATTTGCATTGATTCAGAACGTTTAATTTAATTTCATTCCAAGTCATTCAAAGTTTATTTTTGTCAGTGGAGGACTAAATAATTTTGTGTCCTCCATAAATTTTGTGTTTTATTTAGCGGTACTTTTCCAACCTTGGGGTCCACCACTTGCATCTTAATGCATTACGCCATTTTTCAAAAACACAATGTAGGGTTCCATTTTGTTAGATGATCACAGCTAAGGCGAAATTTTGAATTTTTAAATTTTCCGCAGGCTTTTAATTTCTTTTTCACATGTATCTAATGTTTGTGTGAAGGTAAAAAACATAATACTAATAGTAAAAGTATTGTATTATTGTTATTCTTAAATAGTGATTTATAATAAATAAAATAACGAAACAATTTAATCACGTATGTAATAACACTGAAACGACTGAAAACTGAACTGAAAATCATTTATGGTATTCGTAATTTAAGACAAATAGCGATAACACTTATCAACCTGTAGACGTGAGAGTGAAACAGAAACTAAACTAAAAGATGTTTTCTACGAACTGCAATAACCGGATCACAATGCCGACGGTCCAGACTTTTTTATTGCGCTGACTTGCGCTTATTAAATAAAACATCTCTTTTTTTCTTAGGAGGTATCTCATTTGCCAAAGTCAGTTTTATCTTAGCAGCTACTAGCCCCGCCCACCCACCCTCTCTCTTTCTAGAGAGTATATCATTTACCAAAGTCAGTGTTATCTTAATAAGTTTTAGATATCCTCTTAAAAAAAAGAGGGCGGGTGGGCGGGTCTAGTACCTGCAAAGATAAAACTGATTTTGGCAAATGACATACCTTCTAAAAAAACGAGGGCGGGTGGGCGGGGCTAGTCCTGCTAAGATACGAGTGATTTTGACAAATGAGATAACCTTTAAGAAAAGAGAGGGGGGTGGGCGGGGCTAATGCCTGCAAAGATAAAACTGATTTTGGCAAATGATATACCCTCTAATAAAAGAGAGGGTGGGTGGGTGGGCGGGGCTAGTCCTGCTAAGATAAGGATGATTTTGGCAAATGGGATACCTTGTAACAAAAGAAAGGGTGGTTGGGCGGGGATAGTTCCTGCTATGATAAGAGTGATTTTGGCAAATTAGATATCCTATAAGAAAAGAGAGGGCGGATGGGCGGGGCTAGTATCTGCTAAGATAAAACTGATTTTGGCAAATGACATATTCTTTAGGAAAATAGAGGGTGGGCCGCTGGGGCTAGTAGCTACCAAATGTGGCATAATTGAACATAATGTAAACTTTTTGATAAAGTGTATCAAAAAATATTAATCTTATATAAATTTATTAGCTTTGCAATTTTCACCTCATACAAATTTCTCTATCTCACAATTCTAACTTTGTTGTATAATTTAATTTGACCGTAAACTTTCATGCTCTGCAGTTTCTAACCTCACGTAATATTGTATCTTCACAAGTTTATTTCACACAAGATCTTTTGTTTTTATAAATCTTTGCTAGTTTTTTTTAATGTAAATATTTTGTCGATAAATGTTTCCATCATATAAATTATCTGATGTCCAGTTAATCTCAAATAAAATTATTTCTTGTTTAAAATTTCACAAGATTGTACGGCAAATTTAAATGTTGTTTATTGCTCCTTTTGAAACTTTAACACTTGTTCAGTTGTGGTTAATATCAGTGTTGTGAGAATTCAACATATAAATGGAATTGAGGTTAAATAACACAGAAAGACGTAGTGGAATGGAGTGCGCGGTTCCTAGTCGAGTTCACGTAACGCTGTCGGCTTCTACCCCATAGCCAGGACCCAACTGCGAGTTTCCGACTGTAACGGCCTACTCGTATAGGCATGTTCTTCGTGCTTGCGGTAGATAGAATCACCGTCGTGGGTAGGAGAACAGCCACGACCAGGAGCCCCAAATTCCGCTCGTGCTACTCGCCCCCAATGGGTATTTTTGCTGTGCTCTACAATGAAATTGAGATAGTTCGATTTTGCTTTGTTTTTATTAAATTTGTGATATTCAAATATTTGCATTGATTCAGAACGTTTAATTTGATTTCATTCCAAGTCATCCAAAGTTTAGTTTTGTCAGTGGAGGGCTAAATAATTTTGTGTCCTCCATAAATTTTGTGTTTTATTTAGCGGTACTTTTTCAACCTTGGGGTCCACCACTTGCATCTTAACGCATTGCGCCATTTTTCAAAAACACAATGTAGGGTTCCATTTTGTTAGATGATCACAGCTAGGGCGAAATTTTGAATTTTTAAATTTTCCGCAGGCTTTTCAATTTTTTTTTCACATGTATCTAATGTTTGTGTGAAGGTAAAAACACGTAATACTAATAGTAAAAGTATTGTATTATTGTTATTCTTAAATAGTGATTTATAATAAATAAAATAACGAAACAATTTAATCACGTATGTAATAACAGAGGTGCGACTGAAAACTGAACTGAAAATCATTTATGGTATTCGTATTTTAAGACAAATAGCGATAACACTTATCAACCTGTAGACGTGAGAGTGAAACAGAAACTAAACTAAAAGATGTTTTCAACGAATTGCAATAACCCGATCGCAATGCCGACGGTCCAGACTTTTTTATTGCGCTGACTTGCGCTTATTAAATAAAACATCTCTTTTTTTCTTTGGGGGTATCTCATTTGCCAAAATCAGTCTTATCTTAGCAGATACTAGCTCCGCCCACCCACCCTCTCGTTTCTCAGAGGATATGTGATTTTCCAAAATCAGTTTTATCTTAGGTAGTACTTGCTAAGATAAGACTAATTTTGGCAAATTACATAACCTCTAAGAAAATAGAGGGCGGAAGGGGGGACGGGTCTAGTACTTGTTAACGTAAGATTGATTTAGGTAAATAACAGACTCTCTAAGAAAATAAAGGGTGGGTGGGCGGTGGTAAAACTTGCTAAGATAGGACTGAAGAATATTAAGAGTCGTCACTGGAATGAAGAAGGGGTGGGTGGGTGGGGCACTGCTTTGGTCATAAAACTGACTGTGGCAAATGATATACCTCCCAAGAAAATAGAGGGAGGGTGGGCGGGGCTAAAACTTGCTAAGATAGAACTGAACAATATTAAGAGTAATGGAATGATGAAGGGGTGGGTGCGCGGCAATGGTTTAGGTGGTTATGCTTTATCTATATGTTAACTGAGTTATGTGTTATAACAAATGATAGAAATAAAACATTAATGTATAAAAAAAAGTAACATTTCTTGCATATTTTAGCAATTTTTTGCATATAATAGCAAATTTCTCTGCACATCTGCGCACATTTACATTTTTTTTTCTGCATATAATTCCGAGCTTTAGTTATAACTGCTACACTTTGTGTTAACTATATACAATCATTTCCTCTTTGATTCCACCTACACTTCTATCGGATCTATCGCGTTGTTTAAGAAACTTTTTAATCAATCCAGCTACTGCTTCAGGATTATTAAAATGAAAATGATGGGTTCCTTCGAGTAGATGGTGCTCACAGTTACCACTTTCTTTAAGAGCGTCTACAACTTCATGAACATTATTTTCTTCTTCAAAGTAAGACACGCCAGTAGCTTTTGCAATAAAAACAGGACAACGCACACGTCGGGCCCCAAGTACTAGGTCCTTTTGTCGCCAATTAACTAAATCGAGTACTTTTAACCTAGGATCTCTTGTGAAACAGTATTTCCCAGGATGGCTCTTCGAAGGAGCGACACTGCGCTCCACCAAGTGGTGGCTGTGTTCGTATGCAACAGAGCCGTCAAGAAAACTAGCGATTTTTCGCTTAATTTCCTCCATGGTATAAGCGTGAGGCTCTGTATTTTGCCTTCTAAGTTTTTCGTAGTGTAGAAATTTCGCGATTCTTTCTGAGTTGGTAGTGATAATGTCTTCTGTGAGCGGCTTGATATTTTCTAAGCAAATTAAAAGATCTACATTTTGGGGGTTTATTATGGTGTACAGGAACGAGATACTAGCGCCTAGGGAATGACCCATCAGTGATACCTGCGACCATTTGAAATAGTCTACCAAGCGTTGAATCAGAAGCATGTAATTTGTGTTATGGTAGTAAAAACCGTCAGGAATATGCGAAGAGTAGCCGTGTCCTGGCCAATCAACAGCTAAGAAACCTACGTCTTGGCTAATTAAAGGAAGCAATCTGTTGAACGAGTCGCAATTATCCTAATAAAAAAAATAGTATGAGTGTTTTAAATTGAATGTGTTGTATACATACTTGCCAACCATGCGTGGTTAAAATAGGTCGGATATTCGTCGGGCCCCACCATTTACCAGCTATGTGACCCCACGGAACCGGAATTTTAATTTCTAAGCCAGTGAGTTGTTCATATGAAGACTGAAAATTGGTGGAGTGTTCAAACTTAGGTTTCTTGATGGCGCCGAGTAAAACCACACCTCGTCGGAACATTGAAGTGTTACAAAGAACAAAATATTATACGTTTTTCTTATATGTGACGTACTAGGTTATTACATAACAACTATAGTGCACTGTGTTGTACAGACGATAGGTTATCGGTCTAATCGACTGTATATTTTCTTTTTACTGCATGCAGTAGTCACAATTATCATATTTTGCAATTAATTACTGACTAGCAAAGTTTTAAAAAACGTCAGAAGGTCAAAACCAGCAGTTGTTATTATTTTCAGTTTTGCTGACGACATCAGCGTTTTGGAAAAATTATGTTGTTTTTGGACTTTTAATGACGCTACCAGAGAAAAACAAAGCTGGTAGCTAAAAATTGTAGAAGGTTGTTTTGACAGAATCGATATTTTCTTATACAAATTTTCCACTTTAAACATGTTTTAAGTTTCTTGTTGTGAAAAGAAATCTACACATATTAAAACAAAAAGGCAAAATGAAAGCCCGCCCACCCGCCCTATCTCAAGTGTGATGATTTTTTTTATTCGCCGAGAACCAAGGGGGCACAGCTTAACTGCAAAACAGTTATTTCTTTACAAGAAATTAAAAACATGTTTTTGAGTATCATGTTGTTCAAAGAACACTATGTATATTAAGAAAAAAACGGCCAAATGCAAACAAAAATTTCACTTTTAAAAAAAGGTGTCTAAAAATTGCGAAAAAAATCAGAGACGTAGATCTCGACATGCTGATTCCGAAAATATAGCGTGTTGATGGTCACGGAGCAACATTTTCGAAAAAATCGGTACGAAATGCAAATTTTTGAAAATTTCTAAAATTTCGATATTTCAACGGGCGATTCCAGAAAAACGGTTGCAATTATCAAAGAAACGAGGCCGGAAATGAGTTCTAGAGCTCGAAATTTAGAAGAAAATGTATTTAGTTAAGTTTCGAAAATGTCAAAAATTCGGCGAAATTTGAAGGCCATTGAAAAAAATTTCACTTTTAAAAAAGTTGTCTAAAAATTGCGAAAAAATTCAGGGACGTAGATCTCGACATGCTGATTTCAAAAATATAGCGTGTTGGTAATCACGGAGCAACATTTTCGAAAGAATCTGTACGAAAAGCGAAATTTTGAAAATTTCTAAAAATTTCGATATTTCAACGGTCGATTCCGAAAAAACGGTTGCAGTTATCAAAGAAACGAGGCCGGAAGTGAGTTTTAGAGCTCGAAATCGACAAGAAAATGTGTTTTGTTAACTTTCTAAAATGTCAAAAATTGGCCAAAATTTGAAGAAGAGAAATAAGGATTTTGCAGTTAAGCTCCGCCCTCTTGACTCACAACGAATAAAAAAGATCATCACAATTGAGATACGGTGGGTGGGCGGGGCTTATATTTTGCCTTTTTCTTCTTAATATAGGTAGTCATATTTTCACAACACAACACAACACACAACATGTTTTAAATTTCTTGTTATGAAAAGACGACTACGGAAATTAAGAAAAAAAAACAAAATGTAAGCCCCGCCCACCCACCCTACCGTAATTGTGATGATTTTTTTTACTCGTCTTATGCCGTGGGGCAAAATCCTTATTTTTCGACAAGAAATTGCTATGTGAAACATGTATTAAGTACTAGAGAAAACAAAAACATAAGCCCCACCCATTCGTCTCGATCTCAATCTGGCCTTAATTTTTACTTAATATACGTAGTATTCTTTGAACATGATACTCAAAAACATATCTTACGTGGTAATTTCTTGTAGAGAAATAAGGATTTTACAGTTAAGCTCCGCCCTCCTGGCCCACAACAAATAAAAAAGGATAATCACATTTGAGATAGGGCGGGTGGGCGGGGCTTATATTTTGCTTTTGTCTTCTTTATATACGTAGACATCTTTTCACAACACAACACTCAACATGTTTTAAGTTTCTTGTTGTGAAAAGATGACTAGGTCTATTAAGAAAAAGAGGCAAAATTGAAAAATTTCACTTTTAAAAAAGTTGTCTAAAAATTACGAAAAATTCAAGGACGTAGACCTCGACATGCTGATTCCAAAAATATAGCGTGTTGATGGTGACGGAGCAAAATTTACGAAAAAAATCGGTACGAAATGCGAATTTCTGATAATTAAAAAAATTTTGATATTTCGAAGACCGACTCCAGAAAAACGGTTGCAGTTATTAAAAAAACGAGACCCGAAGTGAGTTCTAGAGCTCGAAATCTACAAGGAAATGTATTTAGTTAAATTTCGAAAATGTCAAAAATAGGCCGAAATTTGAAGAAGGGAAAAAATTTCACTTTTAAAAAGTTGTCTAAAAATTGCGAAAAAATTCAGGGACGTAGATCTCGACATGCTGATTCCAAAAATATAGCGTGTTGATGGTTGCGGAGCACCATTTTCGAAAGAATTGGTACGAAATGCAAGTTTTTGAAAATTTCTAAAAATTTCGATATTTTAATGGCCGATTCCGGAAAAACGGTTGCAGTCATCAAACAAACGAGGCCCGAAGTGAGTTCTAGAGCTCGAAATCTACAAGAAAATGTGTTTAGTTAAGTTTCGAAAATGTCAAAAATTGACCGAAATTTTAAGAAGGGTGGACCATTGAAAAAATTTCATTTTTAAAAAAGTGGTCTAAAAATTGCGAAAAAATTCAGGGACGTAGATCTCGACATGCTGATTCCAAAAATATAGCGTGTTGATAGCCACGGAGCAACATTTTCGAAAATATCGGTACGAAATGCAAATTTTTGAAAAAATTTCTAAAAATTTCAATATTTCAACGGCCGATTCCGGAAAAACGGTTGCAGTTATCAAAGGAACGGGGCCGGAGGTGAGTTCTAGACCTCGAAATATACAAGAAAATGTATTTAGTTAAGTTTCGAAAATTTCAAAAGTTGGACGAAATTTGAAGAAGGGGGGGGACCATTGAAAAAATTTCGCTTTGAAAAAAGTTGTCTAAAAATTGCGAAAAAATTTAGGGACGTAGATCTCGACCTGCTGATTCCAAAAATATAGCGTGTTGATGGTCACTGAGCAACATTTTCGAAAAAATCGGTACGAAATGCGAATTTTTGAAAATTTCTAAAAATTTCGATATTTCGAAGGCCGATTCCGGAAAGACGGTTGCAGGTATCAAAGAAACGAGGCCCGAAGTGGGTTCTAGAGCTCGAAATCTACAAGGAAATGTATTTAGTTAAATTTCGAAAATGTCAAAAATTGGCCGAAATTTGAAGAAGGGAAAAAATTTCACTTTTAAAAAAGTTGTCTAAAAATTGCGAAAAAATTCAAGGACGCAGATCTCGACATGCTGATTCCAAAAATATAGCATATTGATGGTCACGGAGTAACCTTTTTGAAAAAATCGGTACCAAATGCGAATTTTTGAAAATTTCTAAAATTTCGATATTTCAACGGGTGATTCCGGAAAAACGACTGCAGTTATCAAAGAAACGAGGCCTGAAGTGAGTTCTAGAGCTCGAAATCTACAAGAAAATGTATTTAGTTAAGTTTCGAAAATGTCAAAAATTGGCCGAAATTTGAAGAAGGGGAGATCATTGAAAAAATTTCTCTTTTAAAAAAGTTATCCAAAAATTGCGAAAAAATTCAGGGACGTAGATCTCGACCTGCTGATTCCAAAAATATAGCGTGTTGATGGCCACTGAGCAACATTTTCGAAAAAATCGGTACGAAATGCGAATTTTTGAAAATTTCTAAAAATTTCGATATTTCGAAGGCCGATTCCGGAAAGACGGTTGCAGGTATCAAAGAAACGAGGCCCGAAGTGAGTTCTAGAGCTCGAAATCTACAAGGAAATGTATTTAGTTAAATTTCGAAAATGTCAAAAATTGGCCGAAATTTGAAGAAGGGAAAAAATTTCACTTTTAAAAAAGTTGTCTAAAAATTGCGAAAAAATTCAAGGACGCAGATCTCGACATGCTGATTCCAAAAATATAGCATATTGATGGTCACGGAGTAACCTTTTTGAAAAACTCGGTACCAAATGCGAATTTTTGAAAATTTCTAAAATTTCGATATTTCAACGGGTGATTCCAGAAAAACGACTGCAGGGTGGACCATTGAAAAAATTTCACTTTTAAAAAAGTTGTCTAAAAATTGCGAAAAAATTCAGAGACGTAGATCTCGACATGCTGATTCCAAAAATATAGCGTGTTAATGGTCACGGAGCAACATTTTCGAAGAAATCGGTACGAAATACGAAATTTTGAAAATTTCTCAAAATTTCGATATTTTAAGGGCCTCTTCCGGAAAAACGGTTGCAATTATCAAAGGAACGAGACCCGAAGTGAGTTCTAGAGCTCGAAATGTACAACAAAATATGTTTAGTTAAGTTTCGAAAATGTCAAAAATTGGCCGAAATTTGAAGAAGTGGGACCACTGAAAAAATTTCACTGTTAAAAAAGTGGTCTAAAAATTGCGAAAAAATTCAGGGACGTAGATCTCGACCTGCTGATTCCAAAAATATAGCGTGTTGATTGTCACGGAGTAACATTTTCGAAAGAATCGGTACGAAATACGAAATTTTGAAAATTTCTCAAAATTTCGATATTGCAACGGCCGATTCCGGAAAAACGGCTGCAGTTATCAAAGAAACGAGGCCCGAAGTGAGTTCTAGAGCTCTAAATGTACAACAAAATATATTTAGTTAAGTTTCAAAAACGTCAATAAATAAAAATTCGGACAGACCGTAGACAGACAGACAGACGGAAACGGGCGACCTATTTCTTCGTACTGAGTTTACGCTCTGAACATATTTATTGAATAGGTACCTAAACTTTATTAAAAGCTAATAAAAATGATTTACTTTTTTCTTAAATTGATGTTTTCTTTTTTAAAATTTCCAAATGCTACAGGGTGTGAATGATTTCCTTCTTGATTCCACCCACTCTTCTATCAGATCTATCGTGTTGTTCGAGGAACTTTTTAATCAACCCAGCCAGTACTTCAGGATTATTGAGATGAAAATGATGAGTTCCTTCCAATGTGTGGAGCTCACAGTTACCACTTAATTTAAGAGCGTCTACAACTTCCTGAATATACTTCTCGTCTTTAGAATAATAATGATCATCTATAGCTTTTCCAAGAAAAACAGGACAACGCACACCTCGGGCTCCAGGTACCAAGTCCTTCTGTCTCCAGTTAATTAATTCGGTTGCTTTTAACCTAGGATCTCTGGTAAAGTAGTACTTTCCGGGTTGGCACTTTGAGGGAGCAACATTACGTTCAACTAAGTGGTTGCTGTGCTTATACGCAACTGAACCACCAAATGAGCCACAGATTTTCTGTTTAATTTCTTCCATGGTATAAGCACGCGGTTCTGTATTTTCTTTTTTAAGTTTTTCGTATTCTAGAAATTTCGAGATTCTTTTTGAGTTGGTACTGAGAATTTCGTCGTCAGTGAAAGGCTTGAGGCCATCCAAGCAGATCAAAAGATCTACATTTTGGGGGTTTATTATGGTGTACAAGAACGCGGTCCAGGCTCCTAGAGAGTGACCCAACAGAGATACCTGTGGCCATTTGAAATAATCTACCAATCGTTGTACCAGAATCACGTAATTTGTAATATGGTAGTAAAAGCCGTCAGGAATATGCGAAGAGTAACCATGGCCTGGGAGATCTATAGCTAAGAAACCCACGTCTTGGGTGATTAAAGGCAGCAATGTGTTGAAAGTGCCGCAGTTATCCTAAGAATAGAAAAGTTTTATGGGTGTTTTAATTTAATTTTGCATACGTACTTGCCAACCATGGATGGCTAAAATGGGTCGGATATTCGTCGGACCCCACCATTTACCAGCTATATGGCCCCACGGGACTGGAATTTTAATTTCTAAACCATCTAGTTGTTTAGCAGTTGAAGACCGAAAATTGGTGGAGTTTTTAAAGTTCGGTTTTACAATCATACTAAATAAAAGTCTACCTTGTCGGAACATTGCAGTGTTACGAAAAATAATGAGTTGTTTCGTTTAAATACAGGGTATTTATTATGTTATGACACGGTAAGTAATTACATTACTAGAGTGTAAAGTTATACAGATAACATGTTATTGCCTTAATTAGCTAAATATTCTAAGCCTATTGACAGTTAGTTTTTCGGAATTTATTGTCGCACTTCATTTTGGCGATTGTGAAAATATACAAGTGTCTAACGAGGTCGTAAAAAACTCGGTAGTTGAAACCAACAAATGGGTCTTTTTGCAACATTTTTAAAAATGTGCGTGAAATGGTCAAAAATTTTATAAGGAGGGGTAGTGAAAAATGGACTTTTTGGCAGTTTACCCTTTTAAGCAATCATGTTTTCAGTTTATTGTCGTGAAAAGAAAACTATGTATACATATTAAAAAAAAAAAAAGAAAGGAAAATAGAAACCCCGCCCACCCACCCTATCTCAATTGTGATGATTTTTTTTATTCGTTGTGAGCCGAAGAAACTACCATGTGAAACATGTGTTGAAAGAAAACTATGTATGTCAACAAAAAAAAGTCAAAAATTAAGCCCCACCCACCCCAATCTCAAATGTAAAATCGATATTTCCCAAAACAAAAATTAACCAATAAACGCTTTAAATATCTTGTCGTGAAAAATTTAAGCCCCGCCTACCCATCTCAGTTGTAATTATGTTATTTCTTATATGCGCCCGGGGGCGGAGTTTAATTGCAAAATCCTTATTTCTTATGTGTGGTGTTGAAAGAAACCTATGTATATTTAGAAAAAAAAAACAAATAGAAAGCCCCACCCACCCGCAATTATCTCAGTTGCGATGAATTTTTCACCAAAAGATGTTTTAAGTATTATCATATTGTTCAAATTAGAACATTTTGAGATAAACGAAACTGTGTAACCCTCTCTCCCCTATTATGTCAACAATAACAAAAGATGTTTCACATGGGAATTTTTCCTAGAGAAACAAAGATTTTGCAATTAAGCTTCGCCCTCTTGACTCACGACGAATAAAAAAAATCATTACAATTGAGATAGGGTGGGTGGGTGGGTGGGGCAAATACTTTGCCTTTTTTTCTTAATATGTAGTCTTCGTTTTACAACAAGAAACTTTAAACATGTTTAAAGGAGGCAAGGGAACTTAGTAATTTATGCAGTTGCACTGCATTTATACAGTGTAACTAGAATACCAATATTTTGTTCTCAAATTTTCGGGGAAAAAAAGAGTGCGTCGACCCAGGGACGCATGGATGGAGTTTTAATTCTGTGTTGTCAATTTATATAATTCAGTCAAACGCCGTCGAATAACTTGGACCCCAATCGCGTGCATAGGTAACCCCTATAACAGCAACAAAACGGTTCTTAAATCTACCACTCGATAGAAGGTGACGAAAAAAATTTGTACGAATCTCATAGTAAGCATTAAGATAATTTACAACGTTGCCAGTCGATCCGGCTTAAAATTCTACCTACCTAATTACGTAAACAAATTAAAATTTTCATTGAATACATACAGACTGTTCTAGGACACTTTACTAAATCTCTTCGTTTACGAATTCCCAGATTTTTGAACACAGGATTCTAGATTCCGAGATTCTAAGTTCTGAGATCCTATATTTCCAGATTAAAAGATTCTAGATTCCAAGAATTAAAATTCCAGGATTCTAGATTTCAATACTGAATTATGGATCCCAAGATTCTAAATTTCAAGATTCTTGATCACAGGATTCTAGATTCCATGATTCTATATTTCAAGATTGAATTATGGATCTCAAAATTCTAGATTCCGAGATTCTAAGTTCAGAGATCCTATATTTGCAGATTAAAAGATCCTAGATTCCAAAATTCCAGATCCCATGTTTCTATATTTCAAGATTGAATTATGGATCTCAAAATTCTAGAATCTAAGATTCTAGATTCCGATATTCTAAGTTCAGAAATCCTATATTTCCAGATTAAAAGATTGTAAAATCCAAAATTCTAGATCCCAAGAATTCAGATTCCATGATTCTACATCACAGGATTCTAGATCACAGGATTCTAGATTCCGAGATTCTAGGTTCAAAGATCCTTTATTTTCAGATTAAAAGATCCTGGATTCCAAAATTTTAGATCCCAAGAATTTAGAATCCAGGAACTAGATTCAATGATTCTGTATTTCAAGACTGAATTATGGGTCTCAAAATTCTAGATTCCGAGATTCTAAGTTCAGAGATCCTATATTTGCAGATTAAAAGATTGTAAATTGCAAAATTCCAGATCCCAAGAATTCAGATTCCATGATTCTAGATTCATGCTATATTTCAAGATTCAATGATGGATCCCAATATCCCAAATTCTTGATCACAGGATTCCAGTTCAGAGATCCCATATTTCCAGATTAAAAGATTCTAGATTCCAAGAATTTAGATTCCGGGATTCTAGATTTCAAGATTGAATTATGGATCCCAAGATTCTAAATTCCCCGATTCTAGATGACAGGATTCTAGATTCCGTGATTCTAAGTTCAGAGATCCTATATTTCCAGATTAAAAGATCCTAGATTTCAAAATTCTAGATCCCAAGAGTGTAGAATCCAGGATTCTAGATCCCATGATTCTATATTTCAAGATTGAATTATGAATCTCAAAATTGTAGATTCCAAGATTCTAGATCCCAGGATTCTAAGTTCAGAGATCCTATATTTCCAGATTAAAAGATTGTAAATTCCAAAATTTAGATCCCAAGAATTTATACTCTAGGATTCTATATTTCAAGATTGAATTATGGATCTCAAGATTCTAAATTCCAAGATTCTAGATTCTGAGATTCTGAGTTGAGAGGTCCTATATTTCCAGATTAAAAGATTCTAGATTCCAAAATTCTATATTTCAAGATTGAATTATGGGTCTCAAGATTCTTAATTCCAAGATTCTAGATTCCAAGAATTTAGATTCCAAGATTCTATATTTCAAGATTGAATCATGGATCTGAATATTCTAAATTCCAAAATTCTGGATCACAGGATTCTAGATTCCGAGATTCAAAGTTCAGAGATCTTATATTTCCAGATTAAAAGATTCTAGATTCCAAAATTCTAGATCCCAAGAATTTAGATTCCAGGATTCTAGATCCCAAGATTTTGAGTTCTCAGATCTAGAATTTTAACCTTTTAAAAATATTAAATTTTCAGAAGAAGAAAATACATCTTAGACCCAAGGTATTAAATTCTTGAATTCCATGATCCAAAGTCCTTAATATGTACTACATTTTAAGCTCCAAGTTTTAGTTTTGAAATTCCAAGATTTAAGATAGATACTAAGATTCTAGATTTCAGGTTAGTTTTGCAATCCTGTGATTCTAAACACTAAGATTCTGAATTCCAAGATTCTAGAGTCCAAGGTTCTGGATTCCAAAATTCTAGATTAAAATTTCTAAATCCTAAATCCCTGGATTCTAAATTCCGAGATTCTAGATTTTCAATCCCAAAACACTTGATGCCAAGATTCCAGATGCCGAGATTTTAGTAAGTCCCAAATTCTTCAATTCTATGATCCAGAATTCTTAATATGATTTTAAATTCTACGTTTTAGTTTTAAAATTCCAAGACTATGGATTACAGAATTCCGAGGTTTTAGATTCCGATATTCGATAATTTCAGGATCCTAGATTCCAAGATTCTAGATGCCAAAATTCTAGAAAGTCTTAAATTCTTTTAAGCTTCAAGTTGAATTTACCAGATGTCTAACGTAAAGACTCATACACTTGAAGAACAAAATTGTTAGATGACAAATTTTGATTAACAATTTACTCAAAGCGGGTTCATAAACCACAAATGCAAGGTAAGTAAAAATAGCAGAAAAATACATCTTCAATTAAAAACGACCTTATAATATGTAGTAACTATTGAAAGATCGCTGGATACTTCCTACCTACTTCAGTTTTTACCTGCCCCTACTAAACAGTGAAGCGAACAATATTTCAGCAATAAAAATAAAATGCAAAGAATGGAAATATAGAAAAAACAGAAAATTAAGTCCAGACAACTTATTTCGCACGATTTATTGACTGAAATATGAGGTGTACAACTATGACAGGTATATTTTGTTCTACACATGACACCAAAGTTTAAAAAAAAAACTTTATCCAAGCAAAAAATTACAAACATTTATTGAATAGGTACTTAAACTTTAATTTTAAAAATGCAACTCCTGCAGTTTGTGTCTGCCGCTCACAATCATTTCCCCCTTGATTCCACCCACACTTCTATCCGATCTATGTTGTTCCAGAAACTTTTTAATCAATCCAGCCAGTACTTCAGGATTATTGAGATGAAAATGATGTGTTCCTTCCAGTGTATGTAACTCACAGTTACCACTTTCTTTGAGAGCGTCTACAACTTCATGAACGTTCTTCGCTTCTTCAAAGCAAATCCCATCTATAGCTTTTGCAATAAAAACAGGACATCGTACCCGTCGGGCACCAGATACCAAGTCCTCCTGTCTCCAGTTAATTAATTCGGTTTCTTTTAATCTCGGATCTCTCGTAAAGTAGTACTTTCCGGGTTGACTCTTTGAGGGAGCAACATTACGTTCAGCCAAGTGGTGGCTGTGTTCATAGGCAACTGAACCACCAAGTGAGCTGGAAATTTTCTGTTTAATTTCTTCCATGGTATAAGCAGGAGGTTCTATATTTTGTCTTTCAAGTTCTTCGTATTGCAGGAATTTCGAAATTGTTTTTGAGTTGGTACTGATAATCTTGTTTTTAATGAACGGCTTGACATGGTCCAAGCAAATTAAAAGATCTACATTTTGGGGGTTTATTATGGCGTACAAAAACGCGATACTGCCGCCTAGAGAATGAGCCAATAACGATACTTGCGGCCATTTGAAATAATTTACCAAGCGTTGTACTAGAATCATGTAATTTATGTTATGGTAGTAAAAGCCGTCAGGAATATGCGAAGAGTAACCATGGCCTGGGAGATCTATAGCTAAGAAACCCACGTCTTGGGTGATTAAAGGAAGCAATCTGTTGAAAGTGCCGCAGTTATCCTAAGAATAGAAAAGTCTTACGGGTGTTGTAATTTAATTTTGCATACGTACTTGCCAGCCATGGATGGCTAAAATGGGTCGGATATCCGTCGGACCCCACCATTTACCGGCTACGTGGCCCCATGGTACTGGAATTTTAATTTCCGCGCAATTTATTTGTTTACCATTCGAAGACCGAAAATTAGAGGAGTTTTTAAAGCTCGGTTTTACGATAGTACTGAGTAAAAGTCTACCTTGGCGAAACATTACTGTGTTTGTAACAATACACGGTAAAAATAACCATTGTTGTTGTGACACGATAATTCCACTAAATAGTTACATTACTGCAGTAATGTTATACAGATAACACGTTATCGTCGCAATTACTTCAGTAGCAAGTTTTTCGAAATTTATTGTGGCACTTTGTTTTGGTGATTGTGAAAATATAGGAAGTCGTATAATTTTCCGGCGGTTGAAATAAACAAAAGAATTTTTTACAAAGTTGTCACTAAGTTTGGTTGGTAAAGTAAAATTTAGAAAAATATTGTTGTTCTTGACTGAAATATGAGGTGTACAAAACTGGATGTAAAGAAAGAATCTAAATACCTTTGGAGACAATTTATTGTTCTGTTATTACATAAAATATTATATAAAAGAATTTATAATTATATTTCGGCCCCTTTTTGCGTATCTTCTGGTGTTCCACAAGGTACACATTGTGGACCCATTCTTTTTTTGTTATTTATTAATGACTTAACTTGCAGTTTCCATTTTTCAAATTATTTACTGTATGCAGATGACCTGAAACTATTTAAAACTATACGGTCCATTCAAGACGCTAAACAACTTCAATTGGACTTAGTTGCATTATTTAACTGGTGTCAAAATAACTGTCTTCATTTAAACATTAAGAAATGCTATGTAATATCATTTTATAAAACCAAATCGCATATCAGTTTTGATTACCAATTAGACAATGTCTCCGTCTCACGAGTTTTAGAAATAAAAGATTTGGGGGTGATTTTTGATACGACCCTTACATTTAAGAGCCATTATAACCATATTTACAATAAAGCCATGAGTATGTGGGGTTTCATTTGGCGTCATTGTAAAGATCTGTCTCCATTGGCCCTAAAATCTCTCTACTGCTCTCTTGTTCGATCGCATTTTGATTATTGCTCTTCTGTTTGGTTTCCTTTTTATAAAATCGACTATGAGAGACTTGAAAGAGTACAAAATAAATTTCTTCGAACTGTGGAATTTAAAATGGGTCATTCTCATATTAAGGGTGACTACCGATGGATTATGGATAAGTGTCAAATTCACTCTCTTATTATCCGTTGGAAAATTTCTGATGCCTGTGTTCTTCATGACATTATTAATGGACATATTGACAATCCAAGTCTGTTGAACAGATTGTCTTTTCTTATCCCTGCAGTTGACAGTCGTACAACAAGAAGTCGAAACATATTTAGAATATCAACATCAACAACACTTTTGGCTCAAAATCATCCGTTAAGAAGAATGATGGAAGAAGCTAATGAATATTCCTGCCGCATTCGAATCTCAATCTTTGATTCTAGTAGGCTGAAATTTAAAAATGATGTGTCGGTTTATTATTATTATAATATGTAATCTTATTTAGTTTCATTTTCAACTTTTTATTTGTTTAATTTGTATTAATATTGTACTGTATCGTGGAATCAAGAAACACTGTTTTTTTTTTCCTTTATTTGTAAAGTGGAGTTATATTCCGTAAATAAATTATTATTATTATTATTATTAAAATGTACATGTGGCGAAATTATCTGCCGAGTTTATTCTTCTTGGATGTTCTCCGGAAACCTATTGAAGAAAAAGTAAATTTATGATTAGGAACTGCATCTGTGATGATACAGTGAAATCTATATGTATTATTTGGTCTACTTTTAAGTAACTCAAAAGTAGACGTTAAGCTTAAATCTAAAAAAACTGAATTGCCAATTCACCTTACACTAAAACAATTGAATGTGCACATTAGTAAGTAAAAAAAAAATAATTAAAAAAAAGAACTGTTAGTATAAGCTGTTCTTTGTACATGACTGGAAGGAATACAATGACATGCATTACGCCTATCTTATTTAAAAATACATATAGATTAAGTGAAAAACAGTTACTGTTGTGAATCTGTTGGAATACAACAGAAGAGATAAGAAGTCTTGAGTTGGTTTGTTTTCCGTTCTACGTACCAAAATCCTAACGAACTTTTTCTAATCAACTTTTGAATTATTGGGAGGTTTTCTGTCTGAAAGTACAATGTAAATCGTCTTGGTGGTACTAATAGTTGACTGAGAAACGCCATGTTTTCGTTTTCAACGTAAGGATCAGAGTGATGTGTCTTCTACATAAAAAAAGAGAAAACAATTTCATTCTTCAAGAGAGTTGTTTTAATAAATTTCTCAATTCTCTTGATGGATGTATTTTCACAATTCATTTCGTTTTATTCATAGCTGATTTCATTGAAATAAGCTTCAGAGAAGTGATTTAAGGAAACTTGAGTAAATTCTATTTCTTATATAAACTTCAATTCATCCCAAACCTCTTGTTCTTAACCCTTTTTAAACAAAGAAAACCATATTAGTGTTCAAACCAATCATTTATTAGAGCTTATCTAAGTGTCACAGATTGAACTCAAAGAAAATTAAGAAGGAAAAACAAAGAACTACACTACATATTCAAAACTGTGATCCATCTTTTTTTTTTTGGTATCAAGTTCGAAACGATTTATACAAACATAATGGCGACATTTTAGTTCAAAACGTCGACATTGTTGACGCGGTCAAAACAAATAAAAAATGAGGAGTTTATGCCACATCACCATACATTAAAATCAAATGTAGAAAATATAAAATTTAACCGCGTGGCATCAACTCCTGACACATTATAGCTAAGGATTATCTCTCCAATAAATGCAGTGCCTCCACGAAGTTTAATAACGACCTGAAAGTAACATTAAAATAAACACGAATTAAAAACAAAGCAACACCACATACCAAAAAAAAATTTCAAAGAAACATCATTAACAAATGCAATTTTAAACATGGGTATCACAGATAACAGAAAATGTGCTGTGCCAATGCAATCGCCAGAAACCAGAAATTTCATTCCTCTTTAAAATTGCATTGACTGGCTGCTGAAAACGTTCTGAGGTACTTACGTGGAGAGTAACTGCGAGATCTGGAACGCTCATATCGACGTCGTCTGTAATACGGAGACGGCGAACGTCTGTGACTGTACCTCGAACCCCTCCCATAATAATCACTGCACACACAAAACACACCCTCAATAAATCGCTAAACTCAGACAAGATCTACTTACTCTCTATCGCGACGTCGATCGTAGCGGTCACTGTATTTGCTGAAATAAACAAGCGTGCGTTAGAAAAATTCGCAACACGGATTTAGTGTGTGAAGGGGCCTTTATTTTGTGTTTTATCTTCACAACACAAAGTCTAATTTCCTTCAGGCTTTTTTATTTACCAAAAATCAATAACTATGTTAAATGACTTAATTAACATTCAGGCGTGACTTTTGGATGACGTGTTCTCGTTATGAGAAAGTTTTGACTTAGAGTTGGCTAAAAGAGTACTTACTATGTAGGTTTGCCCATATATATTCCAGGCGTCGGTGTATGCGCCCTTTCGGTAATAGAATAGTCCACCCTAATATTTTTACCATTTATCTTCATTCCAGTGCATTGGTCTTTGGCTACTTTGGCGTCATCTGTGTTTTCAAAATACACAAACGAGAAGCCTCTTGAACGTCCAGTCTAACAACAACATAAATAATAAATAAGTAATAAAAAATAAATTGATAAACAAACAACACACAAAATATACATATTATATTGTTGTAGTGTAAACGGAGCTGAGCATCTAGAGTATCACACATGTCAGCACGGGACACTACCATTGATCTTCCTGTGTGCATCAAGAAATTCCGCATGTGAAGCCAAACCTCTCAAAAATCACAGGTTTCGGGAGTAACTATGATTTCACCACCGTTACCTTAGCATCAATGACGACTTGCACTCTTTCTAGCGGTCCGTATTTGGAGAAGATGTGGTACAGTTCGTCTTCTGTGGTGTAGACACTTAATCCAAAGACGCCAAGGCATCGAGACGGCTTGGGATTGTCCCTGGTCCCCATATGGCGCCTGCGGCTAGACATAGGGCTATGTGAGAGCGACCTCCGGTCGCCGGGGGAACGCGAGTGACTATGTGAATATCTCGAGGACTTGTAACGTCTGTCTGAGCGTGATCGACTGCGCGACCTGAAAGGCCAAATCAAAAAAATATGATCTATGATATGGTGGTACTAGATACGTACGACACAATTCTTTGGTGCAAAGAAAACTTGTCGAGAGAATCGAGGTACGTTTCACGTGAAGCCAAAATATAACAAAACGAACCAATACGTGACAGAGAAATGGGAAAGCTTACTGTGAATCAACATACAAATCGTCTTCAACCCAGACAACGCTTTAGTCCGAAATGTGCGACATGTGCCACGTACACACGGCGGGGACATTTTACTATGCTCACCTGTATCTTCTGTCTTCCCGGTCTCTGTCATCGCGGCGCCGGTCTCGGTCCCGGTCGCCATCTCTGTACGACATCTTCCGGCTACGACTGGGGCTTCTACAACAGCAGGGGATATTCTCGTTAGATCGACCACCAAAATATTGCGTTCTTTGTTGACTTAATAAAACTGTTTACTCTCGAACGGTTTCGAAATGGACACAATTAACATTGAACTCGGCGGAACTAAATGAACCAAGAGCGGAATTTTTTACTCTAGATTTACTCTACAAGTCGGGTTGAAATACGTTTGACTGTGTTGTTGCTGACTGAGTTACTGAGACTTGGCGACATGTAATGAAGAAAGCATAGCATAGCATGTACTAATTAATACAATGAAATTACACAATGGTCACTTGAAGTCGGCGGGGATGGGATTCGAACCCACGCATGGCGAATATTGCACAAATTGTGATAAAAATCAAGCCGGAGTACTATGTAAATATTAAACTTTTATTTGATATGTATGTAAGAATTTTTGATGTATAGCTCTTATTTATTTTCATTTTATTGTTAATTAGAATAAGAATTAGTTTTTAATAATTAGTTGTTCATTAGTATTACGTTCCACTATAGACTTGTCTGCTGGAAATAAAATTGTTATTATTACTATTATTTAATAAAAATCGACACAAACCACAGAAACAGAGGACCTACTTTTCATATTTTAGGAATGGATCATATTACAATACTTTCTTAGCTTACGCGTTGGATGTAAAAAAGGAGAATAATCTCAAGTTCCGTTATCACATACTGAATCAAAGAATTTCGCATGAACTCCTACAACAAGCATTCAATTTATAGAAGCGACAACAAGACAATAGACAATAACAAACCCACCCGGATGATAGTGAGGTCAAATGCAGTGAAACTTTCATGTCAAGAAATTTTTGTGGGGATTTTGGCCAACATCTCTAACATTGACATAGTATTTTTCAATTTAATCGTGATTTTAATACCTAGGTCAACAAATTTCCCAAAATTATTTTTTTTTTTATATGAATAATTTAAAACATACAAGATATAGATACAAACATGGTTGCTAAAAAGTGTGGATACCGTTAAATATTTCCAGAACGGGAAGAATGATTTTTGGCAAATGACACATTCATTAAGAATGTAAAACTAAAATTTTCTTTTTAGTTTTACTTTCTTGTTATTGTTAATTTTTAATTTTAATTTTTAGTTTTTCCTGTAATTGGGTGTAACCCCGTTGGAAAATAAAAAAATAAAATAAAAATAAAAAAATAAAATAAAGGGCGGCCGGGTGGGGCTAGTACTTGCCAAAATAAGACTGATTTTGGCAAATGACATAGCCCCTAAGAAAAGAGGGTGGGTGGGCGGGGCTAATACTTGCTAAGATCGGACGTATTTTGGTAGTTCCTGAGATATGTAGGGTTATCATAAAAAAATAAAATTTGCAAAATGAAATCTTACAATTTTTCGAAAAATCTGGATTTAATTACCTTTGAAAAATTTTTTGATACCACAATGTTTCAGTTTCATAATTTTTCATTTTTTCAACTTTAATTTTTTCAGTTTTTCGACTTCTCGACTCCCAAAATTTCCAATTTTTTATTTTGAAATTTTTCCGTCTTGCAAATTTTCGATATTACAATTTTTCATTTTTCGATTTTTCAGTTTTTCAATTTTTCGTTTCCTCAATTTTTCAAGTTTTTGATTTTTAATTTTCATTTTCCTGATTTTATATCACAATTTTTCCTTTTTTCCATTGTCTTTATTTTTCAATGTTTCTTTTGGTTTTATAAATTTTCGTTATTCGATTCTTCAAATGTTGGGTCTTTGATTTTTGAGTTCTTCGATTTTCCAATTTCAAAATTTTGCTTTTTCAGTTTTTCGTTTTTTCAATTTTATAATTCCATTCGAAAAATTGAAAAATCGGAAAACTAAGAAAACGAAAAATTGTAAAATCAAAAAAGTGGAAAATCGAAGCACTGAAAAAACGAAAGGTGGAAACATTTGGAACAATTTTGCCAAGTGACATACCCTCTAAAAAAAAAAAAAAGGGTAGAGGGTATATCATTTGGCAAAATCAGTTGTATCTTAGCAAGTATTAGCCCCGCCCTCCCGCCCTCTATATTTTTTAGAGGAATCTCATTAGCCAAAATCAGTCTTATCTTAGCAGGTACTAGCTCTCTAAGAAAATAAAGGGCGGGTGGGGCTAGTGCTTGCCAAAATAAGACTGATTGTGGCAAATGATATACCCCTAAGAAAAGAGAGGGTGGGTGGGCGGGGCTAATACTTACTAAGATAGTATTAATTTTGCCAAATGACATGCTCTAAGAAAATGAAGGGTAGAGGGTATATCATTTGACAAAATCAGTCTTAAGGTACTAGCCCTTAAGAAAATAAAGGGCGAGTGGGAGCGGCTAGTGCTTGCCAAGATAAGAATGACTCACCCTTCAAGAAAATAAAGGGAGGGCGGGTAGGGCTAACGCTTGCCAAAAGACTGATTTTGGCAAGTCACATACCCTCTAAGAAAAGAGAGGGTGGGCGGGCGGGGCTAATATTTGTCAAGATAAAACTGATTTTGCGAACGATATAACCTCTAAAGGTACGTGTCCATTTGAGAGGGCGCTTGCGAGAATTAATTCCAAAATCAGCCCGTAAAACCATGGTTGGGCCTGTCCTCAACTGGGTAAGCGAATCGCAGAATCAGTCTTATCTTGGCAAGTATTGACCTCGCCCCCCCACCCGTTAGTTTCTTCAAGGGTATGTGATTTGCCAAAATCAGTCTTATTTTGGCAAGTACTAGCCCCCCCCCCCCCCTTTTCTTGGAGGGCTAATACTTGCCAAGATAAAACTGATTTTGCCAACGATATAACCTCTAAAGGTACGTGTCCATTTGAGAGGACGCTTGCGAGAATTAATTCCAAAATCAGCCCGTAAAACCATGGCGGGCCTGTCCTCAAATGAGTAAGCGAATCGCAAAATCAGTCTTATCTTGGCAAGTATTGACCCCGCCCACCCACCCGTTAGTTTTTTCAAGGGTATGTGATTTGCCAAAATCAGTTTTATTTTGGAAAGTACTAGCCGCGCCTCCCCATCGTTTATTTTCTTGAAGGGATAGTACCGGCTAAGATAAGACTAACTTTGGCAAATGATATACGCTCTAAGAAAATAAAAAGAGAGAGGGTGGGGCTAGTCCTTGCTAAGATAAAACTGACATTGCCAAATGGCATATCCCCGAAGAAAATAAAGGGTGGGTGGGCGGGGCAGATTCTTGCCAAGATAAGACTGATTTTGCCAAATGATACCTATACAAAACTCATTTGACATACACCATGTAAAACTTATGACTTAAGCGAGTTAAGCCAAAGCACCCTTATAAGTCAAACTGGCTATTGTGTAACTTAAGTCAGTTCACATACACCTAGTAAAACTTTACAGCTCGATTTTGGCAACAATGGACAGTAATATCGTTGCGGTTCTGGTCCATAAAGCTTACAATAGTCAGTTTGACTTATGGGTGGTTTGGCTTAAGCCATAAAAGTTTTACAAGGTGTATGTCAAGTGAGTTTTGTATACCCTCTACCCTTCATTTCTATTGGATAATAATTTTGGTGAATACACAAATCGCAAATTTCCCATTCCAATGAATATAAAGAAGGTTACAATGTTTTTTTTTTATAAAATATAGCTTGTTTTTTTTTTCAAATGAATAATAAAACAACTGAACAAGGACAAGAGGAAGAAAGAAAAAATATGGAATTTTTGCTAAGAAAACAACACACAATCAACACCAGAGAAAATAAATATCAAGACTGTGGGGGCTGGCAAGTCCCACAAAATTGTATAGCATTTGTATATAATCTGTATTTAATTACTTCCCAGAATCACCCCGAAACTTTCTCTTCGTCCACCTGCATCTCGTAAAATCTTTTGTTCACTCTTCTCAGTAATACTTTTCCTTTCCTAGATTTCGAATAAAGTCTGTCCAGAATTATAAGAATTTTATGCACTCCCAACGTTAATTCGTTTTACAGCCCAGGCATCAATTCTATTGTACAGGTAAAGAGCCTGTGTCAGGGGAAAGCCGATGCTTACTGTACCTGAGTTCGTCCCGCTCTTCAGCTGTACAATAAAATTGACAACAGGGCTGTAAAACGAATTAACTTTGGGAGTCCATAAAATTCTTATAATTCTAGACAAACTTTACCTTCCAAGAACCCTTTAAACACAACTGTTTCCACCGCTTTCTACAGACCTTTCTTTTCATTTCAATTTCACAAAATATAAGACTTCCACATACTGTTTCAATCACCTGACAAGACTATTGAAACTACACACGTACAAACTAACCTAAAATATTCAATATTCCAATACAAACAAACGTCAGTGTTGCCAATAGAAATGAAACTCTTACAAGTACATACAATTCCACAACTAAGAATTACTTGGTTAAGTAGAGTCTAATGTGCAACCACTGTACAATTTAAGAAGTACTTACTTTTAAGAATTGCTTAGATAATCTCTTATCTTGGCAAGTACTAGCCCCGCCCACCCACCCTCTCTTTTTTTAAAGGATACGTGATTTTCGAAAATCAGTTTTATCTTTGCAAATTCTGATGACTAACTTTTACAAAAAAAAAACTGACAAATCGTTCTGGAAATATTTATCTGTACTTTTGAGCAACACTGTTTATTTACTGATAATTTTATTTTCCAGCTAATCTCGTTTATTCGACGAGATATAAATAGAAAACGAGTACTACAAGGTGTAAAATTTGAGGATGACGTCAAAAATGTTTACAATCACCGGAAGTGAACGCAACAACATTCAATGCAATGTTTCCATATATTATGAACGAGACCTATGATAAAATTGTTAGTTTTATGTAATATTCAAGTCGTTATAGATGAAGGTTTGGCACCTAACCTTGTATTGTTGATTTAGCACAGTTTTGTAGCATCATCCATTAAAAAAACGTGACTGTTTTATAATTACAAGAATATATATTACTTTTGGCCTCTATTCCAGCAAGCACCGACATAACCTCGCTTTTTAGATTGAATGACAAGAAAAATAATTTTTCTGGGGTCTGTCACTTATATTTAATTGTAAAAATAGAATGGAATAGAGTATAAAAATTAATACTTGAAGATGTGCCAGTTTTTTTCATGTACAAATACTATTAATAATAATAATTGTGTTTATTTACAACAAAGTCAATTTTATGAAAGCTTCTGCAAGTGCTAATCACTATAATGAGTCCACTTTTATAATTTATTTGTAAATAAACATTAATTTCTAGTACTGGTTATCATCAGTTTGCGATTCTAATAAAAACGAATACAATGGGTACACGTGTATTTGAAGAATGTGCTTTGATCTTTGATGCTATAATTAACTGTACTTGCAATCTATAAAAGTGTCCAAACCTTTGAAATACAAGCACATGGGGCTTTGGCCACTATACTAACGAAAAATACATATATTGAAAATACTTAAAAACGTAACTGAATACAAAAATTGCCCCTAGAGGAAATTTTGACGAAAAACATAAATTTTGTTGTATTACGTTGGTGATAAATTCCACTAGCAATTTTAATAAACAAGCAATATCTGCAAAAAATAGTCGTCAGACCATTACCAAAGCCGGCGGCCTCAGCATTTCAGTAAACAACAATCACAGTCCCATTCAAAAACGCATAAACAATAAAAATAATTCTCACCTTGAGTAACTTTTGGCCTTGTGATTTCTTGGTGACTCTTCCCGCCTTGCGTGTGGCGAATGGTCCCGATCGTTCATCGGTTTGTGGCCAACGGGTGAGCGGCTCCCCTAGTAACCAAACGCTTTATCAATAAATAAATTCCACAAAAATGCGACAATTCCCCAAAAACCACCCCGTTTCGAGTCGACAAGTCCCAAATCTACCCCCCGACCGACGCGCACTAACGTAATCAGCGTAATCAGAGTGCTGTGGAACGAAGCCGGTACCGACGCGCTCCCACATCGCGGAAACGAGCCCCCAAACCCCCGAAACAACCCCCGGTACTCACCTCCCTATCACTCATGACAAGAAACAAGAAATATTTGAACTATTTTAGCGGACTTTGAGGTATTTGTTGATATTTTTCGGACAGTCTAATGCGAACAGCACTTCAAACACGCCAAACAAAACTAGCGGAGTGATGGCGGCGACTGGCAGCGGCGCTGGAGTCGCCGGAAATCGACCATTGGTGAGGCGCGATTGGCGGAGAGCGGACGCCCCGCCCACGCTTCCGCTGACGTGCGATTTAAAATTTTAGCGAAAAATAAACACATCGTGGTCATAAATTTGCATAACGAATTGGTTTTTGAAGTGGAGTTATGTAAGTAACGGATTTGTCGTTAAGTATGATCCCGATTAAATTTTTTTTAAGATGATTGTGGACGGGCGCTAGATGGCGCTTTGTATTTTCGAAAGAGTGATGTGGCTTCGCGATCGACTTGTCAAAGTTTGACAAAATGAATAGGTTTAAGTTATTATATTTTGTGATATTTATAATAAACTTATGTAGATTAAATGCTCAAATATCCGATAAGAGGTTATGCGTGGATGAAGAATGTAAAGGTAGATTTTGTTCCAATGGTTTCATAACCTAGTTTCGTGACATGAAGTTGACATTTTTTTTTTCTAGTCCCCATATCGCTTGCCAAAACTCTTCTGAGGTATTCTAGTCCGGATTCCAGGATATTGTCGTTTGGACCCAATGTAGATATAACCATTTATAGTAAGTCAGCTGGGTCTCGAGAGGATTTGTGGGGTGGCGAGATCAACGGCAAACGGGGCTATATCCCCAAACATATGGTCAGAGAGGTCAAACTCCTGCAAAAACCCACGATTTTAGTAGATACCGAGTTCACTAATGATACGGACACAAAAGTGCCTTCACAAGTCGAGCCTGACAAGGTTCAGGAACCTTATGAAGTTGTAGATGGGACTACTATTTATTTGAATCCGCAAGAGATCAACCCAACGTCTACGGAAAGCCCGGTCCAATCCACGGCCTTACCACCTGAGACAAATAAAGTTGAAGCAGCAGAGGAGCAAACACAAGAGAACAAAAATGATCAAAACAAAGATACCAATAAAGAGGAAGAAGAAGAAGAGCTAAGTGTGGCTGAAGACACTGAAATAAATATTGATGAAGAAGAAGAGGAAGATGAGGTGGATGAAGATGAAGAGGAAGAGGATGTTGATGAAGAGGGTGAAGAAGAGGAAGATGTAGCAAGCGTTGAGGCAGAAAATGCAGAGGATAGTAGTAACAATGTAGAGGATTTAAGTGTGTCAAAAGAAACCCAAGAAGCTTCTGATTCAACTGACGCAGAAGCAAAACCTGTAGAAACTAATCCAGAAGCTGAGATAAAAGATGATAATAGTGAACAAAGTGAAGAAATAAAGTCAGAAGCTTCAAACAAAGAAGGCGAAAGTGAAGAAGTTGTTACAAATGAAGAAGTGCCAACCTCTGTAAATAGTTCTGAAGTGCAAGATGAACCATCTGACAACAAAGAAGCTGAACCTTCTGATGAACAACCAGATGAAGGTGTTAGTGAAGCAACTGTTGCACCAGTTGAAGTCACTACTTTTAGTCCAGAAGTAGAAGTGCCTCAGCCTTTTGTGGACCAATTCATTGAGGTGACTCCAAACCCCCTAGAAGCAACTGAAGAACCCGCAGTCGTAACAGAAGCGGTTCCGACGCTTCCACCACTGGGACTGTTTGCGTCATCAAGTATCAATCCCGACGGGTCTCAAGAAAATACCCACAGTGAAGAAAGTGTGGTTGAGGAGCAACCACCAGAAGACAATTCTACTGAAGTAGAACTAGATGATGTTAGTCAATCTGATCAATCAAGTGAAAGCACACAAGCTCCAATCATAGAAGACACCACTAGCAAAGAAAGCGTTTTGTCTTCCAGTGAAATTGGGAATGAAGCAGACGAAGACGCTACAAATTCCGGCTTTTTCGCTAGTGTGTCTTCTCTCTTTGGAACGTCTGAAGATACACCCAAGCAAGAATCTGAAGACACGCTTACCCCAGACTTTATGGCGCCCCCAGAGAGTCATATCCCCGGCGACGATCTTCTTTCTTCAGATAGTAGAGGTAGGTCCGGACATGACACGCCACGTACACTTTACAAAATAAATCGGTGTTCACTCTGCTGAACTAATTTAAACATGAGGTGCTAATGTAGTCACACTTATGAATTTAACAACGTGGCTCACCGTTGCACAATCACTTCAATAAAACGTTGGCGCTGTTTCTGGCAACATAATAATAACTAAGAAATCGGCTAACCGCGTTCTAAAAAAATAAAATTATTTTAGTAACAATAAAGTGATAAAATTTGGAAACGATTTTGTTGTTGTTCGTGCGCACTTCACGTTCGTGGTAGTAATGTAACGTATTTTCATTTAGAGTCATTTTGTGATGCGACGTCCTGTCTACACAGCGAAGAAAGCGAGGTTGCTGCAATGGATTTTTTCAGCTTCAATTCGGACGTTTTCCTGTATCTGGTAACGACTGCGATATCAGTTATCATTTTCCTTTTCGGCTACATCGCGTTCGACAAGAATAAAAGAGAGGGACCTTTAATCGCAAAAATTAACAATTTAGAAAAACACATGTTGGTGGTGTTGAAAGAGAACGAAATTTTACAAGAAAAAGTAGCCTCTGAAAGCGGCTACGAAACCAACGATCGCGTGTCAAACGAAGTCGTCGAAAATTTAAAGCAAGATTTATTCGAAGTGACGAGTTTGAAGACCGCGCTGGAGGAACAAGTGCAATCCCTTGAGAAAGAACTAGAGAATTCGACCGAAGTCGGTATGGAGTTGAACCGAATGTTGTCCGAAATCCTGAGTTCGGAAAGCGGAAGCGACGTCCTCAAAGCCAACGTTGAACATTTACAGCGACAGCTGGTGGAACAGCAGTCCACGGTTAATTCGGTGAACGAAACTTTGGCGGTCACGAACACGGAAAACCACGAACTTAGGTTAGAGTTGGAACTGAGCAACAAAAAGGTCCTTGACCTACAGGCCGAGCTAGACAAACTGGTGCTAAATATACTCAAGATCGAGGAAGAAAAAGACTCGCAACAGTCGCTCCTAGAAAACGAAATCGCGAATCTGCGACAAAAGTACGAAGAAATTAACGCTAAATTGCGATTCAAGGACGAAGATCACAGCAGCGAATTAAAACAACTGAACACTAAACTGGAGCAAAGCGAGCGCAAGTTGGAGTTGAAAATAAAAGAGCAGGCGCAACTCACCGATACTTTGAAACAACTGAAAACGATTAAAAAGGACGAAAAAACGTTACAAAGTTTGCTGGAAGTAGGCGCGATTAAAGCGGAGTTGCAGTTGTTGAAGGGCGAGAATGAGCGATTCGCGGAAAAAATACACCAGGACGAAGCAGTGAAGGTCAATTATGAGAAACGTGAAAAAGCGACGGTCGAAGAAATTCGACTATTGAAAGAAAAGTACGACGAAGCAGACAAATTGAGAGTCGAAACTCAAACCAAACTCGAAGTTTTGTCAAACTACTTCAAAGACAGAGAAGCCCAATGGCAAAAGTAAGTATTTATTATTTATGAACTAATAGTAGCCATCAGTTTAGGCACATTCAACTTTTTTTTCTTCTTTTCTACAGTTCTCTTATCAACTATCGGTTTTACAAACAGTGGGGGTTGGTCAACCTTCGGTGAAGCTGTAACGTGCAGATTTTCGGGTCGGATTTTCTTTTTCTTTTGTCGTTCCAACTTGATGGTGGAGCTGGCTGGTCTCTGTTTCAGTTGTTTGTCGCCGAGTTTCTTCTTTTTGGTCACGTCCGTCTTCTTTTCTGTCTCGGGCGTTTTTTTGAAAACGTTCGGTAACTGTTCGTTTTTTGCGAAAATGTTGCCGGGTTGTTCTGGTTTCGTTTTAAAAACGTTAAACACGTCACGTAGTTTGTAATTATTGTCTTTTCGCTTCTGAGTGGGGTGCAAAATCATGGCGGTTCGTCCTTGCGGAACTTCCAAATAGTCGGCGCGGTGCAGCGGAGGCAAAGTTAGGGATCTTTGTTTCGGAAAGATTTCGCTTTGTCTGGGGATAGTCGCAGTGTTGGCTCGAGGTTTCAGACCAATTTCGGGTTGGTTTTTGCGCGGAGGTTTTTTGCGCGACCGTGGCGACACTTGGTTATCACTTTTGTCCAGTTTTTTCGACAACCCCTTGACCTTTTTACCCGTATCTAACTTTTTTTTCTTCAAATTGGCTCGTTTCTCAGGTTCGGTGGCCTCTTCATTGCGTTTTTGTATCTTTTTCCTGGCGGCCCCCATCAATTTGACTATGTTTTTCTTGATTAGCCACTGATAGTCCTCGCTTAGCTTCTTCACTTTCCCGGTGGGTTTACCCGGGTCTAGAAGGATCTTGTCGACGTTTTTGTCGTTGAGCTTTTTCGCTTGTGCTTTCTTCTTGCTTTTCTTCCGCTTATCGTCGACCACGTTCGCCAGCAAATCCTTCTTGTATTTCCTTATATCATCCGGCGTTACTAAAAACGAATCGGTCGCTTTAAACCGCGGCTCACCTAAAGGTAGATTCGGAGCGGAGTAGAATTTCCGTTTATTTGTAATCTTCTTCTTTGATTTTTCATTAGCGTTTTCTTTCATGGTTGAGGCACTTTCAATTTCATAAATTATGTCAATAAACGCCGAAAGTCACTTTGTTTATTTTTCGACGTGTGTCATTGAATAACGAGCTGTCGATTTTTAGAGAGATAAGCAAACATGAAGCACTGTGGGCGGAAAAAGAAGGCGAAGCCACGTCGACGACCGAACGAATCAAATTCATGCAGGAGCAGCTCCAGAATTACAAGTAAGTCGATCATTTTGTTGAACTAGAGTGTCTTAATTGTTTAGTAGAGCCCAAACCGAGTCCTTGAAGCAAGAAATCATGTCGCAAGAAATCGAACTCAAGAGTCAGATCTCGGTTTTGGAGAAGAAGGCGCACGAGAATTGGGTGAGCGCGCGACAGGCGGAGAGGAAGCTGGAGGAAGCGAAACAGGAGGCGGCGCAGCTGCGACATCGTTTGACCCTACGCGAAAGAGCTATCCAAGAAGACAAAAACCAACACAGTACGAAAGGTTAAGTTTGTACGAAAAGGGGTACTAGTTTTGGGTTTTAGGGTTGCAATCTCCAATTGAGCAGAACGGCGACATGCCGGTGTCACCGATGGAGTCCCCGGCGTCCCCTCCCTTGCTCTACGGGACTCGAGATCACATCACTAAGTCTCCACCACTCCCAGGTCTTCCACCTTTCTTGCCTCCTCCTCCGGGAGTTCCGTTTATGCCTCCGCCTATGCATGGCGTGCCTCCTTTCATCCCCCCTCCACCTCCGAACATGTTTCCAGGTGATCATAGGCCGCCCCCGTTGGGAAGAATGTCTTCGCCGCCTTTAAATTCGAGGTATTCTCCAAGTTCGAGGGGCTACTCTCCCTACGATAGAAATAGTTCTTCTCCCTCGGACTCGGAGTATGGTACGTCGCCCCCGCACCGTCGCGCCTACAGTCCTTTCAACAGCAGGTCAGACGACAGGAGAGACTATAAAAGACCGCCGCCAGGTAGAAGCAACGGCAGGAATTTAATGAAAGGTGCCACACCGTATTCAAGGTGGTTCTAGAGTAATTCGTTTTGTTCCAGGTGGGGGTAGCTCCGGCTCGGGGCACTCGAACGAATCCTTAGAAAAAATTAGTAGACAACAGTCAAAAGTGTAGCGATTTACCTGCTGTTTTTATTACCAATAATTTAATAATTTGTGTTTGTAACATATTTGCAGCGGTCCAAATTTCTGTTGCGTCGGGTAAGTCGACAGTGAGGTATAAAATCGACTCCATGCTTTGTAATGTCGTGTATTCTTTGTGGTGTATTTCAAATGTTCTGTTTTATCATATATTTTTTTAAAAAAAGTTCGTTTTTAATATTATGCACATATGTAAAAAGTTGTAAAGATACTGTTGTATAATAAAATGTTTATCGAATTGGAGTTGTCAATACTTTTTTCCCGATGATTTATGTATCAAAACTGGTGAATGGTTGGAAACTGAGAGTGTTATTATCAGTTGTGTACGATTCGTTGTACGTACTTCTTCCCGCAACATCGATAAAGTTCTTTTCTATAACTTCGCGTAAATAATGTTATCGGTCAAATCACGTGATGCTTATTCTTACTTAATCTTTGACTTATCTTAACGACTAATGCTAATTGTTGCTGGGTAGTTTAGTTCGACGAGATGGCTCCGCAAGAGGACAATGTTCTAGTGTTTTTTGTTAACGGAAAGAAGGTAAAATGTGTCTTTTGTTCTCATAGCAGTTAAAAGAATCGTAAATTGAAAACAAATTTTTTTAATTATTGCGGTATGTAACGTGTTCGGCAAAAGTTTTAGTGTGGTTATGGCATAATTAAGTAAAACTTTCTGCGCAGATGTATTAGGAGTAGGTATTACTTAGAAGTAAATAAACTCATTACTACATTTCGTTTTTTTACTAGTAAAATCTTATTTAGATTGTGGAGATAAATGCAAAAGTGTGTCATGATAACATAATTCCATGTTAAGAAACACCTAAGGTGAAAATTACGAAATACCAGCTATAGATACGTGGTATTATTGATAATTAATATGTTTACAGATGTATATCGTGTTATTTAAGTAAATAAACTTGTTGAACGGTGTTTTTTTACGAGTACAATATTTTTTAGATTCTAAGATAAAAATGCAGAAATGTGTGATAAGAAGATAATTCCATGATGAGAAATAAAGTCAGAATTACGAAACACATTATAATTACGAAAAGTTTGACCCTTACCCATCAGATTATGCGTACATGGTGACAGTAATGATCAGTGCATCACGTGTTTGAATTCTGGAATAAAATGATCTCTTTCTATTCGTTTAATTTCTTTTGTATAACACGTAAATGTTGTTTTAGGTGGAGGATGATCAAGTCGACCCCGAATGGACACTTCTCTTTTATCTACGTAATAAGCGTATCCTTAACTGCTTCCACGAATTCAGTATGTTATATGTCAAACTCTGAAAAACTGAACCCAGATAAAATAATTCACTATTTGAAAACTTGAACTATAAGTCACTTATATTTGTACATTTGAAAAATCTAGTCCTTAACAAAAACCAGTCAGACTGTGTGGGACCAAACTGGGCTGCGGGGAAGGAGGATGTGGCGCTTGCACTGTGATGGTCTCCAAGTACGATCGGATCAAAAATAAAATTATGTATCCTTTTAAAAATTTAAACTTAATCTAAATTTTATAAATAAGATACGCCTACACATATAGTGTATGAATCCGTGTCGAATTTTCACCCTAGACATCCAGAATTTTTGAAAAAAATTCAAAACTGAATAACAATATTTTGCAGTATAACTTTGAAACTGCAAAGCCGATTACTCTTAATTTTAACTGCATGTTTTAACCAATCGCGGGCTCATATTCTACATTTTATTCCTACGTTTCAGTCTATCGTTTTTTGAATTTTTCGTTTTGAAATTTTGCAATTTTTCTGTATAATTTTTCATCTTGGCGTCTTCAGTTTCTCAGTTTTTAATTTTTCGATTTTTCAGTTTTTTGTTTCTTCAATTTTCAAGTTCTTTATTTTTATTTTTCATGTTCTAGATTTTTTAATTTTCATTTTCTTGATTTTATTCAAAATTTTTCGTTTCATTTCCTTTATTTTTTTCAACGTTTCTTCCGATTTTACAATTTTTCCTTTGTTTAATTCATTTTCAAATTTTTCATTTTTCAATCCCTCGATTTTCCATTTTCAAATTTTTTAATTTTGCATTTTTTGGATTTCTCAATTATCCGATTTTCCGGTTTTTATAAGTATCAGTATTTCGAATTTATAGTATTTCGTTTTTTCGACTTTGACTAACGTTATGCTATGTTTAATTTGACAGATTTGTTTGCCCTTTTTTATCATACCTGTAGCCTTCTTTTCACAACAAGAAACTTAAAACATATTGAAAATGGTAAATCTGTATTGGGAAATATCGATTTTGCAATTACGCTCCGCCCGTCGATTTGACAACGAATGAAAAATTCATCACGGTTCAGATCGAGACGGATGGGTGGGGCTCCTCTTTTGGTTTTCTTTTTTTGTTAATACATTTAGTTTTCTTTGTATAACACGATTTCACATGGAAATTTCTCATAGAAAAATAAGGATTTTACAATTAAGCTCCGCCCCTCGCCTTAAGATGAATAAAAAAATCATCAGAATTGAGATAGAGCGGGTGGGCGGGGCTTATATTTTGTTTTTTTTTTTTCTTAATACACATAGCCATCTTTTCATAACATGAAACTTAAAACACGGTTAAAATGGTTTTTGCAAGAAAATATGGATTTTACAATTATGGGGCGGAGCCTAATTGCAAAATCGATATTTCCTTATACAAATTTTGCATTTTAAAGATGTTTTAAGTTTCTTGTTGTGAAAAGATGACTAGGTGTATTAAGAAAAAGAGGCAAAATTGAAAAATTTCACTTTTAAAAAAGTTGTCTAAAAATTACGAAAAAATTCAAGGACATAGACCTCGACATGCTGATTCCGAAAATATAGCCTGTTGATGGTCACCGAGCAACATTTTCGAAAAAATCGGTACAAAATGCGAATTTTTGATAATTTCTAAAAATTTCGATATTTCAACGGCCGATTCCGGAAAAACGGTTGCAGTTATCAAAGAAACAAGGCCCGAAGTGAGTTCTAGAGCTCGAAATATACAAGAAAATGTGTTTAGTTAAGTTTCGAAAATGTCAAAAATTGGCCGAAATTTGAAAAAATTTCACTTTTAAAAAAGTGGTCTAAAAATTGCGAAAAAATTCAGGGACGTAGACCTCGACATGCTGATTCCAAAAATATAGCGTGTTGATGGTCACGGAGCAACAATTTCGAAAAAATCGGTACGAAATGCGAATTTTTGAAAATTTCTCAAAATTTCGATATTTCAACGGGCGATTCCGGAAAAACGGTTGCAGTTAACAAAAGAAAGAAGCCGGAAGTGAGTTTTAGAGCTCGAAATCTACAAGAAAATGTATTTTGTGAACTTTCGAAAATGTCAAAAATTGGCCGAAATTTGAAGAAGAGAAATAAGGATTTTGCAGTTAAGCTCCGCCCTCTTGACTCACAACGAATAAAAAAGATCACCACAATTGAGATAGGGTGGGTGGGCGGGGCTTATATTTTGCCTTTTTCTTCTTAATATAGGTAGTCATCTTTTCACAACACAACACACAACATGTTTTAAGTTTCTTGTTATGAAAAGATGGCTACAGAAATTAAGAAAAAAAAGGCAAAATATAAGCCCCGCCCACCCACCCTACCGTAATTGTGATGATTTTTTTTATCCGTCGTAAGCCGTGGGGCGGAGCATAATTCCAAAATCCATATTCTCCTACAAGAATTTACCATTTTAGAAATTAAATTAGAAAAATAAGGATTTTACAATTATGTTCCGTACGACGAATAAGAAAAATCATCAGAATTGAGAAAGGGTGGGTGGGCGGGGCTTATATTTCGCCCTTTTTTTTTTCTTAATATACATAGCCATTTTTTCACAACACAACAAGAAACTTAAAACATGGTACATTTTTGCAAGAAAATATGGATTTTGCAATTATGGGGCAAAGCCCAATTGCAAAATCGATATTTCCTTACACAGATTTTCCATTTTAAACATGTTTTAAGTTTCAAAGAAGTGTACACATATTTATAACAAAAAGACAAAATGTAAGCCCGCCCACCCGCCCTATCTCAATTGTGATGATTTTTTTTATTCGCCGTGAACCAAGAGGGTGGAACTTAACTGCAAAATACTTATTTCTTTACAAAAAATTAAAAACATGTTTTTGAGTATCGTGTTGTATAAAAAAGACGATGTATATTAAGAAAAAAAAGGCAAAATATAAACCCCGCCCACCCACCCAGTTTCAATTGTGATGATTTTTTTAATTCTTAGAAAGTTAAAACACGTTTAAAATGGTAAATATTTGTAAGGAAATATGGATTTTGCTCCGCCCACATTTGCCAACGAAAAATTGAAAACAGTGAAATCGAAAAAATAAAAAAATAACATTGAAAAACTGAAAAATTGTAAAAATAAAGAAAATAAAAAACTGAAAAATTCAATTCAAAAACCGTTGGATTTTACTTTATAGAGGATGTCAAAACACAAAAATTGCAAAAACAAAATAAAATTTTTCGAAAAAGTGGGAGTTTTTTGGCTGCACTTCAGAGACCAGGGAAGTTCTGTTGAAATAACGTTGGACCATTTTTTTTCTATATAATTATTTACATTTTTCACATATGCAGAATGTTTCCGTCTGTCTGTCTGTCTATCTATGTATCGTCTGTCCGAATTTTTATTAGACAGATAATCTCCGAAACTACTGCACCAGTTATTAAATTTTACACGTGTATTAGGAATATCGTGTAGATGATCAAAATTTGGCTAATCATCCCTACCAACAATTTGTTGACGTCATCTCCAAAATTTACAGTAGGTAGTAAATATTTAAATTTTATAAAATCAGATGCTTCTGTACATGTGGTTTATGAACCCCTGTTGAATTTTTATCCTAGACTTTGGAGGAAAAAATCAAAATTACAACATCTTGCAATTTAACTTTGAAACTGCTCTGAAATTTTGCATGATTTGACAATTTTGCCGATTTAATTCATATTTTTCATTTATTAATAATAATAATAATAATTTTTGGTGATTCGAAAAGCATTGTTTATTGTTTCAAATCCAGTTCTTATGTGAATGATTCTGGTTTAAAAATTGGATTATCGGACATTTTAGGTGAATTTCTGAACTGAAATCAGGAGAAAGTAAAATGGTACGTTTCATCCCACTTTTTTTTCTTCTATTTAACCTTTTTTTACCTGTTTTTCCCTCTATTTTAAGGTACTTTATCAGCAATCTGGCTAATTTTAAAGGTTTTTATTAATTTTTTTTATAAAATAAAAACGTCAATTTTTATCGTGAATTTTTTTAATGCTTTTTTTTTCAACATTTCACCCCATTTTTAAGGTTAATTTAAAAAAAAAGTGGAATTCTAAAGATTTTGACCATCATTTCAGCGGATCCACTAGAAACCGCTGACTTTGAGATTTTTATAAAAAAAAAAATACTTCAACGTCAAAATTGGCCTGCTAAACATGACAGAGCACCTTATAATAAATTAAAAAACAAAATGTGGTGTGAAACGTACTATTTTACTTACAACTAATTTGTTTTTTTTTTTTGGACCTGACCAGTTTTTGAGTTAATTTTAAGACCTCATTTTTTTTTGGAAAAATTTAAAATAATCTTGAAGTTCTAGTTATTCCTGTTTGGAAAGAATTTGAAAGTTTTGGAGCCTCTAGTATTTTTTCTTATATTAATTTAAGTAATTAAATTTCTTAGAGGAGACATCATTTGCTAAAATCAGTCTTATCATACCAGCTACTAGCCCCGCCCACCCACCCTCTCTTTTCTTAGGGGATATTTCATTTGCTAAAATCAGTCTTATTTTAGCAGGTACTAGTAAAGCCCACTCACCCTCTCTTTTCTTAGAGGGTATCTCATATGCCAAAGTCAGTCTTATCTTAGCAAGTACAATCTACTACAATTTTAAGATTATTTGAAATATGGTAAAGCGTTAGTCAAAATTTGTCCGTCATCTTACATTTTTACCGAATTTCTTCAAATTTATTAGTGTTTTTTGGGAAAAAAACTGAGTATGAATTTAATCAGTCCTTTCCTCTGCGTTGAGGACACAAAATCAACCAAATTTCGTTTTTTTTTAATCGCTGATGTTTGTGCTGGTAGTCGAATTCGGTCGAAGTATTAAACATAAACAGTCGAAGTTATACTGAGAAACTGAAATTGTCTACATTTTTCCTTTAAATATGTTACGTTTAACTCCTTATCTAAACAGTCACCTACCTGTAAACGCTTGTCTAGCGCCAGTATGTTCAATGCACGGTCTAGCCATAACAACAATCGAAGGAATCGGCTCCACCAAAACCAAACTACACCCAGTTCAAGAAAGAATAGCCAAATCACACGGTTCCCAATGCGGCTTTTGCACCCCCGGAATCGTAATGTCAATGTACACCCTTTTAAGAACCTCGCCCAAACCAACAATGAAAGAAATGGAAGTCGCTTTCCAAGGCAACCTCTGTCGTTGTACAGGCTACAGACCAATCATAGAAGGCTACAAAACATTCACCGAAGAATGGGAATTGCTACAAAACTCCAACAAACTAAACGGCGAACAAACCAATGGTTGTGCAATGGGCGATCAATGCTGCAAACTTCAAAATGGTACCGGTACCACCGACCCTGAAGAAGTTTTATTCAAACGAAGCGAGTTCACCCCGTATGATTCCTCCCAAGAACCAATTTTTCCACCAGAATTAAAGATTTCGGGTCAATATGATAAGCAATATTTGGTTATTAAGGGGAAAACGGTCACTTGGTATAGACCAACGAACTTAGAACAACTACTAGAACTGAAGAAACTGTTTCCTGGTGCGAAACTGGTTGTAGGAAATACGGAAGTTGGTGTGGAGGTTAAGTTTAAACACATGGTGTACCCGGTTATAATACAACCTGTGTTGATACCGGAGATGGTTGACATTACTAATACCGAAAAGGGGGTTAGGGTAGGAGCGTCTGCCACTCTCATCGATACCGAAAACCACTTGAAAAACGAAATTAATCAACTACCTGAAGAGAAAACACGAATTTTTAAAACCGTAGTCGATATGTTGAATTGGTTTGCTGGTAAACAAATCAGAAGTGTGGGGGCTCTTGGTAGTAATATAATGACGGGAAGTCCAATTTCTGACATGCTTCCGATTCTCATGGCCAATGAAGTAACGCTAGAGTTACAAAGTCGGGATAACGGAAAACGCGAGGTTCTTTTAGACGGGAACTTCTTCACAGGGTACAGAAAAACCATAGTCAAACCGGAGGAAATACTTTTAGCCATTTATATTCCTTACACTAACAGCGACCGCTACTGTTACGCTTACAAACAAGCACGGAGACGTGAAGACGACATCGCTATTGTAAACGCGGCCATCAATGTCACTTTTGAACCCAAAACTGACATCATCTCTGATATTAATCTAGCTTTCGGGGGTATGTCCTATAAGACTGTCACAGCACCCAAAACTCGATCAAAACTGAAAGGTTTACCCTGGAATCGGACCACTCTAGAACTGGCTTTCACCCACTTACAAGAAGATTTGCCTCTGGACCCTGGTGCTCCTGGTGGAATGTACGTCTATAGAAGATCCCTGACGCTAAGTTTGTTTTTTAGAGCATTCCTAGCGATTTCACAAGATTTGGAAAAATATATCCCTCATATCAAAATCGACAAACGCGACCTGAGCGGAATCAACGGTTTTCATTCAAAAGAGTACAAAAGCTCGCAGTACTTCACCGTCGTACCCAAAACCCAGGAAAAAACAGACGCTCTTCAGCGACCAGTAGTACACGCGTCTGCATACAAACAAGCCACGGGTGAAGCGACCTACTGTGACGATATCCCGTTTTTCGAAAACGAGCTCTATTTAGCGTTCGTTACAAGCACCAAATCGCATGCCAAAATTTTGTCGGTGGATACCACCGAGGCTTTAGCTGTGGAAGGTGTGCACTACTACGTTTCCGCTAAAGACATAGACCCGAGTTGCAACAACATAGGTTCTATTGTTCACGACGAAAAAGTATTTTATGATGATGTGGTGACCAGTCAAGGACAGATTATAGGAGGAATTATAGCCGTTGATCAAATGACTGCACAAAAAGCCGCTCGTAAAGTAAAAGTTGAATATGAAGAGCTTCAACCCGTCGTTGTTACAATTCCTGACGCCATCAAACACAACTCGTACCTTAGTAGCGTACCACATAAAGTCATCGCGAGAGGAGACATCGACAAGGTTTTCCAAACCGCGCCTCATGTTTTAGAAGGCGAGTGTCACATGGGGGGTCAAGAGCACTTCTACCTTGAAACTCAGGGTGTGGTGGTGGTACCCAAGAAAGAAGACCAAGAGATGGACGTGTATTCATCCACCCAAAACCCGACTGAAGTTGCCGTAAGTTTTACCCAAACATTCCACTCTCGGTACTAAATTTGTTGCATCAAAGGCTATGCTAGGTCACGTTCTTGGTATCCAACTAAACAAAATTGCGGTCAAAGTGAAGAGGTTAGGTGGAGGCTTCGGGGGAAAAGAATCCAAGGCGATGATGATAGCAGTGGCTGCTGCGGCTGCAGCCGTCAAGCTAAACCGGCCCGTGCGGTGTATGCTAGACCGAGACGAAGACATGGTGATGACGGGAGGTCGACACCCGTTTTTGTCAAAGTATAAAGTGGCGTTCGACGATCAAGGCAAAATCCTGGGGGCGCTCGTAAAAATTTACTGCAATTGTGGATATTCGTTCGACTTGTCACCTGGGGTAAGCTACTTCTTCGTATTTGTAACAAATCTATTTGTTTTGTAGGTTTTAGAACGCGCAATGGCCCACGCTGAAAACTCGTACAACTTACCCGTGGCCCGAATTGAAGGCTACTTATGCAAAACCAATCTTCCTTCGAATACCGCGTTTCGTGGTTTCGGAGGTCCGCAAGGGATGTACGCTGCCGAGTGCATGCTCCAAGACATTTCAGTCTTTCTTAACAAAGACCCGGTGAAACTAAGCGAGTTGAACTTGTACAAAGAGGGAGATTCGACTCACTATAATCAAAAATTGATCAACTGCACTATCAATAAGTGTTGGAAGGAATGTATCGAGTCATCCCGCTACTACGAAAAACGCAAAGAAGTGGATAAATTTAACAAGCAGAATCGTTACAAGAAGCGAGGTTTGAGTGTCATCCCGACCAAGTACGGGATTTCTTTCACCGTGCTACATTTGAATCAAGCTGGAGCTTTGATACTAGTGTACACTGACGGTTCAGTGCTTTTGCACCATGGTGGTATCGAAATGGGACAAGGTCTCTACACCAAAATGTTACAAGTGGCTAGCAGAAGTCTAGAAATCCCTATTGAAAAAATCCACACTGTGGAAACTGCAACTAACACGGTTCCGAATACTTCTCCAACTGCCGCTAGTTCGGGTTCCGACTTGAACGGAATGGCCGTCATGCAAGCTTGTAACATCATCAAAGAACGACTAAAACCGTACAAAGAAGCCAATCCTAAAGGAAAATGGGAAGACTGGGTTAAAAAAGCGTACTTTGACCGAGTTAGTCTGAGTGCGACTGGTTACTATCGAACACCAGATATTGGGTACAACTGGGAAACCGGTGAAGGTAACATGTTCAACTATTTTACCTACGGTGTGGCTTGTTGCGAAGTGGAAATTGATACCTTGACTGGAGATCATGAAGTTCATAGTGTCGAAATCGTGATGGATTTAGGTGAAAGCTTGAACCCTGCCATCGACATAGGTCAGATCGAAGGTGCTTTCATGCAAGGGTACGGTCTGTACGTGCTTGAAGAATTAGTGTATTCGCCGTCTGGAACAAACTATACGCGAGGTCCCGGGACTTACAAGCTTCCAGGTTTTGGAGACATTCCAGGGGAGTTTAATGTGTCGTTGCTTAAAGGAGTGTCAAACCCTAGAGCGGTTTATTCATCAAAGGTTAGTCTATTTTTCGTGAAAACTAGTGTTAATAAGAAAATTTACAGGCTGTAGGGGAACCTCCACTGTTTCTTGGTAGTACGGTACTTTTTGCAATTAAAGATGCCATAAAAGCAGCAAGGGTGGAGAATGGGTACGATCCAAACGATTTCCAGTTGGTTTCGCCGGCTACTTCGGCTAGGATTCGAGTGGCATGCCAGGATAATATAACAGCGAAGGTATTTCTTGGTGCTATGAAAACGGTATTGATATTTATTTATGTTTTCTAGTTCAAAGAACCAGAGCCTGGAACGTATTCGCCGTGGAACGTCTTGGTGTAGCTCAGCTTTTATTACGTACGATATTGTGATATTATAATATTCGTTACTGTTTAAATAAAGATGATACTGTGGTGGCCAAATTTGAATACTTTAAGAAAATCGTTGAACATGGGCAACCATGTGCAAGTTTAGTTTTTTTTCTGGTAGTTGGTAGCTCTCCTATGGAATTTCTGAAGAGTATCTAGTGAGAGGGTTGCTAGAGAGGGGTGCTTGCTTTTGGTGTCGTAACGACGACGACGCAAAATAGGCGAATTTACAACCGACGCTAACACGTGGCGTAAATTTGTTTTATAGTTTGTAAATTCACAGTTCATGTTAGGATTTTAACCGTTAACTCTCAAAGCTAAATGTTTTTAACTAATCAGTCACTTGGATTAATGGCATAATTTAACTTCACGTGAATTCTTTGTTTGAATCGTTGATAAAGTGTAGCGTGCATTTTATTCCTTTGATTTAGACCATTATTTGCACAGCGCCATAGGATTGATCGCATTTCGGGGAGACATATTTTTGAGGCATTATTTTTAACGACGCATTCGTCTGACGCCATTTTGAACCTCTAGATTGCCTGCTGTTTTTATGTGCTTGTTTGGGGGAATATAAAACGATAGCCCACAATGCAGCTAAATACGTGACTCCACTTTTTAATAACTCGAATGGACACAAAATATTGACGTATGTAATTTTGTTAGCTTTGCAATTTTTCTCCTCATGCAATTTTTCTCTATCTCGCAATTTTTTCCTCAGTAATAATAATTCTTTGCTGTTTCAAATTTCACGAGAGTGTATGGCGAATTTAAATGTTGTTTATTGCTCTTTTGAAACTTTAACACTTGTTCTAGTTGTTGTAGTTTAATATCAGAGTTCTAGAGATTGAACATTTAAATGGAATTGAGGTAAACACGTGGCGGAAGCGGAATGCGCGGTTCCTTGTCGAGTTGTCTGTCGCGCCATCTGCATAAAGGAAGCGGGCCTAGAATAGAAGTCAGGGACCACTTCATCAGAACGCATTCCGCCATAAAAAAAAAAACACAATGTAGGGTTCCATTTTGTTAGACGATCACAGCAAAGACCAAATTTTTGAATTTTTGTATTTTGCGCGAGTTTTACAAGGTTTTTTTCACATGTCATTTTAAGGCAGGATGTTTGGGTTATCACAGTACCAACGTTGCGACCGACTTTTACTGAATGTCTTTTGGTGATTTTCAAAGGTACTCTGGGAAATATCCAAAATTTCATAGCTCATAAAAATTAATCTTTTTTTCGAGAAATGGCCCAAAAATCTACAAAAAATCTGAAATATAGATTTCGACTGACTGAGTCAAAAAATTTGACGTGTTGCTGATACTGAACATAGATTTTCGAAATATTTCAAAAATATTTCACATGATGATTCTGAAAAAATGGTGGGAATTTTCGTAAAATAAGACCAAAAGATCTTCTGAAATTCTAATCAATAAGGAATCTGTTTTGGTAATTTTCGAAGGAACTAGAAAAAAAATCGAAAATTTAATACAAGAAATTTAACTTTTTGGGGAAGTTCCCTAAAAATTCATACAAAAATCTTTGAACTGAATAGAAAAACATAGCATATGATGGTCCTAGTTCGAAATTTTCAAAATATTCGGCTTCAAAGTCGAATTTTTAAAATATCCAAAAAAATTGCGATCACTTTGACGGTTCTGAGAAAATCAACTAAGAAAATTTTCTGCAGGTCGAATTCTGCAAAAGAATGTCTTTTGGTGATTTTCAAAGGTACTCTGGGAAATATCCAAAATTTCACAGCTCATAAAAATTTATCTTTTTTTCGAGAAATGGCCTAAAAATCCACAAAAAAATCTGAAATATAGATTTCGACTGACTGAATCCAAAAATATGAAGTGTTGGTGATCCTGAACTTAGATTTTGGAAATATTTCAAAAATATTTCACTTGACGATTCTAGACAAATGGTGGGAATTTTCGTAAAATAAAGCCAACAAATCTTCTGAAATTGTAATCAATAACTGAATCTGTTTCGGTAATTTTCGAAGGAAGTAGAGAAAAAATCGAAAATTTCATACAAGAAAGTTTCTGAAAATTAAGTTTTTTGGGAACTTCTGGGAGCTGAGTAGAAAAACATAGCGTATGATGGTGCTGGATCAAAATTTTCGAAATAAACTGAGCGTCAAAAGTTAAGGATATTGATGAAAGACATGTTTATTATTAATTTTTTGATAATTTTCGAAACAATTGAGTAGGCTTAAATTAAATTAATTACCATATACCTATATCTTTTGACGCGCAGTTTATTCGGCTTCAAAATCGAATTTTTAAAATACACTAAAAATCGCCATCATTTTGACGATTCTGAGAAAATGAACTAAGAAAAACTTCTGAGGGTCAAATTCTACAAAAGAATGTTCTTTGATAATTTTTGAATGTGCTCGGGGAGATAGCAAAAATTTCAAGGTCCTGAAAAATTAATCTTTTGGGGAAAAGACTCAAAAATCCGTAAAAAAATCAGGAATGTAGATTTCGACAAACTAAATCCAAAAACATAGTGTGTTGGTGATCCTTAATCTAGATTTCACTTCTGGAAAAATGAAGTCGAAAAACTTCTGGAGTTCGAATCAACAACAGAATTTCTGTTGCTAATTGTCGAAGGTGCTCGAAAAAAAGCGAAAATTTCATACAGAAGAGCCCTGAAAATTGAGTTTTATGGAAAGTTCCCTAAAAATCCAGAAAAAACTCTGGGAGCTGAACATAAAAACAGCGTATAATGATCCTGGACCAAGATTTTCGAAATATTCGGGTTCAAAGTCCAATTTTTATACTTAATATCCAAAAAATTGGCATCATTTTGACGATTCTGGGAAAATGAACTAAGAAAAACTTCTGGACGTCGAATTCTACAATAGAATGTCCTTTGGCAATTTTTGAAGGTGCTCGGGAAGATAGCAAAAATTCCAAGGTCCTGAAAAACTGATCTTTTGGTGAAGTGACCCAAAAATCCACAAAAAAATCTGGAATATAGATTTCGACGAACTGAATCCAAAAACATAGTGTGTTGGTGATCCTGAACCTAGATTTTCGATATTTTCAAAAATATTTCACTTCTGGAAAAATGAAGTCAAAAAACTTCTGGAGTTCGAATCAATAAAAGAATTTATTTTGGCAACTGTCGAAGCATCCATTTTCTGTGGGATTTTTTTAAGTATTAACAACACCATTACGCAGGTAACAACATCTGTATATCATTTTAACGTGTGTTATCTAATTTCGTAGTGCTAACTACTTTTGCTATCAACAAACCCACGTGACACATCTTTTTAAATCTCTTTATCTGCTTATAAAATGCCATTACGTTTCTATTCTGCAAAGTGAGTGACATGGAAGAACTCAAAAGTGACTGTAGTGTTTTGGTATTTTTTGTGAACGGGAAAAAGGTGAGATTTTCGGGTTACAGAATTTGGTAAAATAATTTAATAACAAAAATAAAAAGAAACGTGCTTTTTAACAAATATTGCCAAGTCAGAATGCTTTATCTTATCTTATTCTTTAAACAGTAAATATTTTTATTTATTTATTTTTTTTTGTAGATAGTGGACAACCAAGTTGATCCAGAATGGACGCTTCTATTTTATTTAAGAAATAAACGTATCCTTATAGTAAACCAGCAAAAATACAAGTTTAATCGCGTTTACCCCCTTAAACGAGTTTTACCAATTTTTGACTAGAAAAATTACGCACTTGAGTACATCTACTAATACGTGAACAGGTGATGATATGTTTTTTTGATTGAATAATCGTGCGCTGTTTGATAAATTTTATTATATCATAATCTAAAAATATGTAGTGTACTTGAACGTGCACCATGACTGGCAAATAGGTACAACAGCGTCATTATAAAATAAATTCTTGACTCGTATTGCGACGCAAAATAGCTTGTTTTGTTACGATGATTAAAATCGGCTTGAGTGAAACTCAACAATTTATTCCTTAATAACTCTAATTTATACGACTAATTACACAGCGCTTATGTACAAAATAATTCCGGCGCAACATTCACTGGACTCGACTCATTGGCTAAATAATAATTGTTCCCGAAAGTGGTCTTTTCTTTAGCGAACGCCTCCCGTCATGAGTCATCATCACCGTACATACTAGAACCCATAGGCGTCGTATCGGGGCGGCGTATGGGTTTCTTTCGTAACAATATGTTTGTCCCTCCATGCATAATTTTCTTAACTCACTTGAAATAGTTGGATTATGTGGAACAAAGTTAGGATGTGGAGAAGGCGGCTGCGGTGCTTGCACTGTGATGCTATCAAAATATGACCGGATCAACAAGAAAATTAGGTATCCATTTACAAATTTTTCTTTCAAATGAACTTAAGCACGTAAATGTTGCCTTATATTTTCCAGACATCTACCGATAAATGCTTGTTTGGCACCAGTATGTTCTATGCACGGTTTAGCTGTAACAACAGTCGAAGGAATCGGTTCAACCAGAACCAAGTTACATCCAGTTCAAGAAAGAATAGCCAAGTCGCATGGTACACAATGCGGTTTCTGTACCCCAGGAATCGTAATGTCGATGTATACCCTTCTGAGAAACTCTCCCAAACCCACGATGAAAGACCTAGAAGTAACATTCCAAGGAAATCTGTGTCGCTGCACAGGCTACAGACCCATCATGGAAGGGTACAAAACATTCACCGAAGAATGGGAATTGATACAAAATGGCAACAGATTAAACGGCGAACAAGTAAACGGTTGTGCGATGGGAGATAAATGCTGCAAGCTTCAAAACGGTACCACGAAAGACCCTGAAGAAGTTTTATTCAATCGAAACGAGTTCACACCGTATGATTCGTCACAAGAACCTATTTTTCCACCGGAGCTAAAGATTTCCGATCAGTATGATAAACAATATTTGGTTATTAAAGGAAAAACGGTTACGTGGTTTAGACCAGTCAACTTGGAACAACTACTACGACTCAAGAAACAATTTCCTGACGCGAAACTGGTTGTAGGAAATACTGAAGTCGGTGTTGAAGTTAAATTTAAACAGATGGTGTATCCTGTTATTATCCAACCAGTGTTGATACCTGAAATGGTGGCTATTACTAACACTGAAAAGGGTGTCAGAATAGGAGCTTCTGCCACTTTCACGGATATTGAAACTTATTTGAAAAACGAAATTAATCGACTGCCTGAAGAGAAAACACGGATTTTTAAAAGCGTTGTCGATATGTTGAATTGGTTTGCGGGTAAACAGATCAGAAGTGTGGGGGCTCTTGGGAGTAATATAATGACGGGAAGTCCAATTTCGGACATGCTTCCGATTCTTATGGCCAATGAAGTAACACTAGAGTTACAAAGTCGGGATAACGGAAAACGCGAAGTTATTTTAGACGGAAACTTCTTTACTGGTTATAGAACAACAATAGTAAAACCAGAGGAGATACTTTCCGCTATTTATATTCCTTACACCAACAGCGACCGCTACTGTTACGCTTACAAACAAGCACGAAGACGTGAAGACGACATCGCTATTGTAAACGCTGCCGTTAATGTCACTTTCGAACCAAAAACTGACATTATATCTGATATAAACGTAGCTTTCGGAGGGATGTCCTACAAGACCGTCACATCACCTAAAACTAGACAGCTCAAGGGTCTACCCTGGAATCGACAAACTTTAGAATTAGCTTTCACCCACTTACAAGAAGATTTGCCGCTGGACCCTGGTGCTCCCGGTGGAATGTACCTATACCGAAAATCGCTAACGCTAAGTTTGTTCTTCAAAGCATTCCTAGCAATTTCAGCAGATTTACAAAAATATGTCCCCCACATTAACATTGATAAACGGGAGTTAAGCGGCATTACAAGTTTCGAGCCCAAGGAATACAAAAGTGCACAGTACTTCACCGTCGTTCCAAAAACCCAAGAAAAAAGTGACGCTCTTCAACGCCCCATTGTCCACATGTCCGCCTATAAACACGCAACCGGTGAAGCAGTATACTGTGACGATATCCCTTTGTACGAAAACGAGCTCTACCTAGCCTTCGTTACAAGCACCAAATCGCATGCCAAAATCTTGTCGGTTGATCCGTCAGAAGCTCTAGCCATGGACGGCGTTGATTATTTCGTTTCAGCCAAAGATGTCGCCGAAGGAAAAAACTTCACGAATTTTATGCATCGTGACGAAAAAATCTTTTATGACGATATAGTAACAAGTCAAGGTCAAATTATAGGAGGGATACTGGCAACTGATCAAATTATAGCACGGAAAGCGGCCCGAAAGGTCAAAATCGAGTACGAAGATCTTCAACCAGTGATTATTACTATTGATGACGCTATTAAACACAATTCGTACTTTAAAAATCCTGACAGAATGGTAGTTAAAGGTGATGTCGAAAAAGTGTTTCAAGAAGCACCTCATGTTTTGGAAGGAGAGTGTCACATAGGTGGTCAAGAGCACTTTTACCTTGAAACACAATCAGTGTTTGTGGTTCCCAAGAAGGAAGATGAAGAAATTGAAGTCTATTCAGCTACTCAAGGTCCTACTCAGTTAGCTGTATGTATTTTTCCCGTGGTGGAGTCAAATACTTACTATAGTAATTCTAGGAAACATTGGCTCCAGTTTTGGGTATACAACTAAACAAAATTGCCGTTAAGACCAAAAGATTGGGTGGTGGTTTTGGTGGAAAAGAACTAAAGGCTGTACGAATAGCCCTTCCGGCAGCAATTGCAGCCATGAAGCTAAATCGACCGGTCAGATGTATGCTGGATAGAGAAGAAGATACAGTGATGACTGGAGGCCGACACCCGTTTTATATAAAATACAAAGTTGCCTTTAACAATGACGGTAAAATTTTGGGAGCCCACGTGAAGTACTACAACAATTGTGGCTATTCAATAGATGTGTCGTCCTTGGTAAGTATAACTACAACACTTAATACTTATAGCACACATTTTTAAATTAAAGGTGCTAGGACACGCGATGACCCACTCCCAAAATGCGTACGACATACCCGTGGTACGACTTGAAGGCTACACATGCAAGACCAATCTACCTTCGAACACCGCATTCCGTGGTTTCGGGTGTCCACAAGCTATGTTTGCAGCGGAAACCATGCTTCAACACATCGCCGACTATCTCAAGAAAGACCCAGTCAAACTAAGTGAATTAAACTTATACAAAGAAGGAGATGTAACATTCTACAACCAAAAACTTGTCAATTGTACTATGCAAAAATGTTGGAATGAGTGTCTACAGTCCTCTAGGTATTTCGAAAGACGTAAACAAGTGGAAGAGTTTAATTGCGAAAATCGTTATAAGAAACGTGGTTTGAGCGTCATTCCAACAACCTACGGTATCGGATTTCCCGTACCGTTCCTCAACCAAGCTGGAGCTTTGGTACTAGTGTACACCGACGGGTCAGTTCTTCTAAGTCATGGTGGAGTCGAAATGGGACAAGGACTTCATACCAAAATGATACAAGTAGCTAGTAGATGTTTAGAAATCCCCGTTGAGAAGATTCATACAGTTGACGTGTCAACCGACAAAGTACCTAATACTACGATGACTGCAGGAAGCGTCGGTTCGGATTTAAACGGAATGGCAGTAATGCGAGCTTGTAACACCATCAAGGAACGACTAAAACCCTACAAGGACGCCAACCCTAAAGGAACTTGGGAGGAATGGGTTAAAAAAGCATACTTCGACCGCGTCAGCCTAAGCACAACTGGGTACTTTGGAGAGTCGGATTATGGGTACAACTGGGAAACGGGAGAGGGACAAATGCACAACTATTTCAGTTATGGTGCCGCTTGCTGTGAAGTTGAAATAGACACACTAACAGGAGATCATCAAGTCCGCAGTGTCGAAATTGTAATGGATGTGGGTGAAAGTTTGAACCCTGGTATCGACGTTGGTCAAATCGAAGGAGCCTTCATGCAAGGTTATGGTCTTTTCGTACTTGAAGAATTAGTGTATTCGCCGTCTGGAACCAACTATACTAGAGGTCCTGGCACTTACAAGCTTCCAGGTTTTGGAAATATTCCAGGGGAATTTAACGTGTCGATGCTGAAAGGGTCCTCAAATCCTCGGGCTGTTTACTCGTCAAAGGTTGTTTTTTTTAGTGCAACTAATACAACAATTAAATTAAAAATTCACAGGCTATAGGAGAACCGCCACTGTTTCTTGGTAGTTCTGTCGTTTTTGCCATTAAAGACGCCATAAAAGCGGCAAGGAAAGAAAATGGGTACGACCCAACTGATTTCAAGTTGTATTCGCCTGCTACTTCGGCTAGAATTCGTGTGGCATGCCAGGATAATATAACATCGAAGGTATTTGCTTACCATGAAAACATATGCGATATTATATTATATTTTTTAGTTCGAGGAACCTGAGCTTGGAACGTATGTACCCTGGAACGTCTTGGTGTAGTCCAGCTTTTGATATTTATCGCATCAAAATTTAAAACTGTATTAAAAACAAACCTACGTGTTTGTGTTATTTTTCATTGTTTAAATAAAGACGGTACTAACTGTTATTACTGCAATAAATTATTCAAATTAATGATAACTAATGAGCATTTTAACTTCGTAGTGCAAATTAATGTTGCTATCAACAACCCACGTGACACATTATTTTACATGAAGTGCTTTATTTGGTGTTCAACAGGTTACTACGTTTCAATTCTGCAGAGTGAATAACATGGAAGAATTTCAAAGTAGTGTGTTGGTATTTTTTGTGAATGGGAAAAAGGTAGGGTTTTTTGACACAGAATTTTTGTTGAGTCAGGCCACTTTATCTTATCTTAGTCCTTCAGCAGCAATTTTTTTTTTTTTTTGTAGATAGTGGACAATGAGGTTGATCCAGAATGGACTCTTCTGTTTTATTTAAGAAATAAATGTATCCTTGACACTTAAGAAAAATATTTGTACTTGTAAAACACAAATATTTGATAACCTGGTGAACCCCGATCAAAATAGGTAGTGCGCTCAAAGATTTAATTCAAAGGATAGAATCACTGATTAGTATGTATTTCTTAACTCACCTTAAATAGTTAGATTATGTGGAACCAAGTTAGGATGCGGAGAGGGTGGCTGCGGTGCTTGCACTGTGATGCTTTCAAAATATGACCGGATAAACAAGAAAATCATGTATCCTTTTATAAATTTTTCGTTTAAATCAAGTTGAGCACCTAAATTTTGCCTTATATTTTGTAGACATTTACCGATAAATGCTTGTTTGGCTCCAGTATGTGGCATGCACGGTTTAGCAGTAACCACAGTCGAAGGAATCGGTTCAACCAGAACCAAGCTGCATCCGGTTCAAGAAAGAATAGCTAAGTCACACGGTACACAATGCGGTTTCTGTACCCCAGGAATCGTAATGTCGATGTATACCCTTCTAAGAAACTCCCCCAAACCCAGGATGAAAGACCTAGAAGTAACATTCCAAGGAAATCTGTGTCGCTGTACAGGCTACAGACCCATCATGGAAGGGTACAAAACATTCACCGAAGAATGGGAATTGATACAAAATGGCAACAGATTAAACGGTGAACAAGGAAACGGTTGTGCGATGGGAGATAAATGCTGCAAGTTTCAAAACGGTACCACGAAAGACCCTGAAGAAGTTTTATTCAATCGAAACGAGTTCACACCGTATGATTCTTCCCAAGAACCTATTTTTCCACCGGAGCTAAAGATTTCCGATCAGTATGATAAACAATATTTGGTTATTAAAGGCAAAACGGTTACGTGGTTTAGACCAGTCAACTTGGAACAACTACTACAACTCAAGAAACAATTTCCTGACGCGAAACTGGTTGTAGGAAATACTGAAGTTGGTGTTGAAGTCAAATTTAAACAGATGGTGTATCCTGTTATTATCCAACCAGTGTTGATACCTGAAATGGTGGCTATTACTAACACTGAAAAGGGTGTCAGAATAGGAGCTTCTGTCACTTTCGCGAATATTGAAAGTTATTTGAAGAACGAAATTAATCGACTGCCTGAAGAGAAAACACGGATTTTTAAAAGCGTTATCGATATGTTGAATTGGTTTGCCGGTAAACAGATCAGAAGTGTGGGGGCTCTTGGGAGTAATATAATGACGGGAAGTCCAATTTCGGACATGCTTCCGATTCTTATGGCCAATGAAGTAACACTAGAGTTACAAAGTCGGGATAACGGAAAACGCGAAGTTCTTTTAGACGGAAACTTCTTTACTGGCTACAGAACAACAATAGTAAAACCAGAGGAGATACTTTCCGCTATTTATATTCCTTACACCAACAGCGACCGCTACTGTTACGCTTACAAACAAGCGAAAAGACGTGAAGACGACATCGCTATTGTAAACGCTGCCGTTAACGTCACTTTCGAACCAAAAACTGACATTATATTTGATATAAACGTAGCTTTCGGAGGAATGTCCTATAAGACCGTTACATCACCTAAAGCTAGATCACAGCTCAAGGGTCTACCCTGGAATCGACACACTTTAGAATTAGCTTTCACCCACTTACAAGAAGATTTGCCGCTAGACCCTGGTGCTCCTGGTGGAATGTACCTATACAGAAAATCGCTAACGCTAAGTTTGTTCTTCAAAGCATTCCTAGCAATTTCAGCAGATCTAGAAAAATATATCCCCCACATTAAAATCGATAAACGGGAGTTGAGCGGCATTACAAGTTTCGAGTCCAAGGAATACAAAAGTGCACAGTACTTCACAGTCGTGCCAAATACGCAAGAAAAAAGTGACGCTCTTCAACGCCCCATTATACACAAATCCGCCTATAAACACGCAACCGGAGAAGCAATATACTGTGACGACATCCCCTTCTTCGAAAACGAGCTCTATTTAGTCTTGGTGACCAGTACCAAATCACACGCAAAAATTTTGTCAATTGATCCGTCGGAAGCTTTAGCCATGGAAGGAGTGCTTTATTTCGTTTCTGATAAAGATCTCGACGAAGGAAACAATGTCATGGGTTATATGCACCACGATGAAAAAATATTTTATACAGATATAGTAACAAGTCAGGGTCAAGTTATAGGAGGGATAGTAGCAACGGATCAACTCACGGCAAGGAAAGCAGCTCGAAAGGTTAAAATTGAGTACGAAGATCGTCATCCCGTGATAGTTACCATTGCTGATGCCATCAAACACAACTCGTACTTTAAAAATCCCGACATAGTAATAGTAAAAGGGGATGTTGAAAAAGTTTTCGACGAAGCACCTCACGTTTTGGAGGGTGAATGTCACATAGGTGGTCAAGAGCACTTTTATCTTGAAACACAGGCGGTAGTTGCGGTTCCCAAAAAGGAAGACCAAGAAATGGACATCTACTCTGCTACTCAAGCGCCTACGCAGTTGGCTGTATGTACTCGTATTCGTCTAGTGGTGCAATAAAACGACTATAATGTGTGTTTTGTAGGAAATATTAGCTCAAGTTTTGGGTATACAACAGAACAAAATTGCCGTTAAAACGAAACGGTTGGGTGGCGGTTTCGGTGGCAAAGAAACCAAGTCCATAATAGTCGCCCTTCCGGTAGCAATTGCAGCCGTGAAGCTAAATCGTCCCGTCCGGTGTATGCTGGATAGAGATGAAGATATTGTGATAACTGGAGGTCGACACCCCTTTTACATAAAATACAAAATTGCTTTCAATAATGAGGGCAAAATTTTGGGCGCTTCTGGACAATTCTACAGCAACTGTGGCTATTCCTTGGATTTGTCGCCCTTAGTAAGTACACCTACAAGGCTCTTCTTGTACATAAAGCAGTAACTTATAGGTACTGGAACATGCTATCACCCACTTCCAAAATTCCTACAACATACCTGTCGTTCGACTTGAAGGTTATACATGCAAAACCAATTTGCCTTCAAACACGGCATTCAGAGGTTTTGGTTGTCCACAAGCTATGTTTGCAGCAGAAACCATGCTTCAACACATCGCTGACTATCTCAATAAAGATCCAGTCACACTGAGCGAATTAAATCTATACAAAGAAGGAGACGTGACCTTCTACAACCAAAAACTGACTAACTGTACTATAGACAAATGTTGGAACGAGTGTATACAGTCTTTCAAATATTTCGAAAAACGCAAAGGAGTAGATAATTTTAATCGAGAAAATCGTTACAAAAAACGCGGTTTGAGCGTCATTCCTACAACTTACGGTATCGGATTTCCTTTACCGTTCCTCTACCAAGCGGGAGCTTTGGTGTTAGTGTACACCGACGGATCAGTCCTTTTACATCACGGTGGCGTCGAAATGGGACAAGGACTCCAGACCAAAATGATACAAGTTGCTAGCCGATGTTTAGAAATCCCTATTGAAAAGATTCACACAGTTGACGTTTCAACAGACAAAGTACCTAACACCACTGCAACCGTTGCGAGTCTGAGTTCGGATTTAAATGGGGTAGCCGTTTTGAGAGCTTGTAACACCATCAAGGAACGACTACAACCATACAAAGAAGCCAACCCTAAAGGAACTTGGGAGGAATGGGTTAAGAAGGCTTATTTCGACCGCGTAAGCTTAAGTTCAACCGGCTACTATGGAGACTCTGATTTTGGATACAACTGGGAAACGGGAGAGGGACAGATGTACAACTATTTCACTTACGGTGTGGCGTGCTGTGAAGTTGAAATAGACACGTTAACAGGAGACCACCAAGTTCACAGCGTCGAAATTGTAATGGACTTAGGGGAAAGTTTGAACCCTGCTATCGACGTCGGTCAGATTGAAGGTGGTTTTATGCAAGGTTATGGTCTTTTCGTGCTTGAAGAATTAGTGTATTCGCCGTCTGGAACTAACTATACGAGAGGTCCTGGGAGTTATAAGCTTCCAGGTTTTGGAAACATTCCAGGAGAGTTTAATGTCGCGTTGCTTAAAGGGGTGTCAAACCCTAGAGCGGTTTATTCATCAAAGGTTGTTCTATTTTTTTTGAAAACTAGTGTTGATAGGAAAATTTGCAGGCTGTTGGGGAACCTCCACTGTTTCTTGGTAGTTCGATAGTTTTTGCTATTAAGGATGCTATAAAAGCGGCAAGGAAAGAAAGTGGGTACGATCCTGGCGATTTCAGGTTAGATTCGCCGGCTACTTCGGCGAAAATTCGTATGGCATGCCAAGATAATATCACGGCTAAGGTATTTCTATCTTGTTACATAAATCACAGTGTAAATATAAGTTATATTTTTTTTAAGTTTAAGGAGCCTGAACCTGGAACTTTTACACCTTGGAACGTTTTGGTAGAATAGGTTTTGACATATATTTTAGCGTTCCGGTTTATAAATAGTGTACCTATATGTTTTTCATATTCAAAGTAAATAAATAAATATAAAAACTGTGTAAACACTTTGACAATAAATAACTCGACCGTAATCTAGCATTTCGGATCAACTGACGTGTACTTAAATAATGTGAAAATCTTTACTACACTTTACCCATATATGCTTTGAAGGTAAACCACTTTTCGCAGTTGTGTTTGGCCTGGTATTTAAAACTAATTGTGCTATCAACACATCCACTTTAAGCCAATTTATCTATTTACGACTCACTATGTTGTAATTCTGAAACGCCGGTAGTATGGACCACATGAAGAATACTTCCAGTGTTTTGGTGTTTTTCGTAAACGGTAAAAAGGTAAGATATTAACGGCGTAGATTTTTGCAAAATTTAATAACAATTAAGAGTGCATTTACGTTATTTGTATCGATACCATCGGCTTTTATCTTATTTTACGCGTATTTGTTCTTTGGAGTGCAATGCAAAAGGTTATAATAGAATGTAAAATGAGATTCAAATTTTTATTTGTTTATACATATTACGTGGTGTTCCCTTATCGATCTGTACGTAACATTTAGTTTCTTATCTTTATTTTTGTTATCTTGCATGTACTAAGCAGTGGCGGCGTGGTGTTTGGCACCCCCTCCCCCCTCCCTACCCAATATAATAAAACAACAAATACTAAACGTGCTTACAGGTCTTTATTTTGGCAAAATATTTTATAATTTACTTTCCTCTATTTTTCAGTTGATAAAATGGAATTGAGACGGGGTTATATTTTGCCTTTTTTTTCTTAATATACATAGTATTCTTTCAACAACACAATACTCAAAAACACGTTTTTTATTTCTTGTGAAGAAATAAGTATTTTGCAGTTAAGCTCCGCCCTCTTGGTTGACGGCGAATAAAAAAATCATCACAATAGAGATAGGGCGGGTGGGCGGGCTTACATTTTTTCTTTTTGTTTTAATATGTGTAGACTTCTTTTCCCAACATGAAACTTAAAACATCTTTAAAATGGAAAATTTGTATAACGAAATATTGCAAAATCCATATTTCCTTGCAAACACCATTTTAACCATCTTTTAAGTTTTTTGTTATGAAAAAATGGCTATATATTTAAAAAAAAAAAGGCAAAATGTAAGCCCCGCCCACCCACTCTATCTCAATTCTGATGATTTTTTTTTATTCGTTGTAAGCTTAGGGACGGAGCATAACTGTAAAATTATTATTTTTCTATGAAAAATTAAGCGATATTTTCCTATACAAATTCGGCAATAAATCTTGTTGATTTAACAACGTAACGGCGAAAGTTAAAAGTTGGTCATCTCGAACGTCACCCCAACGGCGTGCCAACTTTCAACGGTAACGTCAACGGATGATATAAACGACTCATACCTTCGTTGCGTATTGATCTTACAACAGTAACGTCAACGTCTGTCTGTCTGTCTGTCTGTCTGTCTGTCTGTCTGTCTGTCTGTCTGTCCGTCTGTCTGTTGTCCCAATTCTTTTTTGTACCCTCGCTTTACGCCGTCACTGATACTAAGCCATTTTCAATGATCCATAATCATGTTAAATGAATTTTTTAGGTGGTCGACCACCAAATCGATCCTGAATGGACCCTTCTTTTTTATTTAAGAAATAAACGTATCCTTAAAAATGAAAAAATAAGAAATTTCTACGATGTCATAAACGTGTATATTTAATAATATAAAAAAATCGTTTATCAACATTATGATTTGGTAATCTGGCGACCTTCGATTCACAACTTCTCCTTATCATGTTGAAAAAGCGTGGTACTAAGAAGTGTACATTTGCTTAATTTACAAATAAAGAGTCGAATTATGCATTCTTTAACTAAAAATAGTCAGACTATGTGGAACCAAGTCGGGATGTGGGGAAGGAGGATGCGGTGCTTGCACTGTCATGGTTTCCAAATATGACCGAACAAACAAGAAAATCATGTATCCTTTTAAAAATTTTTAACTAACAATCACCAAGTAGCTAAATCCTTATAGCTTTTAGTCATCTACCAGTAAACGCCTGCTTGGCCCCAATATGCTCTATGCACGGCTTAGCTGTAACAACTGTCGAAGGAATCGGTTCAACCAGAACCAAGCTGCATCCGGTTCAAGAAAGAATAGCTAAGTCACACGGTACCCAATGCGGTTTCTGTACCCCAGGAATCGTAATGTCGATGTATACTCTCCTGAGAAACTCTTCCAAACCCACGATGAAAGACCTAGAAGTAGCATTCCAAGGAAATCTGTGTCGCTGTACCGGCTACAGACCCATCATGGAAGGGTACAAAACATTCACCGAAGAATGGGAATTGATTCAAAATGGTAACAGATTAAACGGTGAACAAGGAAACGGTTGTGCGATGGGAGATAAATGCTGCAAGCTTCAAAACGGTACCACGAAAGATCCTGAAGAAGTTTTATTCAATCGAAACGAGTTCACACCGTATGATTCTTCCCAAGAACCTATTTTTCCGCCGGAGCTAAAGATTTCCGATCAGTATGATAAACAATATTTGGTTATTAAAGGCAAAACGGTTACGTGGTTTAGACCAGTCAACTTGGAACAACTACTACAACTCAAGAAACAATTTCCTGACGCGAAACTGGTTGTAGGAAATACTGAAGTTGGTGTTGAAGTTAAATTTAAACAGATGGTGTATCCTGTTATTATCCAACCAGTGTTGATACCTGAAATGGTGGCTATTACTAACTCTGAAAAGGGTGTTAGAATAGGCGCTTCTGCCACTTTCACGGATATTGAAACTTATTTGAAAAACGAAATTAATCGACTGCCTGAAGAGAAAACACGGATTTTTAAAAGCATTGTCGATATGTTGATTTGGTTTTCTGGTAAACAGATCAGAAGTGTGGGGGCTCTTGGTAGTAATATAATGACGGGAAGTCCAATTTCGGACATGCTTCCGATTCTAATGGCGAATGAAGTAACACTAGAGTTGCAAAGTCGGGATAACGGAAAACGCGAAGTTCTTTTAGACGGAAACTTCATTAGTGGTTACAGAACAACAATAGTAAAACCAGAGGAGATACTTTCCGCCATTTATATTCCTTACACTAACAGCGACCGCTACTGTTACGCTTACAAACAAGCAAAAAGACGTGAAGACGACATCGCTATTGTAAACGCTGCCGTTAACGTCACTTTCGAACCAAAAACTGACATTATATCTGATATAAACGTCGCTTTCGGAGGAATGTCCTACAAGACCGTTACATCACCTAAAGCTAGATCACAGCTGAAGGGTCTATCCTGGAATCGATACACTTTAGAATTAGCTTTCACCCACTTACAACAAGATTTGCCGCTGGACCCTGGTGCTCCCGGTGGAATGTACCTATACCGAAAATCCCTAACTTTAAGTTTGTTCTTCAAAGCATTCCTAGCAATTTCAGCAGATCTACAAAAATATATCCCCCACATTAAAATCGATAAGCGGGAGTTGAGCGGCATCACAAGTTTCGAGCCCAAGGAATACAAAAGTGCACAGTACTTCACCGTCGTTCCAAAAACCCAAGAAAAAAGTGACGCTCTTCAACGCCCTATAATCCACAAATCGGCTTATAAACACGCAACCGGAGAAGCAATATTCTGTGACGACATCCCCTTCTTCGAAAACGAGCTCTATTTAGCATTCGTTACAAGCACCAAATCGCATGCCAAAATTTTGTCAGTTGATACCACCGAAGCTCTAGCCATGCAAGGAGTTCACTATTTCGTCTCCGCTAAAGACCTCGACCCAGGAAAAAACTGCATGGGTTACGTGGAACGTGACGAAAAAATTTTCTACACTGATATAGTAACGAGTCAAGGACAAATTATCGGAGGAATAGTCGCAAGTGACGAAATTACAGCAAGAAAAGCGGCCCGAAAAGTTAGAATAGAATATGAAGACCTTTATCCCGTTATTGTTACTATAGCGGATGCCATCAAACACAATTCGTTCTTCAAAAACCCCGACAAAGTAATAGTTAAAGGCGATGTTGAAAAAGCGTTTCACGAAACACCTCACGTTTTGGAAGGCGAGTGTCACATTAGTGGCCAAGAGCACTTTTACCTTGAAACCCAATCCGTGGTTGTGGTGCCCAAGAAAGAGGACCAAGAAATGGAAATCTACTCGGCCACTCAATGTCCGAGCCAACTAGCTGTAAGTATTTTCACGAAACAAAACTAAAACAAACATTTTTTTGTCGTAGGAAGCGGTAGCCCAACTTTTGGGTATCCAACAGAACAAAATCGTCGTAAAAACAAAGCGCGTAGGTGGTGGTTTCGGTGGGAAAGAAACCAAGTGCTTCCTACTAGCCCTTCCTGCAGCAGTCGCTGCCGTCAAACTAAACCGTCCGATTCGTTGTGTCTTGGAAAGAGATGAAGATATCGTGATGACTGGAGGTCGGCACCCCTTCCTCATAAAATACAAAGTGGCTTTTAACAATGACGGCAAAATTTTGGGAGCCCACACCAAATTTTACAACAACTGTGGCTACTCCATAGATGTGTCATCTTTAGTAAGTAAACACAACGCTCTTACTTGTACAACTTTAACAACTTGTAGGTACTGGAACACGCTATGACCCACTTCCAAAATTCGTACAACATCCCGGTCATACGACTTGAAGGTTATACGTGCAAAACCAACCTTCCGTCAAACACAGCGTTCAGAGCAACCGGTTGTCCACAAGCAATGTTCTCAGCTGAAAACATGCTTCAAGACATTTCTGATTACCTCAACAAAGACCCAGTAACCCTAAGCGAGTTAAATTTATACCGAGAAGGAGACACAACCTTCTACAACCAGAAGCACACCAACTGTACTTTACAAAAGTGCTGGAATGAGTGTCTACACTCTTCTAGATACTTAGAAAAGCGCAAAGAAGTAGATACTTTTAATCGGGAAAATCGTTACAAGAAACGCGGTTTGAGTGTCATTCCGACAACATATGGAGTCGGGTTTCCACTACCCCACCTCCATCAAGCTGGAGCTTTGGTACTAGTGTACACCGATGGGTCAGTCCTTTTAAATCACGGTGGTGTGGAAATGGGACAAGGTGTACAGACCAAAATGCTACAAGTTGCTAGTAGGTGTCTAGAAATCCCCATTGAGAAGATTCACACAGTTGACGTTTCAACTGATAAAGTACCGAATAGTACTGCAACTGCTGCCAGTGTAAGTTCGGATTTGAATGGGATGGCGGTTTTGCAAGCTTGTAACACCATCAAAGAACGATTAAAACCGTACAAAGAGGCAAATCCGGAAGGTACTTGGGAGGAATGGGTTAAGAAGGCTTATTTCGACCGTGTAAGCTTAAGTTCAACTGGGTATTATAAGGACTGGGATGACTTTGGATACAACTGGGACACAGGAGAGGGACGAATGTACAATTATTACACTTATGGTGTGGCGTGCTGTGAAGTTGAAATAGACACGTTAACAGGAGACCATCAAGTTCACAGCGTCGACATTGTAATGGATTTAGGTGAAAGTTTGAACCCTGCAATTGACGTTGGTCAAATCGAAGGGGCCTTCATGCAAGGGTACGGCTTATTCGTACTAGAAGAATTAATTTATTCGCCAGATGGAACTAACTATAGTAGAGGCCCCGGTACCTATAAGATTCCAGGTTTTGGAAACATTCCAGGAGAATTTAATGTGTCTTTACTGAAAGGATCATCCAACTCTAGAGCTGTGTATTCATCAAAGGTGAAAATTTTGAAACGTCGAAACGATTTATAAACTAATCAAAATTTTAGGCAATCGGGGAACCTCCTCTATTCTTAGGAAGCTCTGTTGCTTTTGCCATTAGAGATGCAATCAAAGCAGCAAGAAAAGAAAATGGTCATAGTCCAGGTTTTAAGCTAGATTCTCCAGCTACTCCAGCTAGAATTCGTCTGGCATGTCAAGACAACATAACCTCTAAGGTAACAATTCCAAGTACGGGTCTTAACTGAAAATAATCTTGACACTTTGCAGTTCCAGGAAGCCGAACCCGGCACTTTCACCCCTTGGAATGTACTTGTTTAAAAAAAAACGCAAACGTAACAAATTGTTTTATTCGTCAGAAGAAACGCAGCTGAAGCAATACAAGAAAGCCAGTTTCCTTTTATTCTTTTTGCGGTCACACCCACTTTTGTTTTTGTCTTTACTGCTGCTAATTCTAATTGTGGTTCGTTGTGTGGTAGTACATTTTTCAGAACAGATGCTAGAAGTTGTTGGTTCAATCAGCAATTCCGGGTCCATTTGTGTTTTTTCTTCAGTACTTGTCTTCAGTTCTTCTGGTTCACGCTCTTCCACCTTCCCCGCTTCCGCTATCTCTTCTTCAGACATCTTGATCTGCACAGATTTTTGTGAACATTCGACGGTAGTTTGTAACGACTTACTTTCGATGGAATGTATTTCCAGCCCGCACTGACTCGCGCTCTTCGTCTCGATGCGCACCTCCACACAGTAATCGACCGAACACACATCCACCGGGGGCTCAAACAACGCTTTTATGTCCGGTCGTTCGAAAAAGTTACTAGACACTTTTCTAGATTTTATGGTGGCGTAGCCGCTCTCTTCGGAACCAGGAGCGCTAAGCGAATCTACACATTGTCAATTAGTTTGCCATTTTTTTGGGAAAAAAGCTTACCAATGATGTGGTCCTGACTCCCTAGGAGGTCCCGACTATCGACTTTGTCTGAATTTTTTTCGAAAGACGAAATTTCGCTCAGACTTTCCTGGTTGGTCATTTGGAGGTTGTACCAATCGTGGAGTTTCCTATCGGAGAGTACGTCGTCAGTGGACACGTCGTCGGAACTACAACACTTAACGTCGACGCTGAAGGAAAAATCCTTCTTGAGGAAGTTGTTGTTTTCGTTGAGGATCTCGTTGAGGGCTTGTTCGACTGGTAACGTGAAGAGTTCGTTGAATTTTTCGCTATCGACAACCTCGAGGTACGGTTGAGGAAGATCGTCGTCGTAGAATTCTTTCACAATTTCTGGTTGACTTAGTACTGACGAGTTGGATCGGGTGTCTTGAGAGCAGTCAATCGGAGGGACAACTTCTTTCGGTTCTTTCGGTGATAGTGTAACCTTGTCGATATCAGGGTTACTCACGGTGAGGTACCTCACTTCTAACACTTGAGGCGGAATCACTGGCGTCTTCTGGTTTTTACTAAGCGCGTTCTTGCGGAGATTATCAGCGTATTGCTTCCGTTTGTGCCACCGACTGAGCTTATCGTCGTCTTTGTACGACTTAGTGAGGAAAAAACTAGTTTCGTTTTTGGACGAAGCGACCGATTTATCACCACACGTACTATTACTTAGGGAGGTTTTGGCAGACGATGGTTCAAAATTTTTACCCACTTTCTTGTTGGCTTGTAATTTTGTATCAGACTTGGATGCTTCGGGTGATTTAATCGACTTCTTACTGCTGACTCTACTCCAAGTGTCATTCGACGATTTTGAAGCCGACTTGAAACCTTTTTGACCACTAGCAGTTGATTCTTTTGGATACATAACTGGAGCTGACGATGGTAGATATCGTTTCCTACTGGCGTTAGACGCAGTTGTACTTCTGGTCGACTTGTTGTCAAAATTACTAGCTTTGCTTTGTCTAGACACAGTTGACGCTTTACTCATTCTGGATTCTTTTTTATCAACTTTTGGGATAGCGGACGGGCGTGATTTTTTCTCTGGATTGTCTTGTTGCGTTCCACTCGAAATCGTCTGCAGCTTTGTGGATTTCGTACTATTATATCTATCTTCAACGACGCTAGATCTAGCACTATTGGACTTGGAACTAGGTAAACTTCGTGTTTTAACACCGACTTCAGTTTTTTCAAGTTTGTCTTCGTGCGGTTTTGGCGTTGACACTTTCTGTTTCTGTGTTTTGCTTCTACGATTTTTGTTATCTTCCAACGTCGGTACAGTTTTCACTTCTTCGTGTGTTACTTTCGGGTTAAAAAGGTCGGCACTTTTTTTACGCGACTTGGCGACTGGAGATGGCTCCCTAGGCAACTCGAGGATCTTAGCATGACTGTTTAATACCGGTATCTTCGATTTTTGTTTGCTCCTTCCAACTTTCTTTTCTTCTTTGTTAGTTTCCTTGGACTTAGCGAGAATCCTGCAAGGTTCTGGCTTGATAACAACCGACGACACGTTTGTTTCTAATTTAAGTTTCTGATCTTGTGACGATTTTCTTCTGCTTTTTTTGCGCTTCTTGGGTGCTTCTTCGACTGATTGCTCCGACATGTCTTGGTACAACTTATGGCTATCACTGAAAGTCTGAAAAGTAGTACTATTTGTAAAATCTGAATCTTTGTCGACACCACGATTGTATTTATAGTATTTTTTGAACGTCTTCAAATTCTTCTTTTTCTCGACCGAGTTATCGCTAACTTGGACTGGCGAAATCGCCACCACCGAAAACGTGTTCTTCACCAGACAAAACTTGTGTCGTAGCGGATTGGCTCTCGAAACGTTTTGCATCTTCGTTTCTTCTGTCTTGTCAAGCCGAAACACATTGTTTTCGTCCACGTCTGCTATCCACCATTTCGATTTGGTCTTAGATTGCGACGGAAGTTTGACTTCTTGACTAGCCACTGGCTTCTCTTGAAGCTTATTGGCTGACGATTTCGAGTTACGACTTTCCTTCGGCTGAATGGTTTGAACGCTTTGCTTGTCTGGATTTTTCTGACTTGCTTTCTTCTCTTTCTTCTGAAACGTATCCAAGTCTTCAAAAACTAGCTTGTTGTGAACTGAAGGCGGTGATTTTCGTTTGTGTGAGCTACCAATAGCTTGATCCGGGTAAGATTTGTCCACGGTTCGTTCTTTATTATGTTTCTTGGAGTCTCGCACTTCGACTAATTGCTCTTTGTCGCGTTTTTTGACCGGTTTTACCACCTCCTTCACAGTCGGTTTAAGTGGTACAAAAATCATGTTTGTGTTGTCTTCGCTATAACGGTGATCCTTATAGTATTTCTCGTTCAAGGGAATAAACTCCGCCTTGTCGTGCGAATGTTTGTCAAAAACGAAAAACTTCTTAAAGAAGTTGGAACCCGGACTTTTGGTCGGTTCTCTCTCACTATTAATGAGTTTAAAAATCTCTTTTCGTGTTAACCACTGACATTCATCTCTGTGTTTGTTCTGTTTTTGCTGCTTTAGAAACTGCTCGAAGTAGTCGTCCGATTTTCTAGTGCTTCGTCTCTCGTGGTCTCTATCTCGGTTGGAACTTTTGTGTTTATTTTTAACCTGAGATTCTTCCGTTTTTCTGACGCTTTTCTTCCGGTGCTGCTTTAACTCCTCCGGCGAAATAAAAAATATCTCTGTTTGACTGTAATTTCCTTGGGGCTCCTTCGTCCTGTGTGTCCTCAACGACTCGCTCGATTTGTTCCTGTGGCTGCGGCGTTTCTCGTCCCGTTTTTTCGAATACCGTGAATTTGTGTCTGCATCGTTGGCACTTTTGATTTTCCGCTTTTGCGCTTTGTCGCTCGATCCACTTTCCTTTTTGTATATGTATTTCACGTACTTGTCTTTGGTAGTGTCTGGCTCTTCGTTTAAATTTTTCAAAACGAAATGGCCGAATTTTTGAAATTGTTTATGCATAATACGTCTCTGCTTCTAATGAATTGGCATTCTAGGTTGCTGAAGCTTGACCCGAGGCCGATTTTTGCTCGTTAGATCATTATAACAACTGGACGCAATTTTATTACATAATTGCAATGAAGCGTCAGATTTTGAACGAAACGAAAAGTTGAAAATTCATTACTGTCGTGGGGATTGCCTAGGAACGGGGTGATTATTGAATAGATGGGTCGATAAACTTAGACTAATTTATTACACCTAAATAAACAACAACACGTTAGCTAACTTTGGGGTCGTTTTTAATACTGTCGTCCAGTTCTTTTTCAACGTGGGTTCCTTCAAACACGGTTTGTCGCCTTAGTAATTCCTGCATCTGCAGCATCTGGAACTTCATTTGAGAGTACTTGTAGCGACACTGGATCCAGTAGACCAGAGTAACTCCACAGAAACTATAAACGGCGAAATTACAAGCCGCCAGTGGTCTACTTTTAAACATAAAGTGCCCCAGACCTAGTCCCAAGCCTCCATAAATTCCATACAAAAAACTGTTGCGAAAACAGGGAATTTTTGAAACGTCGCGCCCGAAAATGATGAGGCTCTACAAACAAAGATGACGCTGAACACAATGTCAAAAATAACCGCATGACAACTCGGATATCAATCAATTTTGGTGAATAGACGTACCTTGTCTGGGGGCGGCTTTTCAAGCTCTTTATTGTCGGCGTCTTGTTCCGCCATTTAAGCTTTGCTAAGCCGCTTTTAACTAAACTACAAGTCTGACAATAAATCACTTCTGGACGGCGCTTTTTAGGTTAAGGTCTTCTGTCGTTTCGCAGATTCGTGTTTGTCATGTTTGCAACCGGCTACCAGAGGGCGCCACTTCTCCTCGCTTGGAAAAATCAAACAAAAAACGAAATCAACTTCGTACACAGCAGGTTGATCATTTTATCCAAAAAAGTGTTAGTTTTTCTGAAACAATTTTTTTTTTAGTTGATTGTTTCGGTTTTATTTTGCAGAATTCTGTCATCGCGGGGCACCATCTCGCGGCTGCCGCCATATCTAGGTTAATCACGTGACGACACGTGAATCCAATACTAGCGCAGTTGCTGATTTTGGTCGGGCTGTGAAAGACGTGTTGTCAAAGATGTCTTATCAGAATACAATGTCGGCCAAACAGGCCTCCAGGGAGCACGTTTTGGCGGTTTCCCGTGACTTCGTCTCACAACCAAGACTCAGTAAGTCATTTAGCATTTTTTTGGGTCCAAATTGGGCGAAAATCGCGCGAAAATTGGGTGGGTCGTCGAGCAATGGACGACACCGAGCGGGTCATATGACTAAAATTTCCTCCGGTTTTTAGAGCCTGCACCAGAAAAATCGATTAAAATAAACAAACGCCGTCTAAATTTAACCCTTCCCGTATTCATTCCAGTTATATTTCGAGGATTTTCGGGAGAAATCAGCTGTTTGTAGTGTCATGTGACCCAATCTCATGACAGCCACTCCTCTACTAGTTTAAAGTTTGGCTAAATTTATTATAGCTTATAAAACCGTGACTGGTGTAAACGGCCCATTGGTAATTTTGGACGATGTCAAGTTCCCCAAATTCAACGAAATCGTCCAGCTTAAACTGGCTGATGGTAGCATACGGTCAGGGCAAGTACTGGAAGTCAGTGGCTCGAAAGCCGTCGTCCAGGTATTCGAAGGGACTTCGGGGATCGACGCCAAACACACGGTTTGTGAGTTCACGGGGGACATCTTGAGGACACCGGTGTCGGAAGACATGTTAGGGCGAGTGTTCAACGGCTCAGGCAAACCCATTGACAAAGGTTAGTGACTCAGTGGTGTCCAGTTTAGCATCGTTGCATAACCAAACATCAATCTCTAGGTCCGCCAATTCTGGCTGAAGACTTCTTGGACATCCAAGGCCAGCCCATCAACCCCTGGTCGCGTATCTACCCCGAAGAAATGATCCAAACCGGCATCTCCGCCATCGACGTGATGAACTCCATCGCCCGTGGTCAAAAAATCCCCATTTTCTCGGCTGCCGGTTTGCCCCACAACGAAATCGCCGCCCAGATTTGTAGACAAGCCGGTCTTGTCAAACTCCCCGGAAAATCGGTTCTCGACGACCACGAAGACAATTTCGCCATCGTTTTCGCCGCTATGGGTGTCAATATGGAAACCGCTCGTTTCTTCAAGCAAGATTTCGAAGAAAACGGCTCTATGGAGAACGTGTGTTTGTTCTTGAACTTGGCCAACGACCCGACCATCGAAAGAATTATTACGCCCCGTCTCGCTCTAACCGCGGCCGAATTCATGGCGTACCAATGCGAAAAGCACGTGTTGGTCATCTTGACTGACATGTCTTCGTACGCCGAGGCCTTGCGTGAGGTGAGTTACACGTAATGCGCGTATTACGCATGCGTGAGAAATAGGTGTCGTTCGTGCGTAATGACATATTATGTAGGTATCAGCCGCTCGTGAAGAAGTACCCGGTCGCCGTGGTTTCCCCGGTTACATGTACACCGATTTGGCCACAATTTACGAACGTGCTGGTCGTGTAGAGGGTAGAAACGGTTCGATTACTCAAATTCCAATTCTTACTATGCCTAACGACGATATCACTCATCCTATTCCCGATTTGACTGGTTATATTACTGAGGGGCAAATCTACGTAGATCGTCAACTCCACAACAGACAGATCTATCCACCAATCAACGTGTTGCCGTCTTTGTCGCGTTTGATGAAGTCCGCTATTGGTGAAGGTATGACAAGGAAAGATCACTCAGACGTGTCTAATCAACTGGTAAGTGGTTGTTTGCGGTTGTGTATTTTTTTAATATTGTTGTTTAGTACGCTTGCTACGCCATCGGTAAGGACGTCCAAGCCATGAAGGCCGTCGTCGGTGAAGAAGCTTTGACCCCTGACGATCTCCTATATTTGGAGTTCTTGTCGAAATTCGAGAAGAACTTCATCACACAGGGTAGCTATGAAAATCGTACCGTTTTCGAGTCGTTGGATATTGGCTGGCAGTTGCTGCGTATCTTCCCCAAGGAGATGTTGAAACGTATTCCAGCAGCCACTCTGGCGGAATTTTACCCAAGAGACTCACGCCATTAGTTTTTTTGTTATTATACCTCATAGGTTTGTTTTAAAGTCCACTTATTTTTAGCCATATTGAGCCAATTACGGTGCAATTTTGTAAATAACTAAAACATCTACGACCGTACTTCATTCTTCTTCATTTGTATATTGTAAATTGCAAAGATTATATTTTATTTGACTTATGTTTTAAAAAGTAGAAAAAGAAGACAATATGTATAATATCACGATAGGTATTGATATTATTGTTATCTATTATTAGCACAATTTTCTTTATTAAGAATTCAAAGTGGAAAGCGATAACATTCCATTACATTATAATTCTTGTTATTAAATGTTGTATAAAGCAATACACCTACCAGCTTTCAGTATTTTTTAGTTGTACATTACGTGGTGAATGGAAACTGCTATGTAGCATTCGACAACTCTTCTTTTGGTGTTATTATAAGCGAACAACCTATTATCTTTAGATTAGTGTAAAAATTGTGAATAAATGTATGTTAACGGTTTCTAGATTTGTCATGTTCAAATTGTTTTATTAGAGAATGGAGTTTATGTTTTATGTGAAATCTTGTTGAATAAATGCTGTACAAAATAGACAGTTGTTTATTTTTAAAGACCGCCATAACCATCCAGCATAAAGTAAGAACAATAAACGCATTACTTAAGTAAGGTTATAAATTACGTAATGATTTTAATTATTGTTCATTTTTATTTGAAGTAGTGCAAGTTACACACAAAAGTAATAAAGAGGAATGAACCCGATTTTTTAATAAATAACTTTTTGACATATTTCATAAAAAAGAAACGAAAATGGAAAGAGTATAATTTATCAGCCTCGCTTGATGCCCTAGATTCCAGAAATATAAGGTTTCCTAAGAGCAAGTGGAATTTTCCGTGGAAAACAAAATCTGTAATTTTTCCACCAGTGGCGTAGGTACAATTCGTCACACAATAATGGCCAAAACCGATGTCGTACTTGTTGGGACATAACCTATGAAAAGTGTCCCGCCCACCCACCCACCGGTAAATAGTGGAAACTAGACAACAAATGTAAAATTAATACCACTTAATACTTCAACTTTTGAATTTCGTTGCCTTATTTTATTTACTGCGAGATGAAAATCGAACTTTATTTTGTCATTTGGTCGAATCTACGCTTAAAACTTCAAAAGTGGCTCCGCCCACTCGCTCGTTTTCTTATCAATCATTATTTTATTGGGCGAAAAGTGAATTTTATATCGATAATGAAATCTGCATAAAAATGTAGAACTAACCCCACTCATCTCCACTTTTGAATTTCATTGGCTTAATTTACTTGCTGTTAAATGAAAATTGAATTTTATTTTGTCAACTGGTTGAAAGTAGGCTCAAATAAACTGTAAAGTGGCCCCGCCCACCCACCCGTATCCTCCTCAATAACTCATTTTATTTAATGAAAAGTGGATTTTGTATTGATAAATAGTGGAATCTTCATAAAAAATGAAAAGATAACCCCACCCACCTTTGCGTTTTAATTTCATTGGCACACCCACCCACCCGTGTTTTTTGTAGTCACTGATTTTATTGGACAAAAATTGGATCTTATATTAATAAATAGTGGAATCTGTATTAAAAAATAGCAACTCCACCGTCCTTCACCTTTGATTTTATTGGTTTATTTTATTTACTGTGAGATGAAGATCGAATTTTATTTTGTTAACTGGTCGAAAGTACGCTTATAAATTTCAAAGTCGCCCCGCCCACCCACCCGTATTCTTCTCAAACACTTATTTTTTTGGTCGAAAAGTGGATTTTATATTAATAAATAGTCAAGATATACATAAAAAATGATAAATTGATCCCACCCACCTACACTTTTGAAATTCATTGACTTATTTTGTTTACTGTGAGATGAAAATTGAATTTTATTTTGTCAATTGGTCGAATCTACACTTAACAAAAACTTGAACGTGGCCCCGCCCACCCACCCATATTCTTTTTGATCACCATTTTATTGTACGAAAATTGCATCTTATATTGGAATTTGCATTAAAAAATACTAACTCCACCCTCCTTCATCTTTGATTTCATTGGTTTATTTTATTTACTGTGAGATGAATATTGAACTTTATTTTGTTAACTGGTCGAAAATACGCTTAAAAAACTTCAAAGTGGCCCCGCCCACCCACCCGTATTCTTCTCAATCACTCATTTTATTGGAGGAAAAGTGGATTTTATATTGATAAATAGTGGAATCTTCATAAAAAATGTAAAACTAACCCCACCCATCCTTGTTTTTGCATTTCATTGGCTTATTTTATTTGCTGTGAGATGAATATTGAATTTTGTTTTGTCAATTGGTCGAATCTGCGCCTATAAACTTCAAAGTGGCCCCGCCCACCCACCCGTATTCTTTTCAATCACTTATTTTATTGGTCGAAAAGTGGATTTTATATTGATAAAAAGTGGAATCTTCATAAAAAATGTAAGACTAACCCCAGCCATCTTTGTTTTCGCATTTCATTGGCTTATTTTATTACCTATGACACGAAGATTGAATTTTATTTTGTCAACTGGTCGAATCTGCGCTTAAAAACTTAAAAAAAAAACTTCAAAGTGGCCCCGCCCACCCACCCGCGCTATTTTTGGTCACTTATTTTATTGGACAAAAATTGGATCCTATATTAATAAATAGTGGAATCTGCATTAAAAAATAGTAACTTCACCCGTCTTTACTTTTGATTTTAGTGGTTTATTTTATTTATGAGATGAAGATTAAACTTTATTTTGTAAACTGGTCGAAAGTACGCTTAAAAAACTTTAAAGTGGCCCCTCCCACCCACCCGTATTCTCCTCAATCACTTATTTTATTGGTCGAAAAGTGGATTTTATATCGATAAATATTGAAATCTGCATAAAACATGATAAACTGATCCCACCCCCTCTACACTTTAGAAATTCATTGACTTATTTTATTTACTGTGAGATGAAAATTGAATTTTATTTTGTCAATTGGTCGAATCTATAGCTAAAAAAACCTGAACGTGGCCCCGCCCACTCACCCATATTCTTTTTGATCACTTATTTTATTGGACGAAAATTGGATCTTATATTAATAAATAGTGGAATCTGCATTAAAAAATAGTAACTCCACCTTCCTTCACCTTTGATTTCATTGGTTTATTTTATTTACTGTGAGATGAAAATTAGATTTTGTTTTGTCGACAAAAAACTCAAAGTGGCCCCGCCCACCCACCCGTGTTAAAAAAATAGTAGCCCCACCCACCTTCACCTCTGAGTTTGAGCGGCTTAATTTATTGGCTCTGAAATGAAAATTGAATTTTATTTTGTCAGCTGGTCGAAAGTACGCTAAAAAAATGGAAAGTGGCCCCGCCCACCCACCCGTATTCTTCTCAATAACTCATTTTATTGGATGAAAAATGGCTTTTGTATTGATAAATAGTGGAATTTTCATAAAAAATGTAAAACTAACCCCACCCACCTTTGCTTTGGAATTTCATTGGCTTATTTTATATATTGTGACATAAAGATTGAATTTTGTTTTATCAACTGGTCGAATCTGCGCTTTAAAACTTAGAAAAAAGTCAAAGTGGCCCCGCCCACCCACCTGTGTTCTCTCTGGTCACTTATTTTATTGGACGAAAATTGGATCTTAAATTAATAAATAGTAGAATCTGCATAAAATAATAGGAGCTCCACCCACCTTCACCTTTGAATTTCATTGGCTTATTTTATTTACTGTAACATGAAAATAAAATTTTGTTTTGTCAACTGGTCGAATCTGCGCTTAAAAACTATAAAAAAAACTTAAAGTGGCCCCGCCGACCCACCCGTGTTATCTTTGGTTACTTATTCTATTGGACGAAAATTGGATCTTATATTAATAAATAGTGGAATCTGTATAAAAAAATAGTAGCCCCACCCACCTTCACCTCTGAATTTCATCGACTTAATTTATTTGCTCTGAAATGAAAATTGAATCTTATTTTGTCAACTGGTCGAAAGTACGCTTAAAAAAACTGCGAAGTGGCCCCGCCCACCCACCAGTAATTTTTCTCAATAACTCATTTTAGTGGACGAAACGTGGATTTTGTATTGATAGTGGAATTTTCATAAAAAATGTAAAATTAACTCCACCCACCTTTGCTTTGGAATTTCATTGGCTTATTTTATTTATTGTGACATAAAGATTGAATTTTGTTTTGTCAACTGGTCGAATCTGCCCTTTAAAAAATAAAAAAAAAGTCAAAGTGGCCCCGCCCACCCACCCGTGTTCTGTCAGGTCACTTACTTTATTAGACGAAAATTGGATCTTAAATTAATAAATAGTGGAATCTGCATAAAAAAATAGTAGCTCCACCCACCTTCACCTTTGAATTTCATTGGCTTATTTTACTTACTGTGACGTGAAAATTAAATTTTGTTTTGTCATTTGGTCGAATTTACACTTAAAAACTTAAGAAAAACTGTAACGTGGCCCCGCCCACCCACCCGTGTCTTTAGATCACTTATTTTATTGGGCGAAAAGTGGATTTTATATTGATAAATAGTGAAATCTGCATAAAAAATGTAGAACTAACCCCGCCCACCTTTGCTTTTGAATTTCATTAGCCTAATTTATTTGCTGTTAGATCAGGATTGAATTTTATTTTGTCAACTGGTCGACGGTACGCTGAAAAAAAATGTAAAGTGGCCCCGCCCACCCACCCGTATTGTTCTCGATAACTCATTTTATTGGACGAAAAATGGATTTTGGATAAATAATGGACTTTTCATAAAAAATTTAAAACTAACTCCACCCACTTTTGCTTTGGAATTTCATTGGTTTATTTTATTTATTGTGACATGAAGACTGAATTTTGTTTTGTCAACTGGTCGAATCTGCGCTTAAAAACTTAAAAAAAACACAAAGTGGCCCCGCCCACCCACCCGTGTTATCTTTGGTTATTAATTCTATTGGACGAAAATTGTATCTTATATTAATAAATAGTGGAATCTGTATAAAAAATAGTAGCCCCACCCACCTTCACCTCTGAATTTCATCGGCTTAATTTATTGGCTCTGAAATGAAAATTGAATTTTATTTTGTCAACTGGTCGAAAGTACGCTAAAAAAATGGAAAGTGGTCCCGCCCACCCACCCGAATTCTTCTCAATAACTCCTTTTATTGAACGAAAAATGGATTTTGTATTGATAAATAGTGGAATTTTCATAAAAAATGTAAAAAAAACTCCACCCACCTTTGCTTTGGAATTTCATTGGCTTATTTTACTTACTGTGACATGAAAATTAAATTTTGTTTTGCCAACTGGTCGAATTTACGTTTAAAAACTAAAAAAAACTGGAAAGTCGCCCCGCCCGCCCACCCGTGTTTTTTTGATCACTTATTTTATTGGGTGAAAAGTGTATATGGATACATGGTTAAATCTGCATAAAAAAAGTAGAACTAACTCCACCCACCTTTGGTTTTGAATTTCATTGGCCTATGTATTTGCTGCGAGATGAAAATTTAATTTAATTTTGTCAACTGGTTGAAAGTACGCTTAAAATACAAATTGGCCCCGCCCACCCACCCGTATTCTTCTCAATCACTTATTTTATAGGTCGAAAAGTGGATTTTATATTGACAAATAGTGGAATCTTCATATAAAAAATGTAAAACTAACCCCACCCACCTACCCTTTTGAATTTCATTGGTTTATTTTATTTACTGTTAGTTGAAGATTGAACTTTATTTTGTCCACTGGTCGAGTCTACGCTTAAACAACTTCAAAATTGGCTCCGCCCACTCACCCGTTTTCTTGTCAATCATCATTTTATTGGGTGAAAAGTGGATTTTATATCGATAGATAATGACATATGCTTAAAAAATGTAGAACTGACACCACCCACCTCTTTACACTTTTGAATTTCATTGGCTTAATTTATTTACTGTGAGATATACATTATGCAATCATAAATATGTTACCAACAGACAAATATAATCATCTTCAATATTACCAAAAAAAAAGATTTTCGGTTGTAATTTTTTCTGAGATGTTTGATTTTTGTTATTACTATGAAAATTCTAAAATCTGGCTTAACACAAATCATAAGTAAGTCATAATGTTGCGACGCCCCTCCTGGAGCTGCGCCACTGGCCAGTTGTCGCAAAAAGCCTACTGTCATTTTAGTAGAGTAATCGTACCAAACGCTAAAAATTGCATAATAGTTCCATCTGCATCCGCGTGGTCGTCCAGTAGTTCGAATATGACCTCCCGTAGTTAAAAAATATTTTGTTAACTTATTGGTTTTCTGTTGATATTTTGAATTACAGTCCCATTGTGCACACTTAAATCTGTCCCAACCCACAACTGTAATTCCCTTCCCGGTAAGTAAAAATCATCACCAAAAATGAATAAAAAATGGTTTTGAGGAAACCTAACCTCAACAACACTGACGTCTCACGTATTTATAATTTTTTAGGCTAACAAGGACATTACTTGAGCTTTAGCGGCGTCTTTTCCACTCCAGCGTCGGTGCTAATTTTTTCCGGTCGCCAAACTGGCCAGAATGAAAAATCGCCGCATTTATGTAATATCGGTTAAGGTCAGTTCAGACGCGACCGTCATCAATCACATTTTTCAAAGTCAAAATGGCCGCTGCGCCATATTTGGACTTTCCGAAATAAAAGAAACCCGAATTTATTTTGATTGATTTCGTCTAAAAATCGCCGCCCCCATGCCTTTGTGTCGCAGCAAACGATGTCTTTGTTGGCGTCCCGCATCGGCTTTGTCAAGGAATTGAGTCTTAATTGAAATTGAGTCCCTTGTAATTTACGAATTTAGCCCGAGCATTATTTATCGTGCGTAATCTCCTCGATGACCGACCTTGTTTTGCAATTACGCTGTTGTAGTCCTCACTCCGACTCTGACTTTTTTCTTTCGGATCACGCCACTAAAATGACACGCAGTTCATTGGACAGGGCCGTAGTAAAGTCGGTTCCTGTGGAAGCGCCGGCACGGAGTAGGGGCCAAAGGTGCCGTTACGTCTCTGTGGAAATTAACTAGTCGGTTCCCCCATTCATCGCGGCGAGTGAGAGGCGGCTACCGGTAGAAGAAAATAGAATAGAAATTCATTGCAACAATCGGTAGTAAGCGGGCTGAACGTTTTCGGGGTGGCTAGTAAGAGTTCTTTACCCCGAGCGAACGATGGTCAATTTCGTGTATAAATTGTGTTAAGTATATTTACTTAAGTCAGTTGGTGCGTGATTAAGTTTTTAATTGGTCGATCGGACGTGGCTAGATGTGATTTTTTTAATAAATACTTGTGGCTGTAAATCGAAGACCTCGCCGAAATGGAGACGATTTTAGAGTTCGTGATTCTGATGGGGTTCATGTACTGGGCCTTTCCTAGTTTTTTCTCGGAGGGATTTTCCAGGTATTTTGTTAACCGCAATCGGTATTGATTCCGATGTTGTGAAAGTATGCAGATTTTTATACTGCTGTAATAACAGTTAAGAATTTATTTAGTCCGTTCACCTCTTTCGTAATTTTTTGCACCCAAAGATAACAAATAAACAGCGAAGAGTAACTTTTACAAATTTGTGTAAACTGGCGCGGTTTGTAAACACGATAATGGAAAGATTAATGACTCAAAAATTATTTTTGTAAATGCATCTTATCGAAATAGGAAAGATTGTTTTAACTAGTGTTGGAAGCTAAAGTTCATCTTTTGTTAAGAAAGTGTGTTTACATTTCACTGAATATTGTAATTTTATTTTGAAATTGACCCATATGTGCGATAATTTTCACAATATTTAAAAACGAACATGAAGTACACACCGAAGATTAAAGTAGCCAAACAACGTAAACTGTTTACTTTGCCATTCCTTATCTTCCTAGTTGATTTACAATTAAAGTTGACTCAATTTTATAGTACTACAATAAATTTTAAAAAATTACCTCGTGTGTAAAAATTCTCGTGCTTATAAAGTAGTCGCAGATTTTTTGCTAAAAATTACGGTACTAAATTATTACACAGTTTCGTAATTCGATGATTTGTTGACAAATAGTGAGTCACCTCATTAGCTCTAGGAAAATGGACATGTTTATGATCAATAGATTTAGATGCAAGTGGCGTGCTTGTGAATTTTGGTTCAATGTTTTCTTGAAGGCAAAACCTTGTCGCGTCCCAATTTTCTCAAGAAAAATCGCTTACGTGAAAAATTAATTCACGAAAAACGTGTATGAAATTCCCTCACATGATGCTGCCGAATTGTATAATCGCGCGTAGCCCACGTGTTACTTACAACATTTTTTCTACCCGTATTTCAGAATTTTTTAAATCTAGGTAACCAAATCGGATCGGTTTTTACAAGCGTTAAAAATGAACCTTGAAGAGTCTTCATCAAACATAAATTCAAGTTATTGTCGAACCTGTTCTATGTATCAATTAACTTTTTTTCAATTAAATTTAAATATGTGGTAAATGTCATCTAAATTTTATAAAATATCGTACTCCGGTACTTACGCTTTATGAATCCGCCTTGAGTTTTTACTCTACAAAAAATCAAAGTTGTACAATGTTTGAGTTTTATTAGCACGAGGAACACAAAATAGCCCCGTTATCACCGGATTTAGTGTACTAACAATGAATAATGACTCGCAAAGAATCTGAATTGCAGAATAAGTCACATATTCATGTTTTAAAAATGATTATTGATTATATATTCTTTAACATAAAATTATACGAGTTTTTTTGTGGTACGCAAAACCATTATCTGTCGTGCACCGATTGCGTTGGGTTTTGTTAAGTTTGGCATGTAAAAAAATCAAGCGTTGAACATAAGGTGTGAGTATTAACCATCAAACAAAAATTCAATTGCTCGTCTGTACCATTTACATATTCTAATTTTGGCTTCAATTTTTGTTATAGTTTTTTGAATGTACTACATATTTTAAATAATTATCTTCAGAAACACTAAAATTCCACTAAACTTCTACAGTTCTGAACCTTTACTCAGTCCAATTTTTGTGGTGTGAAAATATGACACACGGAATTTATAAAATGCGGCGAAAAATTTTTCTCGTTAAGAGTGGCTGCTCTATGACCATGTGCACGTTAGATAAGCGAAAACAAAATCTTCGTACGTAAGTACTCGTATCTGTGGCATAAAAGATAATTCAACAAACAATAATAAAATCAATCAAAATAGACCGATCTTTATTCGTTGTGTGTTTTTCTTCAGCGAGAGGAGTAGGTCATTTCCGCAATAATTTTTTAAGTGCTAGTTTAACTAAACGGTCTGTAAATGACACACTAGTGGGGATTTTTAGGAAACAATTCGTTGATACTTCTCAAACGTAAATTTATTTTAAAGGTCGATTTATAATACACAGGGTGGCTTGTTTTTTTCTTAATATACGATATTCTTTGAACATCACGATACTCAAAAATGTGTTTTTTATTTCTTCTAGAAAAATAAGGATTTTGTAATTAAGCTCCGTCCCTTGGCCCACGACGAATAAAAAAATCATTACAATTGAGATGGGGCGGGTGGGCGGGGCGTATATTTTGCCTTTTTTTCTTAATATACATAGCCATCTTTTCACAACAAAAAACTTAAAGCATGGTTAAAATGGTACATTTTTGTAAGAAAACACGGATTTTGCTATTATGGTACGGAGCTTAGTTGCAAAATCGATATTTCCTTATACAAATTTAAACATGTTTTAAGTTTCATGTGAAAAAAGTCTACACATATTAAAACAAAAAACAAAATGTAAGCCCGCCCACCCACCCCATCTCAATTGTGATGATTTTTTACTTCCCGAGCGTAAGCAAAGGAAGTATTGTAATCGAGTCCGTCGGTCGACTCTCTACTTTTACGTTTTCTCGATCTTTCATGACCCCTAGAAGACGAAGAAATAGGTCTCCCATTTCCGTCTGTCTGTCCGTCTGTCCGTCTGTCCGTCTGTCCGTCTGTCGGTCTGTCCGTCTGTCCGTCCGTCTGTCCGTCTGTCCGTCCGTCTGTCCGTCCGTCTGCCGTCCCGGATTTTTATTAGACAGATAATCTCCGAAAGTACTCGACCGATTGTTGTGAAATTTTGTACTTATATTAAGAATATCATGTAGATGGTAAAACGCTAACCAAAATTTGTCTAATCATCCCCACCACTAATGCGATGACGTCACTTCAAAATTGTACATAGTAAATGGGTTTTCAATTGTATAAAATAACATAGTCCTACACATGTAGTTTACAACTCTGAATCGACTTTTCACCCGAAACGTCCAGATTTTTGGAAAAAAAATCAAAATTATAAAACAACATTTTGAAATTTAATTTTTAATCTGCTAACCAGAATGCTTTGAAATGTTGCAGATGTTTTAAGGCTATAAAGAGCATAATAAATTTTTAGTCAAAAAATATTTGCTTATCCCCTCCAAAAACTTGATGACGTCAGCTCAAAAGTTTGTGGAATAAATCATATCTAAAATGTACAAAATATGATGAGTCTGTACTTGTGATCTATCACTCCATTCATATTTTTTGGATTTGCATATACAGGGTGACTCAAAAAAATTAATGAATGCGTAAATTTATTTTACTGATTTACTCAGAAACTACAAAACCGAATGCTTTGAAATCTTGCAGATGTTTTAAGGTTATAAAGAGCATAATAAATGTTTAGTCAAAATATATTTGCTTATCCCCTCCAAAAAATTGATGACGTCAGCTCGAAAGTTTGCCGAATAAATCATATCTAAAATCTACAAAATATGATGAGTCTGTACTTGTCATTTATCATTCCATTCATATTTTTTGGATTTGCATATACAGAGTGACTCAAAAAAATTAATGAATGCGTAAATATATTTTATTGATTTAATCAGGAACTACAAAACGGAATGCTCTGACATCTTGCAGATGTTTTAAGGTTATAAAGAGCATAATAAATGTTTAGTCAAAATATATTTGCTTATCCCCTCCAAAAACTTGATGACGTCAGCTCGAAAATTTGCCGAATAAATCATATCTAAAATGTACAAAATATGATCAGTCTGTACTTGTGATCTATCACTCTATTCATATTTTTTGGATTTGCATATACAGGGTGATTGAAGAAAATAAATGAAAGGGTAAATTTATTTTACTGATTTACTCAGGAACTACAAAACCGAATGCTTCGAAATCTTGAAGATATTTTAAAATTATCATAAGCATGGTAAATTTTTGATCAAAATGTATTTGGTCGTCCCCCCTAAAAAATTTATGACGTCGCCACAAAATTTTGCTGAATAAATCCTATCTAAAATGTACAAAATATGGTGAGTCTCTTCTTGTGATTTATCATTCCATTCAAATTTTTTCGATTTGCATATACAGGGTGACTCAAAAAAATTAATGAATGCGTAAATTTATTTTATTGATTTAATCAGGAACTACAAAACCAAATGCTTTGAAATCTTGCAGATGTTTTTAAAGAGCATAATAAATTTTTAGTCAAAATATATTTGGTTATCTTCTACAAAAAACTGATGACGTCAGCTCAAAAGTTTGCCGAATAAATCGTATCCAAATTGTACAAAATATGATGTGTCTGTACTTGTGATTTATCATTCCATTCATATTTTTGGATTTGCATATGCAGGGTGACTCAAAAAAATTAATGAAGGCGTGAATTTATTTTATCGATTTAATCAGGAATTACAAAACCGAGTGCTTTGAAATCTTGGGAATATTTTAAAGTTATTATAAGCATGGTAAACTTTTGTTCAAAATGTATTTGTTCATCCCTCCTAAAAAAATTGATGACGTCACCCTTAAATTTTGCTGAATAAATCCTATCTAAAATGCAAAAAATATGATGAGTTTGTACTTGTGATATATCATTCCATTCATATTTTTTAGATTTTCTTAAGAGGTGGTTCAAAAAAAGGCGCCGTATACCTGAGTAAATTGTTTCGTTATTTTATTGATTATAAGAAATCAATATTCAAAACGACCCAATTCATTTTCCCGAAAATTTGGGAATACAATAATTTTATTCTTAGTATTACACTACATCTATCCCAACTGATATACGTGTCCTTGCAAAAATGTTGATGACGTCATCACAATTTTTTTTTAAATTCCCACTACAAAAATGTAATGAGAAAAAAAAACACAATAGGCATGCAGTCGTCAAGTTTCCGACAGCGAGGGAAGTACTGTCTAAACTCTTTAGACCAATTTTTTTTATTAGCCGTGACTTACGGGGGCCGAGTTTAAGTGCGAAATACTTCTTTCTTTACAAGAAATTAAAAACATGTTTTTGAGTGTCGTGTTGGTCAAAGAATACTATGTATATTAAGAAAAAAGGTAAAATATAAACCCCGCCCATCTCAATTGTGATGATTTTTTTCCCTAGGTTTCCTGAGTGGAATTTTGGGTC